TTTTCAAACGAGTGAAAAGCGTTGTTGGTTTTGGGACTAAGAACCAAGTTGGTGTGTGAATCATCATCTATCATTATTGCCCTTACTATTGCTATTATCATCATCTAACAAAATCTTTGCTACCTCCACTTCTCCTAACTTCTTTTTTATCTCCCTGGACAGCGCCAAAATCCCGACCTTTAAAGCCTCCCGAACTGAAGTATGACCGTAGGTTTGTTTGGTTCTCTAACTACTCGCATCACTAACCGTCCTTCATCTGGACTAGAATCATCTAAACCAGGGTTACTTCTCTGACTGCTCCTGCCCCCCTATCCCCATCCCTACATACTCCTACTCTACCTAATGATGGAAAGTGCTAAAAGTTCATCAAATCCTCCTCCTCTGCCTGCAAATCATGCTGGGAATCCATACCGGCTCAGTCACAAACTGGATTATGCCAAACTGCCAATATTCATGTTCACTTTTATTATTTAGCTTAGATTCAAACTCAGTCCTCCTGCTAATCTGCAGAACCTGTGCGTCCAAAAACCTCTGGGCTGTCACTACATCTGTACTGTACATATGAGTCCTCTCCTAATATCAAGCCTGTCTTTGTGCCTGAAACACACACATTGTTCTTGGTCCAAAGTTGCAAAAGTATGAGGACGTTGGACATGGATCTTCCTCATGTATGGGATGGTCCCGTGTCCTGTCCTACAACAAAGGACAGAGACTGGAGTTCGTCCCAATACATACAGTACCTTACAAAAGTATGAATACAGCTGGAACTTTTGCACATTTTGTCATGTTTACAACCATAAAAAAAAAAAAAATAAATAAGTTTCATATTTTTCTGAAAGTTTGTGGAAAAGTAACTGCACAGACGGGATCTTTGCACACCAGAGCTGCTGGAAGTTTATTCAGTTTCCTTCAGGTCCCAATTGTTTCAGTTTTTTCAGACAGAACAAAGTCAGGACATGGTTTATATACACATTGTTACATCACACACAGAAAGACATACGTGTCGCATCCAGAGACAATCAGAACGTATCAGAGTCATAACATGGATACACAATGGGACCTTGTGACTGTGAGGGCCAGAGATTTTGTCTTGCGTTCGTCCACCTGCGTAGGTCATAGTTATCTATCCACCAGAAGTTCACACACAAGTAACAGACAACTGAAGCGCAAAGTAAAATGCTACCGAGAAGTTGGGCACAAGTATTCATCCAGCATGAGTAAACACTTTGTACACACGCTTTTACTGCAATAATAACAAATATACTTGCATGTAAAAGTCAGATGCTGTCAAACCTCTGAATCTAAGCAAGCCAGGGCCTAGTTAGTACTGTGATGGGAGACCTCTGAGACCACCAGAAGCCATGAAGGGGAGGCTGAGGCTGTAAAGTGCCAAAATGTTACTGTGTCATTTGGCAACACACTTCACCCACATGAGAATAAATCTAGTGCATGTGTGAAAGGTTGTTGGTGGTGGGAGGAGCCAATGGCATAGACTGTGTGCCTCGCTTCTGACAGTGTGCCCCAGGGCAGCTGTGGCTACATGGTCAGTTTATCACCACTGGGTGAAGGAATAATAACACTGAAGTGTCTATTGAGAGTCCAAAACAGTGCTGTATAAAACCGATGCATTATTATTATAACAGCAGCAAGTCTTTTGGGCTATGACCCTTCAAGATTTGCACCTCTAGAGACAGACAGTTTAGCCCATATTCCTCTTTAGCAGTTAAGCAGTTTTTGAAAATGTTTTAAACCTTTCATTATAGATGTAGCTTTGTGTTTAGGTCATTGCTCTGCTGGAGGTGGATATTTGTCCCAGCCTCACTTCTGCTGATTCATGCAGGATGTACTCCGAAAAGTCCCCGTATTTGGCTCTATCCATCTTCCCAGCTATTATTACAATCTTTTCGGTCCCTGCTGAAGAAAAGCAGCCCCATAAGATGGTGCCAGAACAAAGTGGCTTGAAGGAGAGAAAAACACCTCATATTTTTATGGGTTGGAAAATTCAAGACAAACAAAGATAATTTGTAAACTAGGCAACAATGACACAATGATTGAACCAGAAGATTTCGAATTTTCTCAAAGTTAATTCAAAACTTCCGGAAAGAAGATAATTTTCTTTTCCAATTAATGGGAGTCCAAATTACTAAAATTGAGGATGAAGATAAAAGCATATCTCAAATATTACAGAAATTGAAAACACGTTGAAAGAAATTAGCGACGGGAAATCATCGATGGGTTGTCCTCTGAATTCTTTTGATATTATATCAAAGGTTTATTACAGCATATGAAGCATTTAAGGAATGTATAAATTAATTTTGATTCCATAGAACATGATTTTATATTCATAACATTACAGAATTGATTTTGAAATCAAAACTTAAATGAATTAGTCTTAATGTTGAAGTCCCGGCCCTTAACTACAATTTGTATATTTTTGGTAGAGGTCATAGGAGCCATTGCGGAGCCCTGCAGACTCTGGAATGTTCCGAGTACGAGGACATAAAGACAATAGAAACCATTTCCCAACTTTATCAAAATAACAGTTCATAAAAAGGTTATAAAAAGGTAATCTTGTTGGTGCAGAAATCAAACGGACACATTCAAAATGTAAAACTTTATTGAGTCAAATGAACAGCTTTAAACTACATTCGTTATTTTATGAGAGAGTTCCACAGAAAACACAACCCAAGGTCAGTCCTTCTGCTTTTCACTCTGGGTTTGGACAAACTGAGAAAAACAATGACTCCATTTGAAACAAGTTGACATTTACCTCAAACCGGTCCAGACCCGGTTTGAGGTCTCTGTAACAGTCCTGCATTTGACCTAGTTTTACGTCCAGGTAACAGTCTTGGATTAGACCTTTTTTAGTCCATGGTTTTAGCACCTGATCTATCACTCATGAAACCTGGGATTAGACCAGGACTAAACCTGGACAGAACCAGGTCTAAACCAGGTCTATTGATTAAGACCTGTTTCAGTCTTGTTCTAGACCAGTCCCAGTCTTTAGCTTATGTTCCCTCTCACTGCCGTTGTCCCTTTGACCAATGCTACATTCAGCCATCAACTGTAGGGGGCGCTATTCCCACAAAGTCCAGTTTTTCTCACAATCATAAACGCTTCAGATGTAGAGGTTTAAACTCTAAAAATACTGGTTTTACTTAATAAACATTTCTAAATCTGACAAACTGAAATAAAGCACATTTTTGACAACTTAAAAATGGATAAAAAGAATCAAAACAAAAGCGTCAGAAGCAAAAATATACAATTAATATATTATAATATTAATATGGCAATTTGTTCAACGTAAAAAACCCAATTATTTCACCAACGTCACATACTTTGTGACGTTGGTTTGACGCAGCATCAGGCGCTTTGGCAAAAAACGTGCGGACTCTAAAAAATAAGAATTCAGAATTTTAGCCGTAGATTTAATGATGTGGCAAAGATTTGGCTTGAAATGCAAAATAAACATTTGAGAAAAGTTTAAGTTTAAATAAAAATTCAGATTTTCCACTGACTTTACTAATCAAGAAATTGCGTTTTTGTTTTTTTGTTTTTTTCAAGCCACTGAAAGTTACGGAGGCTTGGGCATGTTCAAAATGGCGATGTGGCCAGATCTGCGTCATTGACTTTGATTTTTTCTGCACAATTTCAAATAATTCTGGGTGAAAAACATACTTTTTTTCCTCATTGGCTTTGTAAAAAAAAGATGCAACAGAGGCTAACACTAAAGTGGAGGCAAACGCAATAGCTCCAGTCCCAAAACTCAATTCTTACGAGTTTTTTGGCAGTTCAAAAACAAAGTTAGGACGCGTTGTTGTTCTCGTGGAACTTAACTTTTAACTTTTATATGAGGAAATGCACAGAGGTTTCACTCTGAGGCGTGGGTTCTTTCTCGTTTGTCTTAGTGAAGTAGATTACGGCATAAATCTCTGAATGTACATTTGTTCATTTCTAAAAGGACGGAGTCGCAGACGCGGGGATGAAAGACGTAACTGGAAATGTTCAATTGTTATTTGGGTTTTAAAAAACGCTGCAGAATTTAAGTTTTTGACCCTGAAAACCCTTTGATTTTTTTGCATTTTGTATTTGAGAATGAAACATTCACCAATTACGTTTTTGATGGAGATTTTAAACAAAAAGATGAACATGTCGTCTTTCCGGCGTGTACAAAATGGTGGCATTCTTTATCCAAACAATCTTTGTTTTCGTGAAACAGGTTACTCTCTATGTAAAATAGATTTATTTATATAAAAAGAGATAAAGCGTGACTAGCCGATGCAGCGTTAGCATATCCGGATCCATGCCACAGGGATTCTTCAAAATTCAAGTTACTGTGAAACTACTTGATATCAGGTCATTAATGAGATGTGTTTCACTTGTTTGAAGACATAAAATAAACGTTAGCTTGAACTGTTTAATGTGACAAAATCCCTCATATCAGGCTCTAAAAACCCAAACATAAACAGGCTCTAGGACAGTGCTAGCATCATGCCCACAGCAGTTTTCTGTAGTCTAGTTAACCACGTCAAAAGCAGAAAAGTGGGTGGTTTATAAAAAGACCGACTGTAATGTAGCTTTTGTTAGCCAAGTAAGCTTTAGCTTGGTCTAGGAAGCTTTGACTAGGAAATGATGTGCGGTGCATCATAACAGTTCTGGTAATAACAAATACGTTGAAAATGTCTTGAAACAAGAAAAAAATAAGCTCAAATCAATTAAAAAGAACTCAACTGGGCAAATACGTAATAATTTTACATCATACAAGCTTTTTTCTATGTGGTGCAGTGCGTAGCCAGATCTGCGTCACATTCTCGGTACCTAGCGTAGCCTGCCAATCACATGGTTTTGTAATTTTGGTACCAAGCATAGCCTGCCGGATCCGCGTCACATGCTTTGTACCTAGCATAGCCTTGCTGGATCACATGGTTTTGTTATTGTGGTATCTAGCGTACACTGCCGGATCTGCATCACACGGTTGGTACCTAGCATAGCCTGCCTGATCACATGGACTCAAACTCGTCAATGCGCTGCTTGGTGTTGCCTTGCCGGATCTGCTTCAACGTCTTGTACTTGTCGCGTCCCGCCTTCACGTTCTCGGCGTGCAGGACGTCGTTTTGAGTTTTCTTGGTTTCATCTCTAGCCTCAGCGAGCTCCGAACTCAGCGTCTGCAACAAGATCAAAGATCAAAGCCCACGTAAGCAGGATCTGTCCTAAAGTCGGCTTTTTACCTACACACATTCTTACAGCACGTACAAAAACCCTAAAGGAACACTGGGGTATTAAAAGGTACAGACCCTTGAGTGTTTACTTTAGAATGTGCTGGAAACGGCAGCAAGTCATAAGTAGCTCTGAAACAGTTGTTGTTTTGTGCTTTACAATTGTTACTTTTATATATTTGCTGCAGTACAGTGTTCATGGTTTAACACTGGTCCAGACCAGAGCAGCGAGGATTCATGGTTTGATCCAAATGGATCAGGCGAAAGTCCACTGGAGGAATGCTAACTTTTTGAAAAATGCTAATGAAGTATTTAGCATTTTACTTTGGACCAGAGCAGAGAAAATGGTCCAAACCAAGCGGCTCCACCTCTGCTGCTGTGACCTGAAGTGATGTTGCTATTTATTACTATCGTTTGCTTTTTAGAATAATTAATGTATTAATTATATACCTGTAATATCCTTGTGTTACTAGAGGAACACAAGGATATTACAGGTACAGACCCTAGAGGAACACGAGGGCATTACAGGTACAGACCCTAGAGGAACACGAGGGCATTACAGGTACAGGCCCTAGAGGAACACGAGGGCATTACAGGTACAGGCCCTAGAGGAACACGAGGACATTACAGGTACAGACCCTAGAGGAACACGAGGGCATTACAGGTACAGACCCTAGAGGAACACGAGGGCATTACAGGTACAGACCCTAGAGGAACACAAGGGCATTACAGGTACAGGCCCTAGAGGAACACGAGGGCATTACAGGTACAGGCCCTAGAGGAACACGAGGGCATTACAGGTACAGACCCTAGAGGAACACGAGGGCATTACAGGTACAGGCCCTAGAGGAACACGAGGATATATTACAGGTACAGGCCCTAGAGGAACACGAGGGCATTACAGGTACAGGCCCTAGAGGAACACGAGGGCATTACAGGTACAGACCCTCTATAGTATAGAAACTTTTTGTGTTGGTCAGTGTTGTTTTGCTGATTTCTGATGAGTCTTTGTCTAAAATTCCACTTACACCGATCTGGTTCCAAACACCTCAATTTATGGTAAAGACTGAGCCACCATCTCCATCTACTGGTGTTTGTGGGAGAGACAGATCCTGGAGTAATGTGAACAGTTTACCTGCAGCTGCTGCTTGACCCTCTCATTCTTCTGGGCCTCTGTGATCCGGGCCTCTTCGCTCCGTAGGTCCACATGACTCACTCCTTCGTTGGACAACTCTGCGCTTGCTTCCGCGTGGTTCTCATCCTGCTCGTCATGGTCAGCCTCCGTGTGAATCGGCACTACCGCCACCGCCGTCTTCAGCTCCTCTTTCGTCTTCTCCAAGTCCTCCTGAGCCGAGAGGGCCTGTGGGGTGAGACTGGGGTGAGACCAGGGATAGAGACCAGGGCTAGAGACCAGGGCTAGAGACCAGGGATAGAGACCAGGGATAGAGACCAGGGATAGAGACCAGGGATAGAGACCAGGGATAGAGACCAGGGATAGAGACCAGGGATAGAGACCAGGGATAGAGACCAGGGATAGAGACCAGGGCTAGAGACCAGGGATAGAGACCAGGGATAGAGACCAGGGATAGAGACCAGGGATAGAGACCAGGGATAGAGACCAGGGATAGAGACCAGGGATAGAGACCAGGGATAGAGACCAGGGCTAGAGACCAGGGATAGAGACCAGGGATAGAGACCAGGGATAGAGACCAGGGCTAGAGACCAGGGAAGTCTTTGGTGACTAATTAGTTAGTTGCTGGTAAAAGCAGGCTCAGTCAGACCTTGTGTTGCCATTCCGTTGCCTCGTCCTCCTTCTTCTTCTTGGCGTCTTCAAGCAGAGCAATCTTTGCCGTGAACTCTGCCAGCTCTGCCGCCTGGAACACAACCCAGTGAAATGTTTACAACACACACATCTTCAGCAACCGGTCTAAAGGATAAAACTAAGCTCAGGATCGCAGCTTTAGCCTCTTCTGCAGCAGCAGTACCATTACCTGAGGCGACTTGTTCTTCTGCTGCCTACCTAGTAGTAGCAGTAGTAGGTTTTTAAATGGTTTTACTATTTTACTGGTCTGTGTGTGTATGAGTATGTGTATGTGTGCGCGTCTGATCGTGCGCGTGTTCTTAATAATATATGTGGTTTTGGGGTGGGTCTGTTGGGTGGTCGATGTTTTTAACCAAACTGTAAACCACTTTGTGTTGTATCTTCTGTATGAAAAGTACTTTATAAATAAAATTTAATTATTAATAACAGCAGTGATAGCAGCAGTATCAGCATTAGTATCAGTACCAGAGTCTCCTGGTTCTTCTGCTGGTCCGCCGCCTGCTTAGCTAGCTCAGCTTTAGCCTCCTCTGCGCTGCGTCGCTCCCTCTCCAGCCTCTCGGCTTCTTCTCTCGCCCTCCTCCTCTCCTGCTCCAGCTCCAGAGCTTTACGAGTCTGCTCTTCTAGTTCTGAAACACATTAAAGAGTCAACAAATACTTCAAACTAAATCCTTTGAGAGCTCTGTAGTGTTGCCAGTGCCTGTGTGTGTGTGTCTGTCTGTACCTCTCTGTGGGTGTGCTTGTGTGTGTGTGTGTGTGCGTGCGTGCACCTCTCTGGGCCTTCATAGTCTGCTCTTCTATCTGTCTCAGTCGCTCCATCAGCTCGTCTTTCTCTTGTTCAATTCGCTCCTTTTCCTTCTCGGCCAGTTCCCTCTTCTTCTTTTCGTTCTCCAGCTGGGCCCTGTGTGTAGAACAGATATGTGATGAAAAACTGGCTGAAACAGCAAAAATCAAACATGACCATTTAGTGAGAAGTTGAACATTAGCTTTAAAATATAACATGCCATGGTCTGGTATCAGCCACAGGGCGAGGAGCGGCCTCTTCTTTTAGAAATCCAACAAATCTAAGGGATATTACAGCACAAGAACTTCCCTGTTGGCCTCTCCTGTCAGCAACTCCTTCAGCTTGTGGTGCTTCTCCATGGCCTAGGCCTCTCACCTCCTCCTGCTCTCAGCACCTCCTCACCTCTCCATCTGCTTGTGGTGCTTCTCCTCCCTGGCCTGTGCCTTCATCTGCTGGACCTCGATGGTGTCTGGTTTCCTCCTCCTCATGTAGAGCTCGTGGTTTCCCATACACAGCGACAGGATGCGCTTGTTGATGCGCAGACGTGGCGCGTAAAACACAAAGTCCTGTTTACAAAGAGAATGTGGTTAAAGCTGAGGTACGTAACTTTAGCCTGATAAGTAACGTCATGTAGTTTGTCAGCAGGACCCAACTTTGAATCCAGGATACGCAAACTTCAAACTAGGGCTGGGCAATAAATCAAATTTAGGCAATTAATCGGCTTTTGAAAAATTCGAATTTGTGAAAAATGTGAAAATCGTGATATTGAATGAAGGATATTATGAGAGTTCCAGCAGCAATGAATTATACTTGCAATATCAGCACATTCTGTACAAGACTTTTAAATACGTATTGGAGGAAACAATGGTTTTGAAACTTGATTATTGAGCGGAAAGATCAAAAAATATTTTTAAGGGCAAACTTTAATGAAAATCGATTTAAAATTGAAATCGTCCAAAGCAGGAAATACAAATCGAGATTTTACTTTTTTGCCATATCGCCCAGCCCTATTTCAAACTGGGGGACGTCACTTTAAAGCTGGGGTACGTAACTTTAAAACATCAATAGAACTTAATGTCACTAGTTCCGGGCTCTATAACAGGTCCTTTGTTGTGGGTTGAAAGTTACGTACCCCAGCTTTAAGCGGAAGACTACTAGAATAAACAACACTGTCATCATGTGGTAGAAGAGGGAAATTACATTGACTGGCAGAAAAGGTTATGAACCATTGGCAGAGTTTGAAAGGTTCAGACAGAAGGGGTGGGGGTTCCTAATATCAGCATGGATGGAGCTAAACACAGCTACAGGTCTGAGTGTGAACGCCTTTTAAAGCCACACACCGGAGCTTTCTTGTCGATGGGTTTGATTGTGAACTTCTTGTCGTTGAAGGAGATGTTTCTGATTTCACTCCAGGGAAAACCAATCTTTGGCGTCAATCTGGAAACAGAAGAGTCCACTTTAAGCAGAAATAATGCAAACATTTTTACATTAACCAAAACATATGGCCCGCCCCCTCGTAGACTGTACCGAGATGGACAATGCTAGCATACACTGTATACAAATGGGCAGTGCTAAAAGAAAACTGTTCATGGTGAAAAATGCGTGTGTGCATCAGTGGGGCCAAAATGACGTGCGCTGACATGCTTGCAATACCACCCCGGGCCAATGGGGGTGGACCCGGAATAAGAATTAGCCAATGCTAACATAAAACATTAGCTGACCTCTCGAAAACGTCTTTACAGGATGGTCCAAAAGTTGGCTCTTGGCCCAAAGCGCCGTTCCACATGTGTGTCAATGCTTAGGGGGGTGAATTTTTTTTGAACCACTCTAGTTCACTCGCATTTTCCAGCCCCCGCGGCCATTTTGAATCACTCCATGAACGCCCAATTTTTGGCCCATTAGTTAGAAGGGCGGAGATAGGCGTGACTACGTCCATTAATATATACAGTCTATGGTGTGCATGAATGTAAGAGTATGTGTGCATGTGGTCCTCACTTGTCCTCGTGCTCGTAGATGTTCAGTCCCAGTGCATCCACCCCGAGCCACAGCTGGGTCCCCTTCTTGTTCTTGATCTCAAAGTAGTTGACGCCGTACATCTCAAGGTCCTGAGCGATCTTCAGGTACTCCATCATCGAGTCCTCCCTGAGAACAGCAGCCGCTTCCATCAGAGCTTTACTATGTTCCAAGTAAATAAACTGTCCCACAGGGGGCGTGGGTCTTACATGTACAGTATATTTGGTCTTTATATGTTTAACAGTGGCTAGTCTTGGATCTCAGGTCTCGGTCAGTACCTCAGCATGCCTCGGTGCTCCTCGTGCCAGGTCTGGATCCGGTCTTCCCACTGCTCTTTGGTCAGTTTGTGCTGCTCCAATACTCTGAAACACAGACGTCACATGGACCAGGATTCTACAGTGATATAAACAGAACCAGAGAAAGGCCTCCAGCAGAGAGTGTCGGAGCAGGTCTGGAGCAGAGGTGCTGATTGATAGATTGACAGCAGTAGTTTTACTGATTTTGCTTATTGTGCCCTCTGATTATAACGAGCCTCATTAAAGCCTGCTCTCACCTCTGGGGCAGCAGGCGGTCGTGGGACAGGTACCCAGGCTTATGCAGCTCTTTGCTGTAGTCTCCGTATTTGGCCTGAACGGCGTATGAGGCTAGCAGCACCGCGGTCTCTGGGGGACAGTAGTTCTCATCGTTGAGAATCGCCTCCTTCACCTAAAGACGGCAGAGACAGAAGCAGAGACAGAAGCAGAGACAGAAGCAGAGACAGAAGCAGAGACAGAGGCAGAGACAGAAGCAGAGACAGAAGCAGAGACAGAAGCAGAGACAGAAGCAGAGACAGAGGCAGAAGCAGAGGCAGAAGCAGAGGCAGAGACAGAGGCAGAGACAGAGGCAGAGGCAGAGACAGAGGCAGAGACAGAGGCAGAGACAGAAGCAGAGACAGAGGCAGAGACAGAAGCAGAGACAGAAGCAGAGACAGAAGCAGAGACAGAAGCAGAGACAGAAGCAGAGGCAGAGACAGAGGCAGAAGCAGAGGCAGAAGCAGAAGCAGAGGCAGAGGCAGAGACAGAGGCAGAGACAGAGGCAGAGACAGAAGCAGAGACAGAGGCAGAGACAGAGGCAGAGACAGAGGCAGAGACAGAGGCAGAAGCAGAGGCAGAGGCAGAGACAGAAGCAGAGACAGAGGCAGAGACAGAAGCAGAGACAGAGGCAGAGACAGAAGCAGAGACAGAGGCAGAGACAGAGGCAGAGACAGAAGCAGAGACAGAAGCAGAGACAGAAGCAGAGACAGTGATTAGATTCACTAAGCTGACATTTTTCTCCGGTCTGAAAGTTCCTCTGAACAAACTCTTTTTGAATATTTTCCTCCACCACAATGTGAAACTATAGGGTCTTTGGAATGTGCTGATGTCGCATGAATGCAACCTGTTCTGCAAAGGTGCCTCCTCCCCCATCCTCCCTTCTCATTTTCATTGCCCAAAGATACACAAGTATTGTCTTAAAGCTGAGGTTCGCAACTTTCACACTACAACAAGTACATGTCACTAGATCCTGAAATAGTTGATAACACTAGTTTACACAAGCATGCTTGTTTGGCCTCTGAGAAAGATGACGGACAGAACACTGACAGAGGACCAGTCTCTTATTATGTATTTAAAGTTTTGTACTTTGGGCAGAGTGAGGGTGGTCCTCTCTTTTTCCCTTTTCTGTCTGAAAAAGCTGACCTACAGAAATGACAGAGGCCAAACACACATGATTTGAGTGCGTATTCTGCAGTGGTTTGTGGATGATAGATTCTTTATTGATCCCCTGTAGGAGAAGGTCAGGTGTCCAGTAGCAGAAGACTCATCTAGGTTTGTTGTACAGTCTGACAGCAGAAGGAACAAAGGACCTCTTGAAACGTTCCGTTCGGAGCCTGTTCCTTCGATTACTCCTCTGAGCGGCCATAGTGTCATGCAGAGGGTGTCTGGAGTTACCCAGGATGCCCTGCATTAGAGCTCTCATCCTTCTCTCCAGCACAGCTCCCACAGAGTCCACACTTCTCCCCATCACAGAGACACATTTCCTGATCAGCCTGTCGAGCTGGATACTGTCTCTCGAGGTTAGACTGCCGCCCCAACACGCGACCCCAAAGAACACGGCACTAGCTACCACAGACTGGTAAAACATGTGCAACATTGCAACATGGTGAGCAGTCAAATGTTGGTTGTTGTTGTAAGCATGGTTGTTAAAGTGAGTATTCTGCAGCGGTTTGTGGATGATGGTTTTTAAAGTGAGTATTCTGCAGTGGTTTGTGGATGATGGTTTTTAAAGTGAGTATTCTGCAGCGGTTTGTGGATGATGGTTTTTAAAGTGAGTATTCTGCAGCGGTTTGTGGATGATGGTTTTTAAAGTGAGTATTCTGCAGTGGTTTGTGGATGATGGTTTTTAAAGTGAGTATTCTGCAGTGGTTTGTGGATGATGGTTTTTAAAGTGAGTATTCTGCAGCGGTTTGTGGATGATGGTTTTTAAAGTGAGTATTCTGCAGTGGTTTGTGGATGATGGCCTTTAGTTTGAGTTTCACCTGGAGGAAGAAGAGCCTCTGTGTGATCTCTTGGATCAGCTCTTCCGACACATCCTCAGGGAAAAACTTTGCCCTGAACTTAAACTGCAGAGGGTTTTCCTTCTTCACATCCTGTTGTGTTACCTGGAGACACACACACGCGGAGTTACTCAACAGGTGTGAATGTGGAAATTACAGCTGTGAACGACAGACATGAGCGTACAAAAAGACAAACATGCAATTAAAGCACAGGCCTGAAGCTGACGCTGTGGAGACGCTGCAAGGCGAATTGCAATGACGACCAGACTCTAAAGCAGGACTAAAGCAGGAGGACTAAAGCAGGAGGACTAAAGCAGGACTAAAGCAGGACTGCAGGAGGACTAAAGCAGGAGGACTAAAGCAGGACTAAAGCAGGACTGCAGGAGGACTAAAGCAGGAGGACTAAAGCAGGAGGACTAAAGCAGGACTAAATCAGGACTAAAGCAGGACTGCAGGAGGACTAAAGCAGGAGGACTAAAGCAGGAGGACTAAAGCAGGAGTTGATGAAACAAACCTTCTTGTTCAGTTTGAGCCACGTGCTGTAGCCTTTACTGTCGACGTACTGCAAGCCAAAGAACCAGACCTCCCTCAGCCCCACGGTCTTCACCACCTACACAACACACAGATGTCCTCAGTATATTTAAACAAATAATTGAAGAGACAGTTGTATTGCTCTCCCTCTCCGGTCTCTCTCCCTCTCCGTACCTGGTCGAAGAGCTGCTTGCCAGTGGTGTTGGGCTGTATGGCAAACTCCAGCTCCGCGTCCATGGTGGTGACTCGCACATTGATCTGAAACAAAAACATGTGAGTTTGTCCAACATGTTCTGAGACTTACAGACATGAGCTTTAGTCTGCTGCAGGGATCACCTCTGACAGACACGATCATCATCAGTTATATGAGCATTTGAAATCTGAATAGTGACATAAAACCAGCTCTAAGCAGGATGTGTTTGCAACATTGGTGCCGAGTCTGAGCAAGGCGGCACAACGGCAGGTCTGTTCTTATGAAGTCATTGAGACTTTCGGAACACACCTACAGCGTCTCTACAGGTTAATTCGGACTGTTAACGTCTGAATGGTTTGATTCTGTGGATTCATGACGAATGCTCGGATTTCAAGCAGAAACAGGAGGAAAGAGAAAAGCAGAAAGATTCGACCGCAAACAGGAAGTGAGCAAGGGCGCAGTCTGACAGGAAGTAAGGACAGTCACACAGGAAGTGAGGGTGAAGATGGAGCAGTCACATGAAACACCACAAACTCACAACATGCATCCTCTTTCAACAGCGTTTATGATCATTCTATAGATTTGAACTTTTACATTTTATTGGAGAACATAAATATTAATCTATGTTCAGAATAACACTGGGTACAAAACTCTCCCTTGTGGCACTCCCCATGTTCACGTACACATGTAGGATCTACAGCCCCAGTCCTGGATCTACAGCCCCAGTCCTGACAGTGATGATCCAGAACACTGATTTACCTTTATGGACAGTGGTCATCCCACTCCCTACGGAACAATGTTTGTTATTATTGCATTTCTTGTGTTTTGATCTGTTGTTGGTGAATCCACATCTTTGTTAAGTCCCCTGAAACGACTGCTGTTGTGATTTAGTGCTGTGCAGAGGTTTCAGAGCAGAGACGATGACCAACACACAGCACCGAGTACCCAGCAGGCTAATGTGATTTGATGCAGAGGTTACTGTAATCCAGGTTAATCTGAATCAAACTCGCAGCACGTCAGAATCAGTCTTTCACACAACTCAGGTTCACAAACAAACACCATCATTCTCGTGTTATCTTGTGACCCCCGCGAGAAACTAGGGATCACTGTAATCGATTATTGGACTTTATGGGACGTGGTCAGATGTCCCTCTCATTAGTCTCTTTGTTTCTTGGTGGAAAAAAACTCTTATACAAACGGCACAGTCACAGCCACGTCCAGAGGGAAAAACGTCATCTTCAACTCTTCAAATCCAGACAAAAACCCATCTGTTCAGACTGTCCTACCCCACCTAACACGCACGCACCCCCCCATCCATATTGCACTACTGTTTTATTCTGTTGCTCCTGTTTTAAATGTTTTTATTATGTCCTGTACAGTGTCCTTGGGTGTTTTGAAAGGCGCTTTTAAATAAAATGTATTAATAATAATAATAATAATAATAATAAAATATTAATATTGATGATGATATTATTATTAAGTGTCCCTATCCTGATTTATCTGTTCTCCCATATGAAGGTATTACCTCAGGCACAATACTACACAGAAAATATGTATCAAGTGCTCACGTAGTACAACCATTTAAGACCAAAGAGAGTCTAGCCTGGTCATACCACACGCAAACTCTTGACGTCACCCACATCCTACAACACCCGTCTCCCGCGCTCGATGATTGGTCGGATGGAATTCTACCAATGTAATTGCAAGCACAGGGACCAGACCCAGATGTTACATGCAGGGAAATTATGATTGAGCGGAGTGTACGAATGGATGGCTAAGGCCCGGATAGAGAGACGCCAAAGACTAAAGAGAATGACCAGAGCTCTGGTATTGATAAGTCTACTTAATTAATTACGGTTGTCACTGGTTTAGTTCCTGTCTCTGGTGTGGAGCCTCTGTGGGTTAATCTGTCTGACAGCTGCTGAGATTAGACGTGACGAGACTAACCGGATTACAACAACTGCGGAGACGGCACGCGCGCAAGTTGCCCACGCAGACTCGCCCACGCAGACTCGCCCACGCAGACTCGCACACGCAGACTCGCACACGCAGACTCGCCCACGCAGACTCGCACACGCAGACTCGCCCACGCAGACTCGCACACGCAGACTCGCACACGCAGACTCGCACACGCAGACTCGCACACGCAGACTCGCACACGCAGACGGCAGTGAAGGTGTTAGGAGGATCATCCCAGGTCAGTGCAGAGACAGTAAACAGCATCATTATCCTGATCCTGCTCTTACACATAAGCCTGAAGCAGAGTTTAGACAGAGAACTGTCTTTGTCAATAAAATGCTTCACATAAATACTGTATGAGCACTTTTCTCATGCAACCCAACCCAGCCAGACCAGAGAAAAACTGGAAAGACCAGGCTTTAGACGAGACAAAACAATGAAACACTGAGGGACTGTGTGCTCAATCACATGATCCAAATGAGCAATGGCGTCGGTTTGGTGTCACCTCTTGTGGGGACACAATTTTAAATTCCTCAAAACGTTCAAACCCTGAACTCGAACCCAAGCAGCGAAAGTGAGAGCGCCGAATCCTAACCACTAGACAACCAAGCAAGCATTGTCGCATTCATTCATAGAGCTATCTCCCTTACAAATAATTTCTGGTGGAAACGCTGCACAAGGTGTTTTTCAGCATTTAAATCTTGGTCAATGGAGGTGGTTCTGCTCTGTCTCTGTGTGTGCAGCTTCAGCTTCCCAGTGCAGTGACAGATTAGAATATATGTATATGTGTTTAATGATAATAATATCTACCACACTTTTCTCTTACTACTCACATTTTACGACGCTCAAGGAAAACGAAATATGCTTTTCTTTACACTGGCTACATGTGGTAAAAGTTTAAGACTTTCAAACCCACCGTGGGAAAAAGAGGAGCGCTCTCACTCTGCCAATAAGCTCTCAGCTCAAAGAGTCAGTGACTCAAAGGGCTCTTTCTTACACAAAAGATAACATGACAACATGTAGTGGTCTCATTTTACTGTCATGACTTCGTCTGTTGGACAAACTACCGGTTTATGAGACTAAAGTTGGGTACCCAACGGCAGCAGTAGTTTGAGCAGTAGTTTAAAATCTTGAGCAGTGTTACTACAGTCATAAGAACAAAGGAAAAGTGAATCCAGAGAAAGGCCAGGATCAGGTTCAGGAACATGACCTGCGATTATTATGGGATGTGGAACCGCAGGACAGACTATTATGCAACTACTGCGCCAACGAATTCTACTACGACTGCTACTATGTATTCAACTAATACTACTACTACGACTACTACTACGAATACAACTGCAACACAACCCTGTAGTGTGTGGCTGTGGAGGTGGGTGTTACCGGTTTGGGCATGGTGCCTTCCTCCTCCTCCTCCTCCTCCTCCTCCTCACAGATGCAGGACCTGGGACCAGAGGCTGCTGTTCTCCCTCTGCCTGGAGAACACAACAGTCAGAGAAGATTAGAAAAACTTGTTTGATTTTCTACTGAAGGTTTCATCATTGTTCAGTTTCAGCTGGTGTCACATGATGGTTCACAACACTGCTCTATAAAACTGTGGAGTGGGACTACAGCACGCAATGTTTGATGTTGGCATAAGACAAAAGTCTTAGGTCCATGACACATGTTCTACAAGACGTCAGGGGAGTTCTACCTGAAACCGCACATTTCAGGAAGAAATCATGAAATGAGGATCAGACCAAACAGAGTTCAGAGACACCGCTCAGGTGCTGTTTACAAAAGGACTCGTCAACAGTAAGGTGTGTATCGGATTGGTGTTTCGTCCACATGAAGACTGTGTTTAAAAAAAAAGGCAGAACAGAAAGGTTGCGCGGCGGGGCGCGATTTCACAGCCGTGTAAAGAAAAAGGTGTGAATTATGGCTAAAATGCCCTCAGCCCCTCCCCACACATACATTTGGACATGCACAGAAGCTGAGAACAAACGTAAACAATGGCAGCAGATCAACGTGATCTACGTGTACTTCGGGAGGAGGATTCTAATACTTCATCCAAACGAAAACAACGCAAAGCTCTAGTTTCAGTTTCCATTTTCTCTGTTACTGTTAAATGCAGAAGGATGTTGGTGCTTTATTTCCTGTTTTGTGGAGGCCTGAGGAAGACGTTTTTGAGGAAGTGATTATACTGCTGGGAGTCGCCTGTGTCCTGTTGTAAAGTTCCACTGCCCCCTACTGGCTGGGCGCTAGAATTATATCGTTTTTCATTGTGCGGACGCTTAGCACTTTGAAAAAGGAACCTTTTAGTTTTTGCCAATTGCTTTGCAGCGTCTCCGTCTAAACAGGCCCTCAGAGTCGGAGGAGAAGAGAGTCTCTGTTCACACCTGTGTAAATGCAGCGAGATAAAACAGGGACCAGAGCAGAGATAAGACCCAGGTCGGAAGTAGGTCTTAACCAGGATTGAAGCGGGTCTGAAGCAGGACCATGTTCTAGTGAAATTAGGAAAGCAGCTTTCTCTTTTCTGCTATTCCAGGATACTGCTCATCCTGATCATCTCTTATTCCATTTTGTAACTGGAGTCTCAGGGACACAACTGAGCAAACTCTCTGTATTCAAAGTGTGAGGAAATGTTATTTACATATTTACACAACGATTCCACTGAGTCATAATCTGTAATCTGTAACTCAGAACTAGAACACATACACATGACAAGGAAACACAATATTTAGGAAAAACTTTCAAAAGGATTCAGTAATGTCCTTGCACGGGAGCCTTCAGCATATTTCAAAATAGAATAATCCATCAAAAACCTCCTCTTTGTGAGTGTTTCAGTCAGATTACAGCCCGAGTGTGACATCACAGTCACTTCCTGCCAGTGCGTGTAAAAACCAGGAATGTGTTTAGGACGCAATAAAACCCTGAAGTGTGTGTTGTGTTCGTGTGAGTTACAGAGAGTGGGACCACAGTTTGGAACACATAATCAAAGACACTTTGCCTAAAGCCCCCCCCGAACCCAGTAATGGATTAAGGGGAAGAAAATGAATGGATGGCTCTTGAGTTTATTCAAGCTGCATCACTTTCAGACCACAACAACAGAACTCGCTTTAAAACAGTTGGTTTCTGTCACTAGTTTTTCACATGTCATTTTAGCCTCTCGGTAGTCTCTTTCTCTCTCTCAAATAGACAAATAGTGACTCACAGGTCTTTTTCATACACTAAAGATGTTTTCTAATAAGATGAAGACAGCATGTAGTGATCTGATTTATTCAAAACATTTTGCTTTTACTGGACTCTTTACAAGCTTCAAACTAGTGGGTAAAGTTAGATATCTCAGCTTAAACCTTCGGCATTTGTCTGAGGATTCACCATAGTGCGAGTGCCCTTTTGAAAACAGAACAGTCAGACCGAAGGGAGTGAAATACATGAAATACAGTAAGACCAAAAGTTTGGACACACTTTCTCATTCAATGAGTTTCCTTTCTTTTCATGACTATTGACTGTAGATCCACACCAGGCTGTGTAAGGGCTGTTTGTCCAATAAGGAGAGTGATGGGTGCTGGGCCAGATGACCCAGCCTCCAGTCACCGGACCTGAACCCAATCCACATGGTTTTGGACCTGAACCCAATCCAGATGGTTTTGGGGCTGGACCACAGAGTGAATGGGAAAGGGCCAACAAGTGCTAAGCATCTGTGGGAACTCATTTCAGGTCCTCTTGAAGCTCATCAAGAGAATGCCAAGAGTGTGCGAAGCAGAGCGAAAGGTCCTACTTTGAAGAACCTAGAATATACGACATTTTCAGTTGTTTCATACTTTTTAGTATGTACATAATTTCACATGAGTTAATTCATAGTTTTGATGCCTTCAGTGTGACTCTACAATTTTCATAATCATGAAAATAAAAACTCTTTGAATGAGAAGGTGTGTCCAAACTTTTGGTCTGTACTGTACATGTTGATGCAAAGTGTTTGATAACAGGTAAAGTTACAGAATAAAAAAAACTATAATTTCTCGTTACATTTTTGAGGAAAAATTCTGAAAATTCAATGACACGTCCTTCAAGCCAAGACAGCACACGAGGTCTGTGTTATCTGCAGATACGTGGCTCTTCACCTTCGTAATACTTTTATACTTCATACTAATGTACACGACTGAAACAGGCAAAGCATTCAAGGGTCGACTCATATTGAGCATTTCTTCTCCATTCTAAGGCCACTTCATTCAGCCACATTAAGGCGGTTGAATGGGTACAACGTTTAGTTTGTCATTGGAGTAAGTTTGGGCACATTTGAGGGGTTTATTTGAAGATATAAGAAGACAAAATGAAGTTAAGAATGTTCAAATACAGCCACTTGTAGCTTGTGCTTATTAGCTTACGGTGAGCTAGCACTATCGTTTTTCGCCCCAAAAGCCTTAAACATACTGCTGAAATTGGTCAAACTGATTAGAAATGATCAGAGAGACCAATTCACATTTGAATTACATGTATAAGTTGCAAAAAATGAGAGATCTCTTGAGAAATTGGAGGAAAAATACGAAAACCATTAGCCGCTAACAGTGGGAGTCGCCTGGATAACGGTAACTAACGAGGCCAGCATGGCGCTCTGGCTGAAGTTTGAAGCCACAACACGAAGGCTATTCCCGGGCTTAAAACGGCTCCACATCGGCCCTGAGCGGTAGGGAGCTGGAGCATACACTGCACCGAGACGGTCTGGGCTTTTTAGGTAATGGAACACGGCTTTAATCTGCGCCAAGAGGTATTTATAGCTCACGGCCGCTATTACATCAAACTTCTCCATTGGGGAAGGAACTCACCAAGAAAGAAATATGGCTTTTTAACGTCACAAAACCCCCAGTGTGTCCAGTTCAAGGAGGTATCAGCGCCAGTGGGTCCAGTTCAAGGAGGTCCAGTACCACGGGATCCGGTTCCGATGATCAGTTTTTTGTAGTAATCCAAACACACAAACATGAAGCAGGATCTGAGCGTAAGGCGATTTGAGAGCGGGGGCGCCAGGTTTTCAGAGAGAACCACGCGAACGACTCAGCTGGAGGAGTTTCAAAGGTATCGGATCGGTCATGTATCGATATTTAAACTAGTATCAATACTCAAATAATCGTCACTTTTAGACCACAACAACATAATTCTGTCCCGAGTCTCTAGTTCCTGGCTCTAAAACAGTTTGCTTCTTTAAACATCATAGATGTTTGGCCCCGAGTCTCTCCTCTCCCTGGTGTCTCTGGTCTCTCTCTCCCATGCAAGGCAGGGTATTGTGATGGGAGACCTCTGGGAACACCAGGTTCCACAGTGGGGCGGCTGTGGCTGTAAAACTGTGCCAAGCTGTTGTTATTAGAATGAGTCAGGTTGGTTGGTTGGTATGGCACATACTGGTTGTCTCACTTCAGTGTGCCCCAGGACAGTTGTGGCTACTGTAGTAGTTTATCACGAGTTTATCAGGAGTGAAAATAATAATTATACAAAATAATGTGAAGAGACTTTCAGAGACTTGATGTTGGAGTGAACACGCGCCGCATGAGATGTACACTGTGAAAAATACGAAAAAAAACTGCGTAAATGTTGGATATGTACTGGATATTTCTTAATAATCGCGTAACGGCGCAAGAAATAAGTGGACCTGGCAACCCATGAAAGTTCCGCCGAAATTGTCTATATTTTTTGTGTGTGTGATACAGTCTATGGATAAAACTTGCATAATTGACAAAATTCAAAATTCATAAATAATTACGACACAATTCTACCGCGTCTAAAATGCATGAAATGTCGATCATTTCACGAACATTAAAACAAAGAGACTAGAGAAAGTGGCTTCATAATAGCCGTTGCGGCCATCTTGTGTTTACAACAAAAAAAAAATTGTAAGAATTTGGCAACAATCAAAGGTTTGATCTTCTGTAGTAACTGGTCATTATTAAAGCTGTTGTAAGAATATGTTAATTTGATTTAAAAAAAGAACAGGTTCTCATGACTTTGGGAGCCTACAACCACAACATGGCCACGACAGCATGTGTTAAGTGTTACCATGGCGACGATCCCCGTCAACAACCGTTATGCTAACAGCTAACGGAGCGAGCTGAAATCGAAACCACGTAATCTCGGCTTTTGCTGAAGCGTTTAATATTCTTACATGGTGCAGGTGTAACGTGATATATATATATATATATAATACATCCACAGTGTAACGTTGGTGAATTCTGTGTTTTTCCGCGGTCAAACTGGAGACTTGTAAAGTTCAAACCGCTGCTATGTCGCGGGCCTGACACGGACATGTGACACCGTGGAATATGACGTACAAAAACATTCATATTGTTTACGTAAACGATAATTCTTCACAAAACCTCTCTCCTCCTCTCACTCTCCTTCCCTCTCATACTTTCGTCATCCTCTCTCTCATCCTCTCACCCTAAAATCTAAAAATGTAACGAAAAGTGACACTGAACATTTAGAGCTCTACCTTGTGGCCATATTGAGTCACTGCCATAGACTGTAAATATAGTCACCGCAGAACCGCGGTTATAAAGGACGATGGCACATATTAAAGTATAATGATATGAAGAGACTCCGTTCATGTCTTCAACAGGATCTTGGGGACATTTACTTCATGTTTTAGAATGTGAAATACTGTATGTGTAAATATATGAACAAGATCTATGGGACAAACGTCTCATACGAAGTAGATGAAGATGTGCCATATACATGCAGAAGGAGAGTTACATACAATATTAAGGAATAATATGAATGTTTATAATTCGCACAAAAACACGAGTGGAACATATGGAAACATTCGAACTTTATTAAAGCTGTGGTCAACAGAATTAAATATTTACAAATGTACATGTCTGTTTCCACACCAGAAGACGCTGCAATGTGCTGCATAAAAACAATAATATTACAACTGTTTGAGACAGTGACGTGTGTTTGAGGACCGCCAGCTCTGATTCAAACACGTGTTTCCCAGTGTGAACAATAAAAACAATAAAAACAGTTTGGTCGAATCTGAGGCTGAAATTCTTCACTGCGGAGGTCGTGGTGTTGGGAACAAATCATTTAAATATATTTATTTAAAAAAGAACATGATCCTTGTCTTAGTTTTAACCCTGTGCTGTAGAGTCTAAATGAGTCGCCACAGAAGCAAAGGGTCTGAATGACCAAAAATAATGTAGTCTTTTTAATCCCTGTAGTTTATCTCACACAGCGAAACACATGTTCAGGGATTCGCCGCTTTTATATTTTTATTTCTTATTAAAATAATGTGTTCAGAGTGAACGAGGACAGAAACATCTGATTTCTGTGGATTATAATAAATACTTTATTAAAACAAACATTTTTAAAGGATTTTGATTCAATGAATAAAAGGAAAATACTTTTATAATATTTATGTCAAACTTCTATAATTTATATAAAAATAAGTTAAAGTTTTAAGTGCAACATTTTCTCCAAACGCAGAAACCAGCTTCAGATTCACCACAAACACAAACACAGTGTGGACCAGGTCTGAACCAGGTCGGAACCAGGCCCGGACCAGGTCTGAGAAACGTTAAATATAATTCCTATTTATGTGGGTAGAAAAATAGATTCAGTGGAATGAGCAGAGAGGAGCGAAACACGCCTGGATCAGGTCTGGATCAGGTCTGGATCAGGTCTGGGTCAGGGCTGGATCAGGGATGGATCAGCGATGGACTGAACTCCTGTCTGCTCCTCTGCTCCAGCTTCATGTTGAACACGACAACGTCTCGTTTCATGGTTTTATGTCGGAAAAACTGGTGTAAGTTTCACTGCAGCTGGAAGAGGAACTGACGACGCTGCAGTCTGCAAAGAGACAAGAGACTGAAGCAGGACTGAAGCAGGACTAAAGCAGGACTAAAGCAGGACTAAAGCAGGGCTTAAGCAGGACTAAACCCGGTCTCGTACCAGAGCTGCTCAGCGACTGGGAGGACTTGGACTGATGGATCAGACTCAGCAGGTTTTCCGCTGGGACCCAGGACTCCCTGCTGCTGCGGAGGTTCTTCACAAACCTTAAAGAAACAAGAGTGATGTCACACAGGAGAGGGAGGGGCCAGGGGGAGTGGCCAGGAGGAGGGGACAGGTGATAGAGGTGATCTCGGCCTCACCACATTCCCTGCTCTCCTTCCCGGATCAGCTGCACTGTGTCTCCGGTCTTCACACCGAGATCCAGAGATTTATCACAATCCGAGAGAACTGTATACCGTCCAGGAGCCTGCAACAGAGACGTTACAGACCAGGACAAGACCAGGACAAGACCAGGACTAAAGCAGGACTAAATCCACACCAGTTTCTTGGTCCCCTCTTCCTCTGTGTCTGAGTTCAGTGGTTCTTCTCCGCTCGAAAATTCATCGTTCTCTTCACACACGTCCACCGACACCGAAGGCTTCGCCAAACCTGAAGAAGATACACAAGAGGTCTGGACCAGGTCTGGACCAGGTTCGGACCAGGTCTGAAACCCAGGTCTACTAAGACCCAGCTCTACTGACACCCAGGCCTGGGGCGGGAGGAGCAGTGGCCGGTCTTCCTTTATACACTTCTAAAAAGGACTCTAAAAGGTCGGCTGAATGATTGACAGGTGATGTCCGCATGAAAATACCTTTGACACCAAAAGGGGCGGGGTCACTTTTCAGCAGGAGTTTGGGCGAGTGTTCTGGGCTCACCACTGGAGAGGAGGAGAGGAGAGAGGAGAAGGGAGGAGAGAGAGTAGAAGGGAGGAGAGAGAGGAGAGAGAGGAGGAGGAGGGTTAGGGAGAAGAAAAGGAGATATAACCGTATAATCTGTATGACTGTATAATGTTTTCGTCTGTGCAGCCAGGTCTAGGTCCAGGTCCTGGTTCTGGTCCAGGTCCTGGTCCTGGCCCAGGTCCGCTTACCTTTTGGGCTTTTCCCGAAGCCCTGTAAAGTGAAGCGTTTCTTGGCCACGACACGGTCTCCTGTCGGGCTGGTCACCTCCTCTGGAGCTGAGGGAGGTGTGTGTGAGGGGTTGCAGAGTGAAGATGGAGTAACGAGGAGGAGGAGAGATGAGAAGGAGAAACAGAGGGAAGATGGAGACATAAGAAGGTGGAGACATGAAGGAGGAGAAGAAGCAGAGACACAGGCTTTAGTGGCAGAGTCCAGTGGCAGAGTCCAGTGGCTTGTGTGATGTCACATGTAATTTCTGGCTTATTCCAGAGGAGAGTGACTGAGCGGCAGTGGGAAAGGTGTGCGTGTTGTTTAGATGCTGATCCAGATTTCCCTGCAGACGTGTTGTTTGGACCCGTGTCAGCTTTGCACCACAGCAAAACATGCACAATATTGTTGGTCCCAATACCAACCCTTGTGGAAACTGATGACCCGGGACAACAAGGGGAAAGGGGAGGCATGTTGGTTGGACCCGTGTCATCTTTTCACAGGAACGTGTCACAACAAAAATGTGAAAGCACACTTCCCATTTTCAAAATAAGCCTTCTAAAGTCACAGCGCGAGTACCCAGAACAAAAGACCATAGAGAGACGGACGAGATCAGAGAGAGACCAAAGAAAGTCCTGAGAGACCAGAGAGAGACCAGGGAGTGAGACTAGAGAGAGAGACCAGAGAGAGACCAGAAAGAGGCCAGAGAGACGCCAGAGAGAGAGACCAGAGAGAGACCAGAAACAATAGAGAGAGACCAGAGAGATCAAAGAGACACCAGAGAGAGACTAGAGAGACCAGACAGAGAGAGACCAGAGAGAGAAACCGGAGAAAGAGAGAGACCAAAGAGAGAGAGACCAGAGAGAGACATGTTCCTCATCCTTAAATACACTTTTCGACATATTTTCAACAATTTTCTACAGAAAGAGCAGCGCTGCAGCTTCACAGTCCTGGACCCAGCTCCGTGGCTCGGTTCGTACCTTTGTGTTTGGGGGAGGAGCAGCTGGACTCTGCTGTCGTCGCCTCTGATCTCTTTTCCTCTTTGTTCTTTAGGTTTTTCTGGACGTTTCTAAAGGGGCTGAAAACACACAAGTGAAGCTTTAACTCGACTGTCAAAGCTCACATTTTAGTGCAATTCAATAATATATAATTTCACACAAATAATATAAACTTCATAATAATAATGACAAACCTGAGGCAGACAGGGCTGGACACTGGAGAGATGATGTCACAGCTCTTCTGCTGACGGGCTTCTAACACACACACACACACACACAGTTACATTGTATATTGACCTAAAATTAAATAGAGTTTAGTTTTTTATAGCACCACAAGATCAGCAGGAGAACACATCCTCCAATAGTATTTGCCAAGTAATGTTGTTCCAGGACCTACAACATGCACTGGGACGGTTTGCAGCCGAGTGTGAAGCGGCTGGGATGAGAATCAGCACCTCCAAATCTGAGGCCATGGTGCTCGACTGGAAAAAGGTGCCTTGCCCTCTCCGGGTGGGTGGAGAGGTCCTTCCTCAAGTGGAGGAGTTCAAGTATCTCGGGGTCTTGTTCACGAGTGAGGGAAGGATGGAGCGTGAGATTGACAGGCGGATCGGTGCAGCGATGCGGTCTCTGTATCGGACCGTCGTGGTGAAGAGGGAGCTGAGCCGAAAGGCAAAGCTCTCGATTTACCGGTCAATCTTCGTTCCCTCCCTCACCTATGGTCATGAGCTTTGGGTAGTGACCGAAAGAACGAGATCGCGAATACAAGCGGTCGAAATGAGCTTCCTCCGCAGAGTGGCTGGGCGCTCCCTTAGAGATAGGATGAGGAGCTCGGTCACACGGGAGGAGCTCGGAGTAGAGCCGCTGCTACTCCACGTCGAGAGGAACCAGTTGAGGTGGCTCGGGCATCTGTTCAGGATGCCTCCTGGACGCCTCCCTGGGGAGGTGTTCCGGGCACGTCCCACTGGGAGGAGGCCCCGGGGAAGACCTAGGACACGCTGGAGGGACTATGTCTCTCAGCTGGCCTGGGAACGCCTTGGGGTCCCCCCGGACGAGCTGGAGGGAGTGTGTGTGGATAGGGAAGTCTGGGCGTCTCTGCTTAGACTGCTGCCCCCGCGACCCGGCAACGGATGAAGCGGAGGAAAACGGACCGACGGACGGATGTTGTTCCTTTCTGGTTGAAGATGGCTGAGGCTGAAGCAGCACGACGTGCACAATAGTACATTTTACAGATAGATAGACTACATTATTTAGAGTTTTTTGAAGACCGAAAGCTCTATTCCCTCATGCTAGCATCATAAGCTACATTTAGTTTGTATTTTTATATTTGCTGAAAGTAAGTTTAAAGTAATGCCGTAGTAGTGTAATCATTTACAATTCAGAGATAGTAATATTGTAGTGAAACATGACTTTGAAATAACAGAAATAAGTAACACATCATGTATCTCGAAGTCACCGTCCAATACTGGTGTACGCAGTGTGTGTGTATACACACATATATATACCAAGTGTGTTTCACCTCTGCAGGCGTGCAGCTGCTCGGTCAGAACTTTCCGGATCTCATTTACCCACGATGTTTTCACCTCTGCTGACGGCGCCTGCAGAGAGGACCAGGATTACACACACACACAGCGAAACACAAACACACAGAGTGACACACACACACATTGAGTGAGACACACACACACAGAGCGAGACATACACACACATAGAGCGAGACACACACACACAGAGCGAGACATACACTCACAGAGCCAGACACACACACACATAGAGCCAGACACACACGCACACACACCTGCACTATGAAGACCTCGTCTCTGGAGTTGCACCAGATCTCAAACTTCTTATTGTCTCCTTTGGCGTTTTCTGTGATCCCCACAGCACTCATCTGTAAAGGGAAAGACCGGGCTCAGGCTGGGGTCAGACATAGTCCAGACATAGTCCAGACCTTGTCCAGACCAAACACTCAGGACTTACACTCAGAGAGGTCTTGAAGCTGTAGGAGGGAGCCTTCTCATAGCCCTCTCCGCTCTCCTCCCGTCTCTTGCAGAACAGCAGCGCCCTCTGGTGGAGGAACAGGTGTCGCTGCATGGGTTTGAACCGAGCCAGATCTTTGACTTTAGCGTGTCCTTTTTTATGTTCTGTCCAAACACTGAAGGAGCCCTGCATCAGGAGCCTGCCCAAGTCCGAGAGGTTTCCCTGAAATACACAATTATATGTACTATAGTATGTACTGCAGTACTATTACAGTACTACTGCAGTAGAACCGTTTCTTCATCTTGTACACACATTGTATATATACATATTAGTGGAGTCTTCACCTCGTATCCTGTGAGGGCGATCAGATGCATGGAATCGTTCACAGCTTTGAGGATCCCCAGGATGGAGGAGAGCGCCTCCTGCAGGTCGTCTGCTCCATCACAGCCTTTACTGTACTTCAGCATCTCCTGCAGCGACATCAGCCATGAGCAGCAGCAGTAGTATTAGCAGTAGCAGTAGTAGTAGTATTGGCAGTAGTAGTAACAGTAGCAGTAATAGCGGTGGTAGTAGTAGTAGCAGTAGTACTGGTACCTTCAGCAGCAGCTGGTACTTGGTGATCCTCTGCACTGGTTTCAGCAGATATGAGTCCAGTCCTAGTTTGTGTTCCAGCCTCTTCTGACACTCCTGAAACACCAGAGACATCAGAACAACAGCAGCAGCAGGAGCAGTCTTAAGAGTATCAGTAGTAGCAGGAGCAGTACAAGCATTAATAGTAGCAGTAATAGTATCAGCAGGAGTGTCAGCAGTATTAGTGACAATAGTATCAGCAGTAGCAGTAGTATCAGCAGTAGCATTAACAGTAGTATCAGCAGTGGTATGAGCAGTAGTAGCAGTAGTAGCAGTAGTATCAGCATTAGTAGTATCAGCAGTAGCAGTAGTATCAGCATTAGTAGTATCAGCAGTAGCAGTAGTATCAGCATTAGTAGTATCAGCAGTAGTAGTGACAGTACCTGGAAGAAGGCGCAGTCGGAGAACTGTCTCCACAGACTTTCAGAGCGAGGTTTGTTCTGACAGTACGCCTCATAGACCTGCAGCTCCTGCATCTGTACAACACACAGGGATCTGAGTACAGGTACAACACACAGGGATCTGAGTACAGGTACAACACACAGGGATCTGAGTACAGGTACAACACACAGGGATCTGAGTACAGGTACAACACACAGGGATCTGAGTACAGGTACAACACACAGGGATCTGAGTACAGGTACAACACACAGGGATCTGAGTACAGATTTGACACAGAGGGTCGGGACTCACTCTCTGTAAGAAGCAGCGTCCCACCAGCTCGGGGCAGTCGCTGTAGAACTCCAGCTCCTTCAGGAACGTCCTGCAAATATATATTCATATTAAAAGAGGAGTAGAAGTAGAAGTACATGCAGTGGAAGTATCAGTATAAGGAGTATTATTAGCTGTAGTAGTATCAGTAGTTTCAGTAGAAGTATTAATAGTAGAAGTAGTATTTTTAGTAGCAGTAGTAGCAATATTAGTAGCAGTAGAAGTATTATTAGTAGCAGTAGTAGTACCGTTTGTGGAAGTGGTAGATCTCTGTCATGTTCCCAAACAGAACGTCCTTCTTGGAGACCAGAGACGGGGGGAGGAGGGGGGAGAGGGCCGGGTTCTCCATCTGTGCCAGGTACCCCTACAACGCACACGCGCGCACGCGCACACACACACACACACACACACCCACACTTTAATTTAGAAATGTTCCTGTTGCGGGTCGACACGGGTCTAAAAACCCGACTCACCTCTAACACACACAGCAGCTCGTCCACATAAGCCCGCTCTGTGTCCAACAGCTCGTTCATCACGTGTCTGAAGCACAAACGTGTGACATCACAGACTCAAACACTTAAGTGTTAACACATGCTTTTTCAAAATTCAGGCTCAGTGCTATTCAAATAACCCCTCCCCTTTCTTCTCCATTCTCCTCTTCTCTCTCCTTAAATTTCTATGTCAAGAGACGATAAAGACTAATCCAATCTAATAATGTCTTCCTCAGGTCCTCCTCAGGTCCTCCTCATGTCCTGCTCAGGTCCTCCCCATGTCCTCCTCAGGTCCTCCCCATGTCCTCCTCAGGTCCTCACTATGTTCTTCTCAGGACCTCCTCACTCACCTCCGGAGCACAGCCAGGTTCTCCTCCTCCTCCGACAGAGAAGCGTGCCGCGTGTTTCCGTTCACCGCAGACTCCACCTGCAGCAGAGGAACCATGAGACTCACCGTTTGATTATTTGGGTCAGAGAGTGACTCATTATAGTGACTTAATAATGACTTGATTGTGACCTTTTTACAGATGGCGCTGTCTGCAGAAAACCTCCTCTCCTTCCTCTGGGGAACTGCATCCAAAAACACACATGATGGAGAAGCAACAGTAGTAATAATATTTTTTTTTGTTTTTTTTTTTGAACGGGACAGTGCATGCCAAGGAACAGACACATTAAAAACATGAATGTAAACATGCCAGATAATAGCCAAAGGCTTATTTCCATCTGTAGTCCCATAGGGTCATAGGGTTTTGTCACAAACAAAAAACAGCTTGCATTTCCGCACAGGCCACACATTAGTAATAACAGTATCAGTACTTACTGGGGGATGTCTGGGGGGACTTCACTTCTGGTCTGGGGGCCACTGGTTGCACTGGTCTTGTTTGCTTCGTTGCCAGTTTCTTGAGAGAAATCCTACGTTTGTCGAACATCTCCTGCACCGACGTCTGCTTCTGGAAAACCTTCTCTATTTGTTCCTGGACAAAACAGAGTCAGAGAAACCTCAGAGAAACCTCAGAGAAACCTCAGCGTAACCTCACGCAACCTCAGTGCAATCTCAGCGCAATATATTTTTTTAAATCTTTATTTGAATTGGGACAGTGCACAGTTAATCAACATGTGTTTTTCAACATGTAAATGTAAATTCAGCGCAACCTCCGAGGTTACTGTGAGGTTGCTATTGCATTTTTTGCCATTGCCAAACTACGTACAACCTGCCTGTTCAGCGCAAACTCTTGACGTCACCCACAACTAACTACAACACCCGCCTCCCGCGCTCGCTGATTGGTCGGATGGAATTCAACCGATGTAATCGCAAACACAGGGACCAGACCCAGACGTTACATGCAGGGAAATGATGATTGACCGGAGTGTATGGATGGCTAAGGTCAGGCTACGTTAGCTCCAATTCTTACCTGTATGTGTGGAGAGAGCAGTTCCTGGTACTGCAGGCAGAGGGCGCTGTGACTCTCCAGAGTGTGTGAGTCTCTGGTCTCCATGAAGCGCTCCAGCTCCTGCAGTGCCCCCTGTGCCCCCTCCTGGGACTGTACGCGGTCCACAGGCTGCGACGCCAGCAGGAAGACCAGCTCATCACACCATAGCGCCGCCTAAAGGACAACACAGGTACTACGTCTCAGTTACAACAACAACAGCAGCAGTAGCTGTAGTAGTAGTAATAGCAGTTGTAGCAAGGCAGTAGAAAAAGCAGTTGTAAAAGTAGCAGTAGTAACAGAAGTATCAGTAGCAGCAGTAGTCATACTAACAGTAGCAGCAGCAGTAGTTGTAGTAGTAGCAGCAGTAGTAGTAGATGTACCAGTAGAGACAGTCTCTGTCAGGTTCCTTCAATCGTACCTTCTCCAGAGCTCGGTGTAGATCCCTTGCTCGCAGTAAGTTCTTCTTCTTCTTCTGCAGAACACTGATGATGTCATCGCTCGCCGCTCGGAGCTCGCTGCACTTGGGCTGAATGGAATCCTCTGCATAGTGAGAGCAGGAGACCAGGAAGTCCCCCTCTGAGACCAGGACCAGGGCCAGGTCCAGGACCTCCTGAGAGACCAGGTGAGACCAGAGGGACAAGGTGAGACCAGAGAGATCAGGTGAGACCAGAGAGAGAGGGCAAAGAGAGCCCGGAGAGAGACCAGGGAAACCAGGTGAGACCAGAGAGACCACAAAAACCAGAGGGACCGGGTTTAGACCAGAGGATAAAGTCTCAGGTTTGTGACCCTAAGTGCACTTAAGTAAAGGCCGTTTGTCACATTCACTCCATCCTAACAACGTGTCAGAGTCCCCATACCTCAGTTTGAGAAGCACCCCAGTATCATACATTTGAAACAGTTGGTTTGATGGTTTGACTCACCGCAGACGAGTCTTCGATCCCAGAGAGCTCGCTCAGCACGTGTTCAGCATGAGCCGGACTCACAGTGACCTCAGAGAAACTGGATAAACGAGACCAGACTGATTCCAGCTGAGACCGGATCTGAGGAGAGACCAGGGATTAAGACCGACCACAGACCTGAGGAGAGAGACACCAGAGAGAGAGATTGAAGAGAGAGATTGGAGAGAGAGATTAGAGAGAGAGACCAGAGAGAGACCAGAGAGAGACCGAGGAGAGAGACCAGAGAGAGACCAAGAGAGAGACCAGAGAGAGACCAAGAGGGAGACCAGAGAGAGAAAGATCGAAGAAAGAGACCAGAGAGAGACCGGAGAGAGAGAGACTGAAGAGAGACCAGAAAGAGAGAGCATCTGTGGAGTGACCAGGGTTTAAGACAGAGACCACAGACTGAGTCCAGCTGAGAACGGATCAGCATAAGCCGGTCTCCTAGATCTGAAACTCTGTCTTCCGCTAAACCCTGTCCCGTGTCTTACGTGTCTGAAGCTGGTCTCAAAATGGCGCAGCTGCAGACACTGCTGCAGTTTGCTTTGGTGTCTCTCCCAGAAATCCTCGAAGGCCGTTTGGGTCTCATCCAGCTGCCCCAGCAACCTGCCCACAACAGAATACAGCCGATTACACATGAGGCTCTAAAATTACACACACGTCGCACCAGCGGATTGACAGCGTGACGTGCCTTGGAGCTGTGTTCGGGTGAGTGAAGCTCTGACCTCAGAGTTTGGCTGCTCTTTCCTTTAGAACGTTGTCCTTGTGAAAAATATGTTGAAAGTGTCTATAATGCTCCATGCTTTTGTTTATTGTAATGTGGCCCCTCTCTGGCCCCTCTCTGGTTTCTGCGTGTAAGACTGACCTCTGCACTGTCACCAGGTTCTCCATCTCGTCTTGGCTCATGTCGTACTCGGGGTCGACCTGAAGTGGCTCGTTTATGCACAGCAGCAGCCGGTGTCCCTGAGAGAGCGCCACCTGCAGGTCCTCCTGAGAACACAACAGTTACACAGCTCTATCTGCTTTTTTTTAAACTTCCTTCCATAGAGTCCAGTACAAACAGCTCTTCTATCACATATAATGGTGCTTTCAGACCGCCAACACTGAAACGAACATTCTCTAGTTTTCAGACGCAGGGGTCTTTAGACCAGAAGTCCTGGCGCGCGCCAGAAGTGGCGGAAGTAGCCGCCGGGCTTTGATGCTAACAGAGTTTAGCTAGCGGCTTCTTGTGTACAGATCTTCTCCATTAATGCAGCTTTGCAGCGTGTCTGTGTTCAGAGACCTTCCACGGACTTTATATAACAGTAGTATGTGTTCACGGAGGTGCGCAATAAGTTTATTTTATTATTAAACGGTACTTCCGCATCGACGAACAAACTCAAAGCAGTTGCATAAAGTCACGGGAGCATGAAAACTCACATGTTAACAAGCACTATGTCCCCCATTGTCAACCCTGGTTTAGTCCTGATGTAGCTCCTGTTTTGGCTGTTTACAAGTATTTTCAGTCAGCTCGCTCAGACCGCTAATGTCCCTGTGACCACTTTGCGGCTCTCTGATTGGATGCTGCACGAACGTCCCGAGGAAAGGTTGAGCAAAATTCATCTTCTGCGTTCCTCCCCTTCGACTTCCCCGCGCAGTCCGTGCGCGTCAAACGCGCGTCCCTATTGACTTTGCAATGAAAGTTGACACAACGCATGATCCGGTCTGAACGCGGCATAAGACAGTCTGGAGGGGTTGCACAAGGGTCGATCTTTGGGCCAATTTTATTAATATGTAAAATGACCAGTTAAACAGCTCTTTTTCAGCTTCCTTCAGTCGAGTCCAGTATAAACAGCTTTTGTGTCAGCTTCCTTCAGTCCTGGTCAGCTTTAATGTGAGCTCTCTCACCTTCATGCGCTCCTTCTTCTCCTGGTGCATGCTGAGCAGAGCTGTGGTTTGGTCGGCATCGTTTGGAAGCTCGGTTTCTGCCAGTTCTGTTCCAAACGCCTGCAGAGTCTGAGCCGTGGTCTTCACCATCAGGGCGAACGCTTCTATTGCCTGCAAACACGTGGTGATGGCAGCTTCAATTACGCCCTCAGCAAAATGAACCAGAGCGTTAAAACAAAATCAGTCTGTTAATTCTGCACTTTTATTGTCTATATTGCTCCAAATATGAAAAGGTCCAAAACGCCGCCTTGAGGCACCCCCTGTTTACACACATCGAATGGCATCTGAGATATGACAAGTTGAGTCAGTGATAGTTTAGAGCTTTAGCCATGCCTCCTTTTTACCTGCAACTCTATACTTTCTCATGTACTTCTTTACGTACTTCCTCACATACTTTCTCATATACTTCCTCATGTATCTCCTCCTGTACTCCCTCATGTATTCCCCCTGCGTGAGTGGAGTACCGTCCGGTGGGAGATCCAGCCCTCGTGGTTGTACTCCTGATGCCCTCCCAGCTCAGTAGTCAACTGTTCTGGGGCGATGTAGGCGTGTAACTCTGCCACAGAACTCAACAGCACCACCTACATGCGAACAGGAGAAGTGCGTCAGTGTCAGAGGCCTGGACTCTGCCTCCTTGCTGCTGCTGTGAGAAGACCCCTGTCCTTTCAAAGCTTTTCCCCAGAGAACAACAGTCCACAAGTTAGCGATCAGTGAGTGCTTTTCCCTTTGAGCCGCAGCTTTAAGACAGGGATCTGGTCTCGTACCTTCATTTTGAAGTCATCCTTGTTGAACTTGAAGAGAAAGTCGGAGAGCGTCCTCTGCAGCAGCGCAGTGGGTCTGAGCACGAGCACGGCCTGGACCTGCCCCTCTCCAAAACACTCCTGTAGAATATGGACAGTTATTATAACAGACCTGACACTCCCCAAAACACTGCTTTGAAAATGTATTTACAGACATCACCCAAAAGCAAGGGAAGTGTGAGAGCAGGCCTCTATCTGCATCTTCATGTGTGCGGTTCTGAGACTCCAGCTCTGAGACTGCAGCTCTGAGACTGCAGTCCTGAGAATGCAGCCTCGAGACTGCAGCTCTGAGACTGCAGGCCTGAGACTGCAGCTCTGAGACTGCAGGCCTGAGACTGCAGCTCTGAGACTGCAGGCCTGAGACTGCAGCTCTGAGACTGCAACCTTGAGACTGCAGCCCTGAGACTGCAGCTCTGCTGCTGGTCGCCTGCCGCGACATGGAAACAAATGAATAAAAGATAAAAATGGCCGAACGGTGTAACCATAGAAACCTGCAGTGTCCTCTCTACAAGGGCGTGTGGGTATTTTTAGCATTAGCATGTTAGCATTAGGCATAAACCAGGTTCAAAGCAGGTCTAAAGCAGGACTAAAGCAAGTCTAAAGCAGAACAGAAGTAGGACTGAAGCAGGACTCAACTGAAGCAGCTCTAAATCAGATCTACAGCAGATCTACAGCAGGACTTAAGCAGGTCTTATAAACACGAGTGTACATCTCTCTAGCTCAGTGTTCCAACCTTTTTGAGCTGTGGCACACCTTTGTCATTGCATTAAATCATATGGCGCATCTACTGAATTTGACACAAAATTGAAACCTTTATTAACAACGCAAAGTCATTCTCATCAATGCGTATTATATAGAAAATCAAACAAGCAAAAAACATTATTTTCTTTTCACATTTTCATTATAAGCTTGATTTTGACAAAGTAGGTGATATAGGACTATTTCCAAGGCACACTAATAAAAATCTCAAGGCAGACCAACGTGCCACGGCCCACGAGTTGAAAGACGCTGCTCTAGCTGAACAAGTGCCCCACATGTGACTGATATACATGATTTTTTCTTTGGGTCAAACACATGAATCTGAATGTCTTTTGTTCAATGCCTCTCTCTCTCCCCCCTCTCCACACACATGTCAGAGCGGGCAGGCAAACCCTCCTCTGGGACATCCCACCTCCGGATAGGACTGAATAGATTATAAACAGGAGGGAGAACAGTGGAGCGACATTTCATCTAGGAGAAATCAGCCTTATTCCCACTGAGGACACTGGCTGGTTGATGACAGGCAGGCAGCTCCCCCTCTGGTCTCTCCCCCTCCCTGGTATCTCCCCCTCCCTGTTATCTCCCCCCCTCTGGTATCTCCCCCCCTCTGGTATCTCCCCCCCTCTGGTATCTCCCCCCCTCTGGTATGTGGGCGGGGCATTTGCTGGGGTAATTCCAATTATTCAGGTTGTTAATAAAAGGAGCCGATGTTTAACAATCCAAACCTCATCGGTATAATCATGTTTCGTTAGCATCTAATTAGCATGTAGTTAGCATGTCATTAGCATACAGGCATGCTAATCTGTGTTAGCACATGGGCAGCAGCTGTGAGGGCCAAAGGGGAAACAAAAACCACCACAAACCACCGGGAGCAGAGAGAGCAGAGAATCACAGTAATACAGTTTTCACCCAGAAAGAAACAGAAGTAATTTCCCTGTTTGTGTGACGCCCTTTCTGGTTCAAATGACAATGAGACAATAAACTCCTGGTCTCCATCGCCCAGTTCTCAATAGCATGTGTTGCCCTTTAACATCTCTGGTCTCTCTCCCTCTCTGGTCTCTCTCCCTCTCTGGTCTCTCTCCCTCTCTGGTCTCTCTCCCTCTCTGGTCTCTCTCCCTCTCTGGTCTCTCTCCCTCTCTGGTCTCTCTCCCTCTCTGGTCTCTCTCCCTCTCTGGTCTCTCTCCCTCTCTGGTCTCTCTCCCTCTCTGGTCTCTCTCCCTCTCTGGTCTCTCCCCCTCTCTGGTCTCTCCCCCTCTCTGGTCTCTCCCCCTCTCTGGTCTCTCCCCCTCTCTGGTCTCTCCCCCTCTCTGGTCTCTCCCCCTCTCTGGTCTCTCCCCTCTCTGGTCTCTCCCCCTCTGGTCTCTCCCCCTCTCTGGTCTCTCCCCCTCTCTGGTCTCTCCCCCTCTGGTCTCTCCCCCCCTCTGGTCTCTCCCCTCTCTGGTCTCTCCCCTCTCTGGTCTCTCCCCTCTCTGGTCTCTCCCCTCTCTGGTCTCTCCCCTCTCTGGTCTCTCCCCTCTCTGGTCTCTCCCCTCTCTGGTCTCTCCCCTCTCTGGTCTCTCTCCTCTCTGGTCTCTCTCCTCTCTGGTCTCTCTCCTCTCTGGTCTCTCCCCTCTCTGGTCTCTCCCTCTCTGGTCTCTCTCCCTCTCTGGTCTCTCTCCCTCTCTGGTCTCTCTCCCTCTCTGGTCTCTCTCCCTCTCTGGTTCTCTCTCCCTCTCTGGTCTCTTCCCTCTCTGGTCTCTCCCCCTCTCTGGTCTCTTCCCTCTCTGGTCTCCGTATGGTTTCTTACTGTGATCCGTAGCAGCGTGTTCTTGACTGCGGCCCATCGGTCTGACCGTCTGTCGATGACCAGGATGAAACCGCACGCCGCCACTCTGCAAAAACATCAGGGACACATCAGAGACACATCAGGGACATCGGCTCCCTTAGGTCAACACAAGTCTGCACCTCTATTCCACCAAAGAGCTGGTTCAGTCTAGCCTGACTCTCGCCAGACCCGTGTAGTTTCGCTGAGCTTCACACAAGGGTCTGGGTCTCCTTCATAGCGTATGAATTTCAGAAGGCGGGGCCTTGTAAAAAAATTAGGGCTGGAAACTCGATTAAAAAAATTTAATCGAATTAATTAGAGGCTTTGTAATTAATTAATCACAATTAATCGCATATAAATATTTGACCTGAGAACAGTGAAAAGTAATTTTTAGTTAACCATTGAATAATGACTGAATACATAAGCAACACATAAAAAAAAAACTTGCACTACTATTGACACATATATCTGATTGCCACTTTAAATTGCCACTTTTATTGTACATATATATCCTGCATGTAACATGTTTGCACATTTCCTTCTTTTGCAAAATCTGAGTGTTCTATCCATGCCAAACGTGACATGTAAATTTCTCCTTGTGATATCTCTTATCTTAAGGGGATCAGACGGACTTCTTTCCCATCAAATAACGATATCTGTCATTGCCTCCACACTCTCCGACCACAACATACGCTTTTTTATGCCCAAACTCCACTGCACTCGCAGTGAGCACTAAAGCAGTTTGCTAAAGCTTTTATAATAAGGTTTTTGATGTGTACATTCAGACTAAACATCAGCAATAGCAGCTCACTCCTTCTCCGCTCACACACAGGAGTCGCTGCTCCTCCTCCTCACACACAGAAGCGCTCATTCCCGTCACTAACTCACTCGGATTTAGACACCGCTAGGGTTGGTCTATGCTTGTAAAAATGTTTTTATTTTATTTTTTTATATTATGCAACATTTACACAATATACAAAACAAAAACCAAAAATAAATAAGACAATAACAAATCAAGGAAATTAGTAGTATCTGAGGGAGGTATTCTGTGAGTGTTTGTGTACGTGTACATGTATGTGTGCGTGTATGTGTGTCAAGGTAGTTGAAATACAGATACAATATTATTGTCATCCATCGTCACCATCGACAAAAATAATAATAATCCACATTAAAGCTGCACTGACTGACTTTATTTTTGTATTAATCACGAAAATGCAATCCATGTCCATGCAGTGCATTGGAATATACGTCCTTTTGAAGTAAAAGTAGCGCAGATGTGTGCTGGCGTGACATTATATTTTAGATCAAGTTTTTGATGAAACAAGGAAGAGAATGTGTTTCGGGTCGCAGATTGTGACCCATCACAGCGGACCACTAGCCCCCACTTTCGTGAGAAATCTACAGGTTCCCCCGTTAGCACAGACAGCTGAGTTAGCACAACAAGCGACGGTGCTAACCTGAAGCTTCTGTGTCTTCACCGGTTTCTGCTTACACAGCGAGACAGCCATCCAAAATCCAAAAGAAAGTCCCGTTCTTCCGCGCTTCCCAGTTCAATCGTTCTATGGTCACGCCATCCACGTGCAAATCCATATCCCTGTATTATCCATATTAGGAGACGCTAGCTCCGTCAACAACAGTGTGTGTGGGGGGCGATAGCTTCGTGGGTACGGGGAGGGGAGCAGAAAGAGCGAGGCCAGCGCGTCCGCGGCTTCAAAATCCCAAAGTCAGTTAGTGCAGCTTTAAGGCTCATGACCAAAAACCATTTGAGTTTTCAATTGGAGATTATAAACAATAATAATAATTATAATAACAACAATCTAATTAATAATAATAACTATCATTATTACCATCTCTATTATAACAATAACAGTAATAATAATAATTCACAATTTCATGGTGTACTGCTATCTTCCCTCCCCCGTCCCCCCTTCCCTATTTTAAGTGTATTAGTTTTACAGTTTCACTACTTTGTGGTGTGACATGTGTTCTACAGTGCATTAAAAGGCAGACATGAGGGAATGTCCCGAAGTGGGTTTCTCCCCCACGTCCGACCGGCCCTATGTGTATTTATTACATTTTTTCAGTGCTACTCTAATGTGATGCATTAAAAGACAGGAGATGGTGGGGGGAAGAAGCTATCATTTCCTATAGCGATATGCAATTAAATAACGCATGGTAATGACAACAACGACCAATGATGATAATAAAAACATAATAGCAATATTAGTGATGATAATAATGGTGATGATGTAGATGACAACGGCAGCAATGTTCAGGTGTATGTGGGTGTTCTGTTGGTCAAAGTGAGAGTGAGCGTAGGGACCTTGAGGGAGTTGGTCAAAAAAACAGTTTATTGAAGTTGAAGATGTTTGAATGTGACTCTACCATATAAAAAAAATATTTTTGAACAAATAAAGTCACGGAGCTCCATTTTGTGCTCCAGTACAATCGGTCCGTCTGAAACTCAACCAGTGAAGAACGTTCTGCAGTGCAGAAATAAAAACAATAAAACCGTGTAAATGTTTTTAACGTGCACATTTTTGTGTAATTTATTAATCTTAATTAATGCGTTATTAATGCGTTGCCTAAAAAAAAAAAAAAAAAATCAGTGTATGTAATTGGATAAACCACTTGTCTGTTATCTTGAATAACGTATTCCTTCAACCAATCACATCGAAGCACACGACTCCCATGGGTTGCCATGCCGGCAAGATTTCTCAACCCAAAACCCGTGAGAATGCCCAAAAAAACACCCAGAATGATTTTTTGGCTAAAAACATAATGTAATGAACTTGGGCTATCATGATTCTGTTTATTGTCTTTCTGTTTATTTATTACCTACAAGTCTCTTGGAAAAAAAGAATCCGGGAAACCACTCAACCTGCCAACCCTGTTGCGTCGTGTAACACTTAAACTAGTACTTAAAACCAAATTTTATACAAACAATTGACTCTTAAAACACACATATAACAACATGGAACTATCAACATCTCGCCTCATATTGCAGTAAAAGTGACGTCCGTGTCTTAATTCGTTCGTATTTAAACTATTAAAAAATCTTGGATTGCTTTCGCTGCCGCCTGAGACACGCACGAGAAGGTGGTGCAAAAATATTTTTTGATCTCCTGAAGGAGTTTGCATTGGCGACGATCCCAGACCCTTGTATTCAGCCAAACGCCTCTAGTGGAGTATGGTGGAACTACAAGGGTCTGGCGAGAGTCAGGCTAGGTTTACCTGATACAGTCTAATCCTGGTCTAGTCTCTGTTCCGACCAGATTGCGACCAGGTTCCGACCAGGTTATGTTTGGGTTCACCAGAGAAGACTAGAGCCCATAACCATAGCAACACACCGTTTACTAGCAGCATTTAGCATGTATTAGCTTTGTGGCCAACCGTTTTTGCTGCTTTTAGTTTAGATTCACTTTCTCACTCATTTCTGAGCAGCAGCGTTTGGAAAACTAAACGAGAATTTGTGTTATATGTTTTAGAATAGTATTTCAGCTGGTGCCAATACAGCTCTGTCATCTGACATGCTATGTCAGCATAAGCATGTCTCACAGCATTAGCATTTCTGTTAGCTTCAGTGTTATCCTGGCTGCGCTAACATCTGTGGTTTCTGTGGAAACCCTGGCGTTCCGTTGTGCTGTGAAAACGTACATATGTCACAGTCGAGGTGTAAAACCAGTGTTGGAGATATTGAGCGTTCCCCAAACCGGGGGGTCTGGAATGACTGGTCAAACCTGGGGGGACGAGACCAGAGAGTGAGAGACCAGAGAGAGAAAGACCAGAGAGACACCAGAAAAAACCATAGAGACCAGAGAGAGTAAGAGACCAAAGAGTGAGAGACCAGAGAGAGAAAGAACAGAGAGACCAGAGCAAGAGAGACCAGACAGAGAGAGAGGCCAGAGAGAGCGAGACTAGAGAGTGAGAGACCAGAGAGAGACCAGAAACCATAGAGAGACCAGAGAGAGACCAGAGAGAGAGACCAGACAGATAGAGACGCCAGAGAGAGCGAGACCAGAGACAGAAAGACCAGAGAGAGAGAGCAGAGAGACCAGAAAGAGAGACCAGAGAGCAAGTCTTAACTTGAAATGAGAAATAAATAGCAAGAGTGTTATTTTACTATTGGAAAATCTTGTTTTAACACATTTTCTCTGAAACATAAGTAAATTCACTTCCTACAGTATTATCACAAAATCCTCATTTATGAGTCGATAAACAGAGACATAACCAGCTGGGCACAACAAGCACATGTTAAAATAGATCTGTGTCTATTGTCATGATGCAGAAGCCGGTGTTCACCTGGTCTCAGCTCCAATCAGAGCAATACCTCCAGGATCGCTCAGTCCATCCTCGTTCCGGAGCAGGGAATCCACAAAAACAGCAAAAGACTGGAGCAGAAGATGCAGTGGACCATGTGGGTCAGCGCGAGGACCAGGTGAAACCGAGGATTCTTCAGTCCATCTTTAAAATGTGGGAGAATGGGTTGTTTCCAGAGAAAGGGCCGGACGGCGGGGCTTTGGACAAAGGCTGAAATCCTGGTTTGTTTCTGAAGAATCAGCTGGTGTGGTGTCAGCGTGGCATCAAGATGCGCATTCGTATGGATGTGGTTTTACCGCATCACGTCTGTGTTTTTGGTGTTGTCCTTTGGCTCCTCCAGCAGAGCGCAGAGGAGAGGAGAGGAGAGGAGCCAATGGGAGAGAAGTGGGGGAGGTGTAAAGTACGGTGCATTTGTGAAGGACGCCATGATACAGGAGGGAGGGGGAGAGGAGAGGGGAGAGAGGGGAGGGGTCAGAGGGGAGAGAGGAGAGAGGGAAGAAGAGAGGGGAGAGAAGGAAGGGGAGAGAAGGGAGGAAGGAAGGAGAGTGTGGTCAGACCACTCCGGACCCAGTCTACATTAGAGCGGTGTGATGCTGCTATCTGCTGGAGACTTTACAGCATTACAGTTTGGGATTTCAAATTCTACTAGAAAACCCTCTTAAGACCCACTTTAAACTCGCTTTATACCCACTTTAAATCTGGTTTAGACCCAGTTTAGACCCGGTTTAGACCTGCTTCAGTCCTGCTTTAGACCAATTATTCCCTAGGTCAATCCAGTCTAGCTCAGTCCAGGACCAGTACCTGGAGATAGAGGTGAGGTACCACAGCACATTGTGGAGTTCTTCTTGTTGAAGTTGGTGGAATTCTGGGAACTCTGGAAGGACAATTATGGCTGCTCCACTCAGACCTCGGCCTCCTGCAAACACAACATGGAACACATGGCTTCAGTCTGCGTTTTAGGAAAGGCGTTTCCTCCAGTTTTATTCTATTTACAAAAAGAGAAGAGCCTCATATGATGTTGACCAGGAAGGAGAACTTTCACTGATGAGTTTAGCTTCAGGTTTAAGGCCTGGCCTTAGCCATCCGTACACTCCATTCAATCATCATTTCCCTGCATGTAACGTATGGGTCTGGTCCCTGTGTTTGCGATTACAGTTGAATTCCATCCGACCAATCAGCAAGCCAGGAGGCGGGTGTTGTAGTTAGACTTGGGTGACGTTTGCGCCGAACAGGCAGGTTGTAGTTTTGCAATGGCAAAGAATGAGACAGTAAAGTTATGGAAGCCATGTAAAAAAAAATCCCTACAGAAAGTCATAATTTTGAGTTCTAAAGTCAAAATTACGACTTTAAAACTCTAAATTATGACTTTAAAGGGAAAAACTACAACTTTACAAAATTACAAGTTTAAAACTGCGCATGTGCAGTTGCTTCCCCGTATGAATTACTGTCTGGAACGGTCTCTGGACATTCTTCACCTGCAGGTTATGTTGAAGATATTGCCTACAGTGACCACTGCATCCATGAAGTAGCCAGCAATAATGTTGGGGCAGTAATCGCATTCAAATGCGAAAGGTGTTTCTGCTTATGATTAGAATCCGCTCAAGAAGCTTCTATTTAATTTATCCTAAACGGACTGTGGAATATTAATAATAAAACACATGGGGCTGAAGTGGTCTCATTCATTTACCATCAACTGGAGACATCTGGTCAGGATCATCAATGGATGCACCAGAAATGCAGTGAATAATTTTGTGACTGACAGAGAGACCGTTCACTATTACAGGACAGTGAGGGAGGTCCGCAGACAGAGGCAGGAGAACCACAGTCGTGGGTCGTGACAATATTAACCCTTTTGGAATTGCGAACGGTGCATTGAATAATAATAATAATAATAATGCATCGGTTTTATTTAGCGCTTTTTTGGACATTCAAAGACGCTTCACATGTCATTATTCATTCACTCCATACACGGTGGTGATAAACTACTACTGTAGACACAGCTGCCCTGGGGCACACTGACAGAAGCGAGGCAACCAGTATGTGCCATCGACCCCTCCGACCACCACCAACCATTCGCTCACACACCAGACTCATTCTGGCAATGGGGGTCTTGCCTAAGGACACAACAGCAGTTTAGTACTTTACAGCCGCAGCCGCCCCACTGTGGCTGGTGTTCCCAGAGGTTAAGTGTCTTGCCAAGGACACGACAGCAGGCCGAAGCTCTACCAACTGAGCTACTGCCGCCACAATATGACGAATGTGACGTGAATGTGTGCGTGTGTGCGGCCCAAATGTGAGCGCGCTCTGCAGTGAGCTGATGGAGTTTAGGGAATAAGTGCCTTGTCTGATTATTTTATTGTGACAAAATAAAGCCCACGACTCTTTGAGCAACAATCTGGAGAACTAACGCCACAGTTAACAGTGAGGGTCATTGAAAAGGGAGTTAAACCCATTATAGATGCATGAATAAATCCCCGTACACGTAGAAAGCACATCCTTTCAGCCGTGGAAAGACTTGCTCCGTGTGGACCCCTCTCAGCGTCATCGTCTGGTCAGAGTGGTTTGGAATGGCTCGATGGCTCATTTTCCTTTGCTTTATTATAAGAACATATTGCTCACATTATTTGTTACTATGTCGAAATAAGTCGCTTGATGTAAATGTTGTACATATGTAAATTGAATTTGAAATAAATAAATAAATAAAAAGACAGTTCCCCCCTGCGTCCTATGACCACGGTCCGGGGGCTTGAACAGGAAAGTTTTACAGAATCAATGAACAGACATTATTTCTGGCTACTTCATGGATGCAGTGGTCTTCAACATAACCTGCAGGTGAAGGATGTCTGGAGACCGTTCCAGACAACAATCCTACGGGGCAGCAACTGCACATGCGCAGTTTAAAACTCGTTTTTTCGAGTTTTAAAAGTCATAGTAATGACTTTAAAGTCATTACCATGACTTTAAAACTCGAAATTATGACTTTCTGTTGGCTTTTTTTTTTTTTTTTTTTTTTTACACATGGCAGAAACGGGCTTTCATAGTTAAGTAATCCGGTCTGGTTCTATCAAGAAATTGAAGCCGGAGCAAGAGGAATGTTTAGCAAAAGTCATCGCTGGCAAAGATTGTGGCGCTACTCCCCACGGGCTTTGTTAGCGGCAAAGGAGATGCCGAGGCTAAATGCTAAGTGCTAACGACTCACTCGGGCGCATTACGTACGTGCCTCCCACCTGTTCACAGAGCTCAATGGAGCACCTCCAGACCTTAGTACGAAATGTAATCTGATCTCAAATAAATAGAAAATAATAGATTAAAAAACAGAATCAGGTCTCTGTGTACAAGTCTCTTCATGGCCTTGCACCGAAGTACATCTGCCACATGTTATAACCATATGAACCAACTCAGAGTCCGAGGAGCACAGGGACTGGCCTCCTGCTGGTGCCCAGAGTCAGGACTAAACGTGGGGAGGCTACATTTCAGATTTATACTAAAATCTGGACCCTGAAAATGTGAGACAGGCGTCAATTCTGACATTGTTCAAATCAGTTCTGTTTTGCTGCATCTTTTGAATGCACTGTGATTATTTATGATTGTAATGTTTCTTTTCTTGTTTGGTTGAGCACTTACAGCTGCCGTGTGTATGAACTGTGCTATATAAATAAACTTCTTTGAACAAATACAAAAGTCACAGCTCCGTCCTGTTACTTCCGTGTTATCTGACTTTTGTTTTGTTCATTTATTTACCTTTGATTCAGACGGTTTCCCAGAGCAGAGAGAACTGTGACCCAGATCTGAGCCACAAACACATCTATTCAACACATTCACAAAGACCTGGACCAGCGGCTCTACTCTCCGGCTGAGGGAGGGAGGGGGAGGCAGAGAGAGGGAGGGGGGAGGCTGAGGGACGTATCAGAGAGGGACGAGAGACTGAACTCCTTTTGAAGTAACTGTAGTGTAACTGCACACACACACACACCTGAATTATTCACGTTCAGAAACTCTAAACTCAGAACAACAGCAGAGATCAGACTCAAACTTTTCCAGAGACACAAACATCAGAGTCTGGTTCGGTCCACTTCATGCAGACATGTGATTGTAAAGACAGTCTTTTCCTAATAGAGAAGTTTGGCACTTTCCACTGACTTCGATGTAAAAATAAACTCCTTAGTAACCATTTGTGCCCTCTTTGATCCTGGTGTTTAGTCTTTGTAAATCCAGATATGAGCCATATAAAAAAATAGATTCCAGCTAGGTCAAGTTCAATCGGCCTGTTCGCATTAAAGCCTATCAAAGTGATGTCACACACCGTCAGTCCACTCCTCATGAACAGTCTCTATCATTCTTTGTGTTCGTCTGATACCTCACACCTTTAAATGACCTTTAAAAATCACATTTCTGTCTCTGGACAAATCCATACCTTACATCACACACACACACAGGACACAACGTACTGTTCCCATTGTCCTCACACTGAAGCAGAAGAAGAAACAACCATTAAAGAAGATCATTGTTCATCTCTTTAGAAACCGTCCCCCAGCTTTAAACATGTGTTATTTATGAGACTGAAGTTACAGACCCCAGCTTTAATTCTTCTATCATTCGCTGAACCAGAGCGTTTCTCTGTTTCAGAGAGACTGAAACAGAGAGACTGAGCGGTGGTGAACGATGGTGCAGGTACCTGGTCGAAAGGCAAACTGCTTCTGGAGCTCTGAGCCGATGTGAGCTGCACACAGAGGGGGCTCTTCTGTCTGCACCAGCTCATCTGGAACAAGAGAACACATGGTCCAGCTTTATACCAGAGGGACCAGAGAGAGACCAGAGAGAGAGACCAGAGAGAGAGAGACGAGAGAGAGAGACGAGAGAGAGACGAGAGAGAGAGACCAGAGAGAAGGGCCAGAGAGAGGGACCAGGGAGAGATAAGAGAGAGAGACAGAGTGATAGACTAGAAAGATAAGACCAGAGAGTGAAACCAGATAGAGAGAGACCAGTGTGAGGGAGACAGGAGACACATAGAACCCTCTCCAGGTCTGACTCAGTGTGTGTGGCAGGGCATCAGCTCCAGTGCGTTCAAAACGTTTCCAAAGTCAGAGACTAAACAATCTGGATTTACAGCTTTAAACATTTACATTATAGAAAGAGGGAAATGTGAGATCTGAGGGAAACCGCAGACGCTGATCTGAAGCATCTTTAGTCTGGATCAAAAACAGGAAAATTAAAAAGATATAAATAGAGGGTGATGTCACATACTTAGATCCGTTGGAATCTTCTCACTACAGACGGATTAAAGGATTATGAAGAGAGGAGATTCGGACTGGTCTAGACTCTCACTACTGCTGCTGATGAAAATACTACTGCTGATACTACTACTGCTGCTACTGACACTAGTACTGCTGCTGCTATGGCTACTCCAGCTGCTACATATCATGCAGCTCTCGGTGAAATATTATTTATTTTTGTTGATAGTACATTTTATTTCTATAATGAAAGTTACGCACCCCAGCTTTAAGACCGACACAAAGAGTAACAGGAGGAATGACTGTAGTTACGAGAGCGGAGCAGCTAAAGTCCTAAAACAAGTTGATGATTACTTCTGGAGTACTTTGGTAGCGAGTACTTCTGGAGTACTTTGGTAGCGTGTACTGTAGCAGGAGGAGTTTTCAAGAGCAGCGTGTGAAAGTCAAACAGGAATGAGGCTGATAACACCTGTTCACAGAAAACAGCACAACGTCACAGATTCACACATTTTTCTCTGGGGCCTTTCTCTCCCTCTGGTCTCTCCCTCTGGTCTCTCCCTCTGGTCTCTCCCTCTGGTCTCTCCCTCTGGTCTCTCCCTCTGGTCTCTCCCTCTGGTCTCTCCCTCTGGTCTCTCCCTCTGGTCCTTCCCTCTGGTCCTTCCCTCTGGTCCTTCCCGCTGGTCCTTCCCTCTGGTCTCTCCCTCTGGTCCTTCCCTCTGGTCGCTCTTTACATTGAGTTTGTGGGAAATCTGTTTGTTGAATGGACTCATTAGACATTCAGGCGGCTCTCGGCTAAAGGCGCTAACAGCAGCTTCACTTAAGTCAGAGGGGAAGTGGGGTGCAGAGGGGGGAGTCCCAGAGAACCCCCCTTACCCTCCCTCACCACCCACTGACACACTTTACTCGGGGGGAGGGACGCTGCAGTTTCAGGGATTAAATTCACAGATTGTCGACAAATTACTTTTTCTTTGCTGCCGCTGTGATCTGCAAACATCAGATTATTATGAGAATCAGAATCAGAATTATTTTTATTGCCACGTAAGTAACAGGAGGTCACAGATTTGGAAATTGCTTTGGCTCAGTGCAACAGTCAGAAAGAGAGGTAAGGGTAGAGAGGCATAATAAAAAAATAAAAGAATAAAAAACACTTCTAAGGAATAAATGTAAAATTAAAATAGTTACAATTGCTATATACAGTGCACATGGTGCACACAATGTAAGGTGACAGCAGTACAGTGAGGTAAAGTGACTTTATAAGAGCAGTTTGGGACTTATAGAGGGCGGGGAGGTTAAGAAGTGATCAAGTGATCAAGAGTCCAACAGCAGAGGGGAAGAAACTGTTCTTGTGGCGGGAGGTTCTAGTCCTGATGGACTGCAGTCTCCTGCCTGAGGGGAGTGGTTGGAATAGTCCATGTGCAGGGTGAGAGGGGTCGGCTGTGATACGACCAGCCCGGCCTCGAGCTCGGGCAACGTACAGGTCCTGCAGCGATGGAAGGCTGCGGCCGATCACTTCCTCTGCAGAGCGCACAATGCGCTGTAGTCTCTGTTTGTCGCTGACTGTGGCTCCAGCGAACCACACGATGATGGAGGAGGTGAGGATGGACTCGATGATGGCTGTGTAGAACTGCACCAACATCTGTGCAGGCAGCTTGGCTTTCCTGAGCTGCTCTTCCTGAAGTCCACAATCATCTCCACTGTCTTCTGGTCCACCTACCTCCTGTAGGCGGACTCATCGTTGTTGGAGATGAGTCCAATGAGGGTGGTGTCGTCTGAGCCTTTGAAATCTGTGTTCATGTCCCTCTAACAAGATCGTTAATGTCCTTCCAGAAGGAAGTGTAATGAGTTTGAAAACAGAGCGTTGAGGCAGAGGGCCAGGGGGATGTGTGTGTGTGTGTGTGCGCGCGTGCGTGCGTGTAACTGGGTGTTCCACATGGCTGTGGTTAGGGCCCAATGTTATTGTGATAAAAACAGTTGAATCTCAAGAAACATGATTTTGCAGAATATATCGCATCCTGCACCAGTGTCTCTGTCAGGGGCAGTGGTTGCCGTAGTAACAGGGCGTTCACTGCAATTATGTTATAAGTAATAACAGTGTTATGTGTTTGAAAGCAGAGCATTCACACAGAAGGGCCAGGGGGACATGTGCTCATATCACATCTGACCAGGTCTGGACTAAATATGGACTAAGTCTGGAACTGGATCCTATTAGTCCTGCTTGAGTCCTGCTTGAGTCCTGCTTGAGTCCTGCTTGAGTCCTGCTTGAGTCCTGCTTGAGTCCTGCTTGAGTCCTACTTGAGTCCTATTTTAGTCCTATTTTAGTCCTGCTTTAGTCCCTTTCTCCGCTTGGGGGGAAATGTGTTGACGTTCAAACTCTTTACTCGTCTTTATTAGTCCTTTGTGATGACAGCAACAAGAGAAACATGTGATTAGCTGCTGCACCGCATTTCAACTAGGTTCAGGCCTGGTTCAGACCTGGCTCAGACCTGGCTCAGACCTGGCTCAGACCTGGTTCAGACCTGGCTCAGACCTGGCTCAGACCTGGCTCAGACCTGGCTCAGACCTGGCTCAGACCTGGCTCAGACCTGGCTCAGACCTGGCTCAGACCTGGCTCAGACCTGGCTGGCCGTCAAAAGGGGACGCGCATGGTTCGTGCGTAAAAGCCAAACGCCTTGGAGCAGTGTGCATAAGCGAGAGGACTGGGGTGTTGCCACATTGTCTGCCCTAAAGATTACAGCCACAAATTGTACGTACTCTCAGCGTCACATTTCGAGTGTTGTGGAGTTTACGTGATTTTGAAGCAGATTTCGCGTCTGTGTTTCGTGTCTGCTTATGCGTCTGTATTGCGCTTTTTGTGCGTTACTCGCGTTACTTTATCACGGACCGCATCAAGAATCACTCGCGCGTCCGGTTCAGACTTTCAAAATAAAACTCAACGATCCGACGGTTTTCATTATAGACGTTACGTCTTTAAATAATAATAATAGTTTTTAAATCTGTGGAATGTAAACGTTCAGTTTGTTTATGGCCTGTTTGTGACATGTGTTCCAGACAAAAATCTAGTATAGATTAAGAAACTTTATTGATCTCACAATGGAGAAATGTACATCTACGAAAAAAAATATAAGTATCCCCAATCCCCTATTTGGACATGAGTAAAAGACTGTAGTAGTAGTGGTTGTAGTAGAGATGATCTGTTTTGACCCAAAGCTTCAAAAGGAATTCGCAGAAAAATATGGTGAAGAGCTCGGAATAGACCCGCTGCGACCTGAGGGATAGGGTGAGGAGCTTAGTCACACAGGAGAAGCTCTTGAGTTGAGCTGCTGCTCCTCCACTGTTTGGGCATGTCCCACCGGGAGGAGACCAGGGGAAGACCCAGGACACAAAAGAACTGTGTCTCTTAGCTGGGAAAACCTCAGCATCCCCCCAGATGACCTGGAGGAAGTGTGTGGAGAGTGAAGTCTATGTCTCTGCTCACACGGCTGTCTCCACAACCCGGCAATGGATAAAGTGGAAGAAAATGGATGATTGAGCTGTTTTTTCCTTCTGTTTTGCCTGTTGAAACATCAGCTCTTGTCTTTTGCTCGTTCTAGTCTTCTCTTATTCAATTTTTCATGTAGATTTTTTCTTCAACTCTACTCTTCATGTTCTTCATGTTCAGTAAGATCATGTGTTTGTATCCCTCAGTTCCAGGTCCCTCTGGTCCAGGTATCTCAAGTCCAGGACCATGCCTCTGTTTGGAAAGTCCCACAAGTCTCCATCGGAGATTGTGAAGATTCTGAAAGAAAACCTTAACATCCTGGTGAAGCAGGAGAAGAAAACCGACAAGGTGAGACTGGTGCAAACCATAGAAATTAACGGACGTAGTCACGCCTATCTCCGTCGCTCAAACAAATGGGCCAAAAATAGTGCTCTACTGGAGCTATCCAAAATGGCCTTGAGTGGTAAAATAAAAAATAAAATAGAACTGAACCAGGTCTAAAGCAGGTCTAAAGCAGGTCTAAAGGAGGTCTAAAGCAGGTCTAAAGCAGGTCTAAAGCAGGTCTAAAGCAGGTCTAAAGGAGGTCTAAAGCAGGTCTAAAGCAGGTCAAAAGCAGGTCAAAAGCAGGTCAAAAGCAGGTCAAAAGCAGGTCAAAAGCAGGACTAAAGCAGGACTAAAGCAGGACTAAAGCAGGACTAAAGCAGGACTAAAGCAGGACTAAAGCAGGACTAACGCAGGTCTCTCCTCAGGCCTCAGAGGAGGTGTCCAAATGCCTGGTGTCCATGAAGGAGATCCTCTACGGCAGCAGTGACAAAGAGCCACACACAGAGACAGTGGCGCAGCTCGCTCAGGAGCTCTACACCAGCGGCCTCCTGCTGGGACTAGTGCAGCACCTGCAACTCATCGACTTTGAGGTACTACTACTGTTACTGCTGCTGCTGCTGCTACTTACTGCTACTACTACTAACAGTACTGCTACTACTACTACCGGTACTGCTACTACTTCTACTACTACTGCTACTACTGTTATTACTGCTGCAGCTACTATTGCTACTACTACTACTACTTCTGCTACTGCTATTAGATCTACTACTGCTACTACTACTTCTACTGCTGATGATTGTCTGTTGTGTTTCAGGGGAAGAAGGACGTGTGTCAGATCTTCAATAACATCCTCCGGCGACAGATTGGCACCAGATCTCCCACCGTGGAATACTTCTGCTCCCACAGCCAAGTGCTCTTCATCCTGCTGCGAGGGTGAGGAGGAGAGGAGGAGAGAGAGGAAGAGGAGGAGGAGGAGAGAGAAGAGGTGGAGGAGGAGTAGAAAAGAGGAAGAGTTGAGAGAAGAGGCAGATGAGGAGGAGAGAGAAGATGAGGAGGAGAGAGAGGAGAGGGGAGGGTGAGAGGGAGGAGGTAGATGAGGAGGACGAGGAGAGAGAAGATGAGAAGAGGGAGGAGGAGGAGGAGAGAGAGGGGAGGGTGAGAGGGAGGAGGTAGATGAGGAGGAGGGGAGAGGGAGGAGGAGGAGAGGGAGGAGGAGCAGGGAGAGGAGGGGAGGGAGGTGTCCTCTCCCTCAGTGTCTTCAGTGTCCTCTCCCTCAGTCCCTCACTGTCCTGTGTCTTGCTGCAGGTATGAGTCCCCCGCTGTGGCCCTCAGCTGTGGGATAATGTTGAGGGAGTGCATCCGACACGAGGCTCTGGCCAAAGTTCTTCTGGAGGCTCCAGACTTCCACAGGTTCTTCACATACGTCGAGATGTCCACCTTCGACATCGCCTCAGACGCCTTTGCCACATTCAAGGTCAGACCCCAGAGACCCCAGAGACCCCAGAGACCCCAGAGACCCCAGAGACCCCAGAGACCCCAGAGACCCCAGAGACCCCAGAGACCCCAGAGACGAGACCTGAAACCAACGGCTTCTCCTGACCACAGACAATGCTAACATGCTAGCTAAATTAGGCCCAATAGGGAAGTTCTCATGGTGAAGTTCGGCTCTTCTCTCTGACTTCCATGTAAAAGTAAACTCCTCTAGCTCAGTAACTGTTTTTGTCACACACAAATTGGGCTTAGTTTATTGCTCGCCGTGATCCTGGTGTTTTATGTTGTGATATTCTCTTTGTAAAGTCAGATATGAGCAATAAGAATCGACTATCAGAGACCTTCATTCAAGGGGGAAACTCCAGCTTACCTTAGCAACATGTCTGCCTCTGTTGCGGCACGACGCTAACCACACAGAACATATACCCTTATAAGCAAATGCGCTCTAGCTAGCTTTTGTTCAAATATGCTAAGACCCGAGAGCTAAGACCCGAGAGCTAAGACCCGAGAGCTAAGACCCGAGAGCTAAGACCCGAGAGCTAAGACCCGAGAGCTAAGACCCGAGAGCTAAGACCCGAGAGCTAAGACCCGAGAGCTAAGACCCGAGAGCTAAGACCCGAGAGCTAAGACCCGAGAGCTAAGACCCGAGAGCCCCGCCCCTTCTGTCTGAAGCAGGAATTGTTCATAAATTATGTAGATATATATAAAGGTCGTGTTTCCGACGAAGCGGCTCTGTTTTTCAGGATCTCCTCACGAGACACAAAGTCCTGGTGGCAGAATTCCTCGACAAAAACTACGAAGAGGTGAGTTTGAAACCATCCAGAATATTCTATTTACAAATAAATTTATTCTTGTCCATCCATCCATCCATTTTCTACCCATGAATCCATTTCTGGGTCAGGGGGGTGGCAATCAGAGATGCCACCCAAGTCTCATAGCCCCTCACTGACCCTCTGCAGGTGGTGAGTCCACAGGAGGACGGCTGCTCTGAGTGTGAGCATAGCCTTGATCTTTCAGTTGGGGCTTTGGGCAAAGTGGGGTTAAGTGTCTTGCCCAAGGACACAACGACAGCAGTCATCAGTGGGAGTCGGTGGGGAAGGTGCAGAGGTGGGAATTGAACCCACGACCTTCTGGCCTTAAGGCCAATGCTCTACCAACTGAGCTACTGTCACCCCAATTTATTCTTGTATCGCCCTAAATCACAAGGACTCTGGAAGAACTATGCTTGAGTTGTTGATTCGCCAACAACTGATCAAACGATCCGAACAATAATAAACACAGTCACACTTTAGATTAGATCATAATAATTAACAGCTATCTAAGTGCTAATTAGTGTACCCTAAACCTAGCCCTAACTCTAACCCATGTGGGACCTGGTTCTGAGGGCTGTGATCTGTGACCTCCAGGTGTTCACGGACTATGAGAAGCTGCTGCACTCAGAGAACTATGTGACGAAGCGACAGTCTCTGAAGCTGCTGGGTGAGCTGCTGCTGGACCGACACAACTTCACGGTGATGACCAAATACATCAGTAAAACGGAGAACCTCAAACTGATGATGAACCTGCTGCGAGACAAGAGCCCGAACATCCAGTTTGAGGCTTTCCATGTATTTAAGGTAAGACCGAGACCCACTCCCAGGTTCCTCCATGTGTCTCTCTCTGGTCTCTCTCTGGTCTCTCTCTGGTCTCTCTCTGGTCTCTCTCTGGTCTCTCACTGGTCTCTCACTGGTCTCTCACTGGTCTCTCACTGGTCTCTCACTGGTCTCTCACTGATCTCTGGTGCAGGTCTTCGTGGCGAACCCCAGCAAGACTCAGCCGATAGTGGACATCCTGCTGAAGAACCAGACGAAGCTCATCGAGTTTCTGTCCAACTTCCAGAAGGAGCGAACAGACGACGAGCAGTTCAACGATGAGAAAACCTATCTCATCAAGCAGATCCGTGAGCTCAAGAAGCCCGCCTCCTAAAGCCCACCCCCTGACGCCCACCCCCTGACGCCCAAGCCCCACCCCTGAAACCCAAGCCCCACCCAAAGGCCAGACTCTTGTTTTGAAAGGATCTCAATCACTGATCACTTCCTGTATTGTATTTTGTTGCATGTTTTTGATTCGGTCGACGTCAGAGGAACCAGCAGCAGTCTGCATTCAGAGCTTTATTGGACAGTTGTGGTGAAGAGGGAGCAGCATCTGCAGTCAGAGCTCTAGTCCCCTCACTGAGACGAGAGTTTCCTCCAGAGTGGAACTCCCTTAGAGATAAAGGAGCTCAGTTACACAGAAGGAGCTCGGAGTAGACCTGCTGCTCCTCCACGCGTTAAGGCACATCTATTTGGGATGCCTCCTGGACGCCTCCTTGGGGAGGTGTTCTGGTCATGTCTTACCAGAAGGAGACATGGGGAAGACCCAAGACACAGAGGGACTGTCTCTCTCTGGCCTAGGAACACCTCGGGGTCCACCCCGGATGAGCTGGAGGAAGTGTCTGTTGAGAGGAAAGTCTGGACATCTCTACTCAGACGGCTGCCTCCGCGACCCGGCAACGGATCAAGCGGAAAATGGATGGATTGAATAATATTCCCCAAAATAATCTTGTGTGATTACATCAGTAAATGTTTGTCAGATTTGATTAAATCCTCAGTTTAAAGCTCTGGAGACATATGTCATGCTCCTGTGGTTCTCGCGGCTGGCCCTCTGCTGTCGGCTTTTAGCAGGACCAATTCTTTTCACTCTCTACATGTTGCCGTAAGGAAACATTATTAAAAAGCATGGAATTAATTTCCACTGCTATGCAGATGACACACAGCTTTATCTGTCAATGAAGCCAAATCTGACAGATCAGCTGGAAAAGCTTAGTGCCTGCATAAAGGACCTTAAAACGTGGATGACTCTGAACTTCCTACTTCTTAACCCGGAGAAGACAGAAGTGATCCTACTCGGTCCGAAGCGCCTGGGTGACTCCCTTACTAACCAGATAATTACTCTAGATAATGTCAGTATTATACCCATTAACACTGTGAGGAATCTTGGAGTCATTTTTGACCAAGAACTCTCCTTCAAGGCTTATATAAGCCAAGCAACTAAAACGGCGTACTTCCACTTACGGAACACCGCTAAAGTCAGGAATTTCCTTCCTAAAAGTGACGCGGAAAAACTAATTCACACTTTAGTCACCTCAAGACTTGACTACTGTAACGCTTTATTGGCAGCATGCTTTAAAGCCTCTTTGAAGAGCTTCCAGCTCGTTCAGAATACAGCAGCAAGGATCTTAACCGGTACCAAAAGGAGGGAGCACATAACTCCGGTGTTAAAATCACTCCACTGGCTCCCTGTGGAGTACAGAATAAAGTTTAAAATCCTTCTCTTAACATATAAAGCCATAAATGGCTTGGCTCCTTCCTATCTCCAAGACACATTAGTGTCGTATCAACCAAGTCGAGCGTTGCGCTCACTTCCTAAGGTCTGAAAAATCACTGTTGGCGGCAGAGCATTTAGCTACCAAGCTCCTTTACTGTGAAATCAGCTTCCCATTTATGTTAAGGAAGCAGATACGGTCTCCACATTCAAGGCCAGGCTTAAAGCACTCTACTTTAATTTAGCATATAATTAGGTAATATATAATATATGGTGTATATATTATATATATATATGCTGTATTATGTTATACACAGGCCCTGTTTATCATCACAGGGGATTTTAATCACGCCTCTCCAGCCTCTACTCTCCCATCCTTCACCCAATACATCACCTTTCCCACACGAGGCAGTAAGACATTGGATTTATTCTTTGTTAATGTGAAGGATGCCTCCACCGCGTCTGCCCTTCCCCCCCTGGGTAGAGCCGATCACAACATTGTCCATCTACGGCCCATTTATGAGCCGGTTGTGCGTAGGCATCCTGCTGTCTCACGTGTGGTGAAGCTGTGGAACGTGGACACAGAGGAGGCCCTCAGAGACTGTTTCGACACAACGCTGTGGAACGAGCTCTGTGACCCACACGGGGAGGACATTAATGCCATGACAGAGTGTGTCACGGACTACATTAACTTTTGCTTTGAGAACACCGTACCTGCCCGCACTGTACGGTGTTTCCCAAACAATAAGCCATGGATCAACCCTGATATCAAAGCTCTGCTTAAGGACAAAAAGCGGGCTTTTAAGTCAGGGGATAAGGAAGCCCTTAAATCTGCGCAAAGGAAGTTGAGGTGGAATATACGCGCAGCTAAAAACATCTACAGGAGGAAGATGGAGGAGCAACTGGCTCGGCAGGACGTGCGGGGGGTGTGGAGAGGCCTCAAATCCATGTCAGGCTTCAAAACACCCCCCAGTCAGTCCACAGGAGACCAGCTGTGGGCAAACGAGCTAAATACATTCTTCGCTCGCTTTGACCAGCCTTCCCCTCCCCCTGCGCAGACGGTCCCCCTCACTCCGGCAGCGGAACAAAGGGCAACACCTACGATCATTCACACCTCTGTCATGCCACCACAGTCTTCCTCCCACGGCCCCACCAGCCCTCCCAGGGACACTCCCCCCACCACCACTGAGCCCCCGTCCTCCCTACTCAGCACCCACTCCACCCAGCCCCCCTGCACCCCCTGTCATTCACCGCTGCTCAGGTGAGGACAGAGATGAGGAGGATAAAGACCAGAAAGGCACCAGGACCAGATAACATCAGCTCCAGGCTCCTTCGCTCCTGTGCAGACGAACTCTGTGGAGTGATGGAGCGCGTCTTCAACCTGAGCCTCAAGCTGAGGGCGGTACCACAGCTCTGGAAGACCTCCTGTGTGGTACTGGTGCCCAAGAAACCACGGGCCAACGACCTCAGCGACTTCAGGCCAGTGGCTCTAACATCCCACTGCATGAAGACACTGGAGAGACTGGTCCTGGGACTCTCCGCTCCACTCTGAGCCCAGCGATGGACCCGCTGCAGTTTGCCTACAGGCCGGGCATCAGAGTCGAGTACGCCATCATCTCCCTCTTCCATCGCTCCCTGTCCCACCTGGAGAAACCCGGCTCCACTGTGAGGATCCTCTTCTTTGATTTCTCCAGTGCCTTCAACACCATCCAGCCGAGGCTTCTCAGGGACAAGATGGGGACAGGTCGTAGTCCAGCCGGTGTGGACTACGACCTGTCCCAGTGGATCCTGGACTACCTCACAGACAGACCCCAGTTTGTGAGAACCAGGGACTTTGTGTCGGAGGTCCTGACCTGCAGTGTGGGGGCCCCCCAGGGAACTGTCCTCGCGCCGTTCCTCTTCACCCTCTACACTGCGGACTTCAGACACAACACGGACGGTTGTGTTCTACAGAAGTTCTTTGACGACTCTGCCATCATCGGACTCAGCTCCGAGGACGATGACGCAGAGTACAGAGGAGTTATACAGGACTTTGTGGACTGGTGTCAGCGGAACCACCTCCTCATCAACGCGGGTAAGACCAAGGAGATGGTGGTGGATTTCCGCAGACGTCACTCTGCTGCTCCAGCCCCAGTGAACATCCAGGGAAAGGACATCAAGAGAGTGGACTCTTACAAGTACCTGGGTGTTCATCTGAACCACAAACTGGACTGGACTCATAACACAGACGCCCTCTTCATGAAGGGCCAGAGCCGGCTCTACCTGTTGAGGAGGCTTAGGTCTTTTGGAGTGCAGGGGCCACTCCTGAAGACCTTCTATGACTCTGTGGTGGCATCAGCCATCTTGTACGGTGTGGTCTGCTGGAACAGCAGCATCACAGAGAGGGACAGGAAGAAGCTGGACAAGGTCATCAGGAAGTCCAGCTCAGTCCTGGGCTGTTCCCTGGACACAGTGCAGCAGGTGGGGGACAGGAGGGTCCTGAGCAAACTAACATCTATGCTGGACCATGACTGTCACCCCCTGCAGGACACTCTCTCTGCTCTGGAGAGCAGTTTCAGTGACAGACTAATTCACCATCGCTGTGTGAAGGAGAGGTTCCGTAGGTATTTCCTTCCTGCTGCTGTCAGACTGTACAATAAGAACTGCTGAGCCTGTACATTTCATTCATCTGTAATTAAGTAAATTCTTAAATCATGTGCAATGTGCAATACTGCAACTTCAGGATGTCACAGAACAATGTCACAGAACAATGTCACTTTACTTATATACTTTTTATCCTGCACTATTTAACTGTACAGTATATAACTTTGCACTACTACATATATATATTTTGACTGGTATCGAAGCATTTTCAGCATCTACAGCTAGTTATGTTAGTTAAGATCAATACCTACTACTTATTTGTATATATTGTGTGCTCCCTGTGTGCTCTTACTACTGTCCTGTATGTGCGATGCAACATCGAATTTTCCCCACTGTGGGACGAATAAAGGAATTCTTATCTTATCTTATATTATGTTATATATTATACAATATATGTGTTATGTTGTATATTATGTTATATATTATGTTGTATGTTATGTTATGTATTATATATAATATGTATGGTATATATGATATATTGTGAGATTTCATAACACTTTGAAGCAACTTTTGTTAAAGTTAAACTCATCATTCTATCAATGTGCAGAAGCCAGTACTTTTCCCTTGTTTTGTCTATCTGAAGGCCAAGCTACAAGCACACCGTGGCAGCTGCTGATTGGAGGTCTCCATGCCTCCGCTCTGTATAATACACTTGCATTCTATTGTTTCTGTGATTGTGTGTCGTGTTCGTGCTGTCTCTACCATCGACAATAAAACATGTCTTCTGTCTGAATGAAAGACACGATCCCAGACTTGGCTCATCCTCTTCAATATAATATATAAGTAGGTTTGCTTGGATCGGTTTGCACACCTGGTGTGCAATCCATGAATCTTGGTGCTGTAACCTAGACTAGCCTAGCCGTGGCTGCTGCTGTCTCACCTCCTTTCAGATACGCTCTCTTTATTCAAGGCTAGGTTTAAAACAGTCCTCTTTAGTTTAGCATATGGCTAGGAAGGTAAGACTCAGGGAAGGCAAAACTCCTCAGAGTGTCAGTCAAGCTGCATAGGGAGTCAGTTTGCTGGGAGAAGTATGGTAACTTGAGCACTATCCTCTCCTCCTTCCTACTTTATCTGTTTAGCATTTTTAGGATTTTGACTGTAGTTTGTTCATTGCTATTCACCCGTTGTCCCATTGTCTGTTTCATGGTACGATGACGGGATCTCTGAGCTTGGCCTCCTCCATCTACACCTGCGGACTGCCCCGCCCGACCCGCCTGGGAGTGCTTCAGTCCTGCACCGGACCTGTCCACGTTCAGCGGCCACTGGTCCACGTTCTGTAGCTAGCTTAGGTCCTGGATCATTAGCCTGTCCGTCCGGAGGAGCGGATCCCTTTCTCAAATGGGTCTCCCTCCCTGTGGGTTTCCCTAGTTCTCCCCAAGGTTTCTCACTTTTTCCCACTGGGTTTTTTAAGAGTTTTTCCTTGTCGATGCAGGAGGGTCTTGTTGGACAGTTAGTGTCCAACAGAAAGGATTGGTGATGATCAGGACACTTTAGCATTCTACAACATGTATGGACATTTTCTTCTGTGTGTGCTTTATATTCTTCATGTGTTTTAACTGTTGATTCTCTGACCTGTATTGGTGATTTCAATGGTTTTGTTAAGTCCTCTGAGATGACTTCTGTTGTGACCTAGGGCTATACAAGAATAAATTGCATTGTATTGTATCCAGTGAGTTTGTTTATGCTTTTCCACAACTGCGTCATGTTCCCTTTTGCTGCTTTTTATCATTTCTAAGTGAAAGCCAGCCCTGGCCTTCCGGAGTAGCTTTGTGACTTTATTTAGCAGAAAATTTAATTTGGATTAGGTGGCTCTATTGAGGAGACCCCAGGGAAGACCCAGGGCACTCTGGAGGGACGATGTCTCTCAGCTGGCCTGGGAACGCCTTGGGGTCCCCCCGGAGAGTGTGTGTGGATAGGGAAGTTTGGGCATCTCTGCTTAGACTGCTCCCCCAGCGAGACCCGGCAACGGATGAAGCGGAAGAAAATGGATTGGAGTCTTGAGGCTCATGATCAAGTTTTTTCTGATGTATTTTCGATTGATTTTTATGGACAAAGCTGTTTGGATGTAAACTTCAGGACATAAACAATAACACCTGATTGTGTGGAAGTTCATATCATTGATATAGCTCAGTTCACCTATAACTATAAGTTGAACAAACTAACCCAAGTTAGTTCGTTCAAGAGACTTAAAGAGAATTAAAACAACTGAGGCCTTTGGAAGTTTATTGAAAGTCACATTTTTTCATATGTTACAACGATAGACCTAGACATATTTACACATTAATGTACAGCCAATAATACAGGGCCAGACCCGAACCAGGGTCAGACCAGGGCCTGACCAGAGGAAGACCAGGGCAGGACCAGGAGCAGTCCAGGACCAGAACAGAGCCCCCAGACACCGAGGCTGAACAGCACCAGGTTGGCAAACCCCAAACAACACATGGAACGAAATAAATAAAATAAGAAATCTCATTGGTGTTAAGATGTCGGGGGCCGCCCCTTCCCAAATATGAAGCAAATAATATGTCTTATATTCTGTTATTCTGGTCCAGTCTTGTATCTTGTAGAACTTGTTCTGAAGAGTCCATAGTTCGTAGTCCATAGTCCAGTCTCATCGCACTCTGAATTTGTAGAAGTGGCACAGTCCTCTGGTGAAGTTCCAGCCGAGAGACAACGACAGCACATAGACCACAACGAGCAGAGAGAAGGGATACAACAGGACCACAGTGTTCCTGAGGAACGGCAGCACTGAGGAGAGAACACACTGTTACTGTCACACACAGAGTCACTGACACACACACACAGAGTCACTGACACACATACACAGTCACTGACACACACACACACATACACACTGTCACTGACACACACACACAGTCACTGACGTAGACACAGTCACTGACACAAACACTGTCTCACACACACACACACAGTCACTGACACACACAGAGTTACTGACACACACACAGTCACTGATACACAAACACACAGTCACTGACACACACACACACAGTCACTGATACACACACACACACACACAGTCACTGACACACGCACTGCCATTGACACACACACACATACACACCTGACACAGAGACCATGTGTACAAACTCATACCGTTGTATCCTAAGAAGGTGATGTAGACGTAGTATCCAATGGCAATGAGCCACAGAGTGTTACCAGCAAAGTATCCCACGAACCAGTCAGAGTTTATCACCACAAGATCTGCGACAACAAGGACGAGATGTGAACCCAGAGACTGCTGCTTCAGCCTCAGCGTCGCTCTGCATTGGACCCTGCTTCACCGCGGTGCAAAAGTGCACCAATCCATGACCTCAAAAGCCCGCCTCCAAGAGGTGATTGACAGCGGGGAGAAACTGCACCAGTGAATCAGCAACGTCTATGATCAGCGTATACAGCCCAAGCCCCGGTGATCCAAGATGGCGCCCTATTCAAATGAATGGCTTGTGCTCAGTAGGGCATGGCACATATACAGGGACCGAGAGATTAGCGGAACTCGTCCATATTTGGGCATTGTCTAATCCTCCCAGTTCTGTGCAGTGGACGAGCTCCCATGATGCATTGCGCCAAATACGCATATGTGGCTCTCATGCACGTGCACAGAAGGGCTCGGCCGCGCTCTAACCAATCAGAGCTTCTGATCAGAGTGGAGCCAGAGCGGGAAGAAAACTAGCAGAGTGTGTTACATACTAGATTTATAGAAAACTGAAGGATTTAAAGGAACAATATGTAAAAATCTGGCCAAAAGTGGTACTGCAGTCACAGTCAATATTTTGTAGTCCTCTCCCACTCTCCCTGACTCAGGTTGCCAGATTCACACACAAATCCAGCTGCAAACACAGGGAATTATTTTATCAGTTGTTTGTCCGTCTCCATTCACATTTCCATGACAGCCGTGCTAATGCTGAATGAATGTTTTGATTCATGTTTTTTTATTATTATTATTTGGACATTTGAGATAAAAAACAAAAACAAAATAAAAGCAATGTAATTATACATAGTTTATGCAAACATCAGCGTATCAACATCAGGGTTTGCTCAAGAGGATATCACCTTTCAATTTTATTTATTCCCTATTTTTTAGACAAACATGTAAAAGTCCCACATCAAAAAGAGACTAACATTATTTTAATTGGGGTACATGTGGTCTTAAATGATTATTTTTACAATTAAGCTATAATCTGCAAAAAAACGTCTTGACCTTCGTCTTTTACAGTTTTTTGAGCAATCTGTCATAGAATGTGATAACATGCAATAAATACAAAAAGACATTACCCGGAATCGAACCCGGGTTCCTGCATCGTCAGGAACCCGGATCATCAGACCACCGATTCACTCAGTTACAGTCACTGTGAAGAACGGAGTCAAACTAGCAAATTCTGCATCACACGTAAACTTTTATCAGCTGTCTCAATTGTTCAAAGGCATCCCGATATAAATCCTCGTTTTAGTCTTTGTTTTGTCATTAATGATTTGAGAGTCATCACAAGACCTTTTTTAGTTCTGCGCCACATGTTATTTTACCTTTGAGATTAGTGAGCCGCACGGAGTTCTGGCAACCCGATCACGGACTTACATGACACTTCCTGATTGGCGAAACGGCGCAGGGTAGGACATCAAAATCAAAACAATAACAACTTTTACGGGTCGTAAAACTAATTTTGAAAATCAAATATCTCGGATGAACTACTGTTATCAGTTAAAGATGTGTTTGAAAAGAACATGATTTATTAATGCCTTTTGAAATATTCGGGTCATTTAATGATGACTTGACATGCAAATATTACATATTGCTCCTTTAAGAAGAAAAAAAGTTCAGGATAACAAGGGACACTAAAATATCCACAAAATCCAACCTTTATGAGTTCTATGGGACTTGTTTCTGGGTAGCCCACATGAATTTAGTCTGCAGTACCACTGTCGTCCCCTGTGCTCCAGCGTGTGGTTCATAGACAGTAAATACATCTGTGCTTTTTTGTGTTGGCTTCATGTCAACTTGGAGAAAATGTGAAAATATGTGACAACAGTATTTGTCCCGAAGATGGAGAATGAGGAGAACGAGGATCAACTTTGTTCACAAAAGCCTCGATCTGAGAGTACAATGTAACTAACTAAGTTTCTAGATTGCGGACATAGGGCTCTATGTGACAGATCATTGTTGGAAAAAGTTCATTCTCAGGTCTGAAATTACTATGTAACAGCCAAAGCTGGTACAGATAGCTTTTGTTTTCACTCAAAGTTAGCAAGAGTCACCGTGTGGGCGGGGGAGGCGGGCTTATAGACAGAAGAGCACAGATCAGCTCAAAGTTTTGAGTGTTGTATGGCGTATCACCCAAATTATTATCACACATGTGCATAGGATGGACTGTGAAAAATGAAGAAAAGCGAAATAAGGCATCTTTGAAGCAAACTGTTTTAGAGCCAGGAACCAGAGACATGGGTTTTATTCCAGAGTGCTATTGTTGTGGTGTGAAAGTTGCATTCCCCAGCTTTACTCACGGTTTATGAAGAACAGCTGGAGAAAGTGCAGGATGACCAGCAGTGGGTAGAAAGCGTTCAGGTGCACATCGAACGCATACCCCCACTCCACATCATGCTCTCTGCTGGGCTGCTTAAGGAGGAACCGGTTTGTGACCACCCTGAGGAGCACAGAAGTAGTAGTAGCGGTAGTAGTTAAATCATTAATTCATTCATTATCTTCCCCTTTTTTTAATCAATTGCTGGGTCGGGCAATCAGAGCTGACACCCTCAGAGCTGACATGGCACAAGTCCCTCAACTTGCCCGAGTACACAAGGACTGCAGACAGTGCCAAGGGGGGAACAGGTCTCATGGTGGGATCAAACCCACAACCTTCAGGCCCAAAGGCCAATGCTCTACCAACTGAGCAACTGTCGCCCCAGTAGTAGTAGAAGTAGTAATAACAGTAGTAGTAACAGTAGTAGTAGTTGTAATAACAGTAGTAGTAGTTGTAGTAATAGTAGTAGTAGTAAGAATTCTTACCACATCAGTGTCGATATGAGAAGTCCCACACCGATACAGTCCACAAACACGACCCACAGCAGCAGCTTCAGGATCTCCACTGGTCCCATGTCCAGGACCAGACCAAAGCCCACTGTGGAGACTGACACCGGAGAACAGTTATAGACCCAGGGACCAGAGAGGGACCAGAGAGGGACCAGAGAGGAACCAGAGAGGAACCAGAGAGGAACCAGAGAGGAACCAGAGAGGAACCAGAGAGGAACCAGAGAGGAACCAGAGACGAACCAGAGAGGAACCAGAGAGGAACCAGGGAGAAATCAAAGAGGAACCAGAGAGGAACCAGAGAGGAACCAGAGAGGAACCAGAGAGGAACCAGAGAGGAACCAGGGAGAAATCAGAGAGATTAGAGAGAGCTCAGCCTGCTCTTGGTTCCTCCAGATTGCACTCACCACAGAGCCACACGCTCAGCAGGACCAGGAAGGCCGGGTCGTCGCGTGCCCACTGGTCCTTGGTCTGTTTGCGATAGTGGAAGTTCCGGTAGACTCTTTGCGGAGACGTGAACAGGTAGAGCATCTGCCACAGGGCGAACTCAAAATCCATCTGCCGGAAGTGCAGCAGTCTCCTCAGGTACTTGTAACGTTTGGCTCCAGCAGTGTGCCGAGCTGCATCCCGAGCCGACACAGAGCCGTTAGAGGAGCTCACAGGCAACATGCTGCAACAGAAACCGCAAGAGGGGTTAGACAACATTACACACTTTAAGTCTTAAAACATGTGGTTTGTCCAAAAGAAATACTCTTTAAAAGTAAAACGAACAAATCAGACCACAAAAAGCTGTCATGTTTCCTTTTGTGTAAAAGAGCCCCAAGGGTCACTATATGACTATTTGAGCTGAGAGCTGATTGGCTGAGTGAAGGTAGCCCCCTCTTTTTGAGTTTCTGTCTGAAAACTCTGATCAAGATGTGACAGAGGCCAAATGCATGCATGTGAGAGATCAGAGAGAAACCAGAATCTGTTTACTAACCAAACATAGCACTGTCAGATAAATGACACACTCCATGTGTTTATGTGCATCTCAATGAGAAAACCTTGCTACGAATGTTTTCAGAGATGCCACCAGGATATATTTTCACGTTTTTACATAAAAAAACAAATGATGATCAGAGTGAGCTGTATCTGCTGAAACACAGAGAGTTGGTAGCGTAATGTTTATTAGCAGCAGCTGTAGCCTGAAGCTAACCTCACAGACGAGAAAAGCGCCCTTTCCAGACGTGTACAAGCTCTTAACGTGTGAATGTGACGTGTGGCAGCGCACGGACCTGGTTCAGCCGCAGATTTAGCGCCAAATTCACAAACTGCGGATTTTCTGATGTTTTTGGAATTTTGCTGCAGGTTCCGGGTTGGAAGCGAACACGTAGGGACTTCCGGGATCAACTGCGGCATCTCGGGAGATGTAGTTTGTTTGGATTTAACTTGAAACTGACCTCTTGCTGCTGCTTCTTTGTACAAACTATCGCTCTGGTCCATCTCTGTCTAAAACAATTTACTTTTATACTCTTTGAAAAACTACACGTGTTATTTATAAGCTAATGTTACAAATACACTGTTACCATTACAGATCAAATACAACAGCAACACAACTGTAATAAACTCAGACCAGTATAAAGACATAACATTTTATTTATATTTTCTTTATTTTGACAAAGCAGCAGTAAATAACAGACTTTAAATTAGACGTATGGTGTAGTACTAGTACTGTACAGTACTACTGAACAGTACTACTGTACAGTACTACAGCATAGGACTACTATACAGTAATACTGTACAATAGTCCTATGCTGTAGTACTGTACAGGAAAAGTACAATATTTATTTGAGACTAACAGACGGAGGGCTCGTCTATCGCCGCTGCTCCTTCTGTCGCCGCCTTCACGCATTTGGCCATCGTCTGCGAGGCGCGGGAGATCGAGTCTGAGACACACACAGATACACACAATTTACACTGACGTTAGTCACACACACAAAAAGTACACGCAGTACAGACAGTACACACAGTACATACAGCACATACAGCACACACAGTACAAAGAGTACATAGAGAACACACAGTACATGGAGTACACACAGTACATTGAGTACACAGTACCTGTCATGTAGAAGTCTTTAACCGAGACCTGAGGTGGGACCAGAGGTGCGGAGATCAGCTCCTGGTTCACACTCTGTGAACAAAACACTGACATTAACATCCAAATAAATACATGAGGATTAGAGCCGACTCGAGCTAGCCTGTTAGCACCTAATTACCTGTGAGAGCTCGTTGGCCTGTTTGAAGTAATTAGCTTCCTCCACGTCATCGTATCGCACCAGGTTTGGAGAGACTTCAGCCAGACGCCCACGCACCTCCTCCAGCGTGTCGTACGGTAGCGGAACTCCGGCCAGCTGCAGGAAGACGCATCAAAGACAGCTCTGTGAGGCACTATTGGAATCTTTGAGCTGAAAAAGCTGCTGTAAAGATGTGACACCACTTATGTCTGGGTGTTGTGTCACACACCTCAGACACAGCCCTGATGATCCTCCAGTCCTCGCGGGCCATTCCTGGAGGAGTGACTGCCATCTTGGTGTGCTGGCTCCGGCCCTCCGTGTTCACATACGTGGCGTTCTTCTCCGTGTACGCGGCCCCAGGAAGAATGATGTCAGCCATGGGAGCACCCACGTCACCATGGTGACCTGAGGAGAGGGGTCAAAGAAAATGACTGAGGGGAAGCAGATAGAATCCCAAACATCTGTAAACACCTCATGAAAAGTGCTATAGATTCAGGTTCCCCCCCAAGCTTATATTATTATTTTATTATTCTATCGTCCATTATGCTAAACAATACATGTGCAGTCTAGTCAATTTGACGTAATGCCCTGTGACTGAAAACGCAGGGCAGACTTTGATTCGTTTAAGCACGCTTATTTTTGTGTAAAGTCCTCCTGTACGACTGCAGCTCCGCAGTGTCTCTGAGATCCTCCAGACACGTCATATTACAGGAGTATCTGCTCACGGAGCTGCGCCATGGATAAATTATGTTATTAACTTGCACTTCCGTATCGGCGAACATATTAGTAGCACTTATTTAAAGTCACAGTAAAAAGAAGAACAAGAAGATCTTTTATTCCTCCCACAGAAGAATGTCAACTCAGGGTGAAAACATGTTCACAAGCACTGCGTCCCCCATTTGGTTTAGTCCTGGTTTAACTCCGATTTTGGTCGTTTACGAGTGTCTTCGTTCTACCTGTTTTGACTGGCTTGTGTCCATGGGACCACTTTGCTGCTCTCTGATCGGTTGCTGCATGTATGTGGAGCGAGGACTAGACACTAGTAGCAGTAGCAGCAGAAGCAGTAGTAGCAGCAGTATTCTTACCCTGGTACACGACGAGGCAGCCCTTGGGCAAGTCCGCTCTGCTCACACAGCCTGCGTCTGCTCCCAACAGAAACAAGACCTGAGGAGGATTCTGTCTGATCAAGTCCACACCAGGTTTGTAGCCCAGGTCCAGGGCCGCCACCTGACTTGCCACTCTGAGGGAGAGAGAAAAACTGTTTAACCCCCACTCTGAGGGAGGGCAAGCAGAGCTGTCCTGTACCTGTGCAGTACGTTGAGGACCTTCCAGCCCTCCTCCACGCCGCTGCTGACCCGTGCGTTCTGAGCGATGGTGGATACCGCCTTCAAAATGGCCGCTCCGTCCTCGCGCTGCAGGGCTGAGCTGCCTACCACCACCATTGGCCTCTTGGCCGCATTTAAAACCTGCAGCAGCCAGAGAGAGGAGGTGAGGAAGAGGGAAAGAGGAGGTGAGGAAGAAAAGGTGAGGACTCAAACCTGACTAAATGGATGCGTCCCCTCTGCCAGCTGCTTCAACACAGACGACTCTTCTCCCAGATGATCGTAGGAGAAACTCAGGTCCACCGCGTGTCCCACTAGCGCCACCTGCAGCTCATTGTGCAACCAGCTGCAAGAGCACACACAAGGTTAGACCACAGATTGTCGACAGATGAACAAGTCCAATAGGAAAGACCTAATTTTAGGCTTTAATCTGTGGTTTATGACTCTCTGTGGTCATATAAGGTCTATGGGTTAGACAGGGCTCAAAATGAGAGGAGCCTTGGAGGAACCTCAGAGGAAGTAGGAGGAACCTTGGAGGAAGTAGGAGGAACCTTGGAGGCCCGGGTGCAGAGCTGCTCTGCCACAACCTCTGAGCCCCCATCTGTTCAGTTACTAGCCTCAGAGGCTAGTCAGATTGAAACTGTGTGTGCATGTGTGTGTGTGCCTGTGTGTGCTCAGTTACTAGCCTCAGAACCTAGTCAGATTGAAACTGTGTGTGTTCCCCGCTTGAAGTCTAAAGCACTATATGCGAGGAAATCTGACCTAGGTGTCAGACACAGTAACTTAATAAAAGTTCAGACAGACAGAAATAGTTCTAGCGGTAGGGTTGTTAAATGTGGTTTAATGAACGTCAGATCAATCTCGTCTAAATCGCTTCTCATAAACGAACTTATTATAGACAAGGGCTTGGATCTGTTTGCGCTCTCGGAGACTTGGCTCCAACAGGACGACTACGTCAGATTGAATGAGTGCACTCCTCCGACGCATGTTAACTACCAGAAAGCCAGAGCTACAGGTCGCGGCGGTGGTGTTGCGATTATATCACACACCAACTTGGTTCTTAGTCCCAAAACCAACAACGCTTTTCACTCGTTTGAAAACTTAACACTTTCAATCACCTGTCCTGGGTGGAGAAAACAAAAAGCAGTACTATTTATAGTTTTATACCGACCTCCTGGTCCTTACAGCGAGTTCCTAACAGAATTCTCTGACTTCATTTCAAACCTAGTTTTGGAATGGGAAAACATAGTTATAGCTGGAGACTTCAATATACATGTGGACGACAGCACTGACAGCTTAAACAAAGCTTTCAGCGCCGTACTAGACGGTGTTGGTTTTACTCAGAATGTCGAGGAACCTACTCACATTCATAACCACACCTTGGACCTTGTCCTGACCTACGGCTGTGATGTCTCCAATGTTGACATCCAGCGTCAAAGCTCGTTGCTGTCTGACCATTTCTTGATCACGTTTGATCTCGCTTTGGAGGACTTTCCTGTCCCGCAAGATAAAACCATAATGAAAAGAACCTTAAATGATAAATCTATCACAAGGTTCAAAGAACTAATACAGCCTATGTTGAATACTGCTGCAGGTGAACCTGTTCACAGCAGCTGCAGTCCCTCAGTCATTGACCAAACGGTGGGCAACACTATGGAGTCTTTAAAATCTGCATTAAATGCAGCAGCTCCTTTAAAACAGAAAACCATTAGGATTAGATCATCGTCGCCCTGGTACAGTGTTCAACTCCACACTTTAAAAACAGGACGTCAGAAAATTGGAGAGGCTATATCGCCACTCCCACTCGGAGCCTGTCCACAGGGAGTGGAAAGCAGGTCTCCGAAACTACAAGAAGGCCCTTCGCGGGGCTCGAACTCAATACTATTCAACTTTAATAGAAGCGAATAAAAACAACAGTAGATTTTTGTTTGGTACCGTCGCTAAACTCACAAACTGCCATAGCGCAATCGAGCCTAAAATTCCAAGCTCACTGAGCAGTGTCGACTTTCTCCACTTCTTTAATAATAAAATTACATCCATCCGTGACAAGCTGGAGGAGGTTGCTCCTGCTGTTAGTGGTGGACAGGTTGAAGCGGCATACGTGACTTCCCACTTAGACTCTTCAGTGGGCCTTAATAAATTCATGGCTGTGAGCCAAGCAGAGGTGATCTCTGTGGTCACATCCTCAAAAGCCTCAACTTGCATGTTAGACGCAGTCCCGACATGGCTCTTCAAAGACATACTTCCTTTGATAATTGAGCCTATCGTAAATATAATAAACGCATCCATACAATGTGGCTATGTCCCACAAGCTTTTAAAACCGCGGTAATCAAACCCCTTCTGAAGAAAACAAACCTGGACCCAGAAATACTTACAAACTACAGACCGATCTCAAACCTCACTTTTATATCTAAAATCCTGGAAAAACTTATAGCTGAGCAGCTCCGCTGCCACCTGCAGGAAAATGATATGTTTGAAGTCTTTCAATCAGGATTCAGAGCTCATCATAGCACTGAAACGGCACTAGTCAAAGTCACAAATGACTTACTACTAGCTGCCGATAATGGACAAGTGTCAGTGCTGGTCCTACTGGACCTTAGTGCTGCATTTGACACAATAGACCACAGCATTCTACTGCAGAGGCTAGAATGTGATATAGGTCTTAGAGGAACGGCCCTTGGCTGGTTTAAATCCTATTTATCAGCTCGATATCACTTCGTCAATGTGAATCAGGACTCGTCGCCTTATTCTGGAGTGGAATTTGGTGTGCCGCAGGGTTCGGTACTCGGACCGATTCTTTTTACTCTCTACATGCTGCCACTGGGAAACATTATTAAAAAGCATGGAATTAATTTCCACTGCTATGCAGATGACACACAGCTTTATTTGTCGATGAAGCCTAATCAGACAGATCAGCTAGAAAAGCTCAGTGCCTGCATAAAGGACCTTAAAATGTGGATGACTCTTAACTTCCTACTTCTCAACCCGGAGAAGACAGAAGTGATCCTACTCGGTCCGAAGCGCCTGCGTGACTCCCTCACTAACCAGATGGTTACTCTCGATAATGTCAGTATAATACCCAGTAACACTGTGAGGAATCTTGGAGTCATTTTTGACCAAGAACTCTCCTTCAAGGCTTATATAAGCCAAGCAACTAAAACGGCGTACTTCCACTTACGGAACATCGCTAAAATTAGGAATTTCCTTCCTAAAAGTGACGCGGAAAAACTCATTCACGCGTTTGTCACCTCAAGGCTCGACTACTGTAACGCTTTACTGGCAGCATGCCCTAAAGCCTCTTTGAAGAGCTTCCAGCTCGTTCAGAATACAGCAGCTAGGATCTTAACAGGTACCAAAAGGAGGGAGCACATAACTCCGGTGTTAAAATCACTCCACTGGCTCCCTGTGGAGTACAGAATAAAGTTTAAAATCCTACTCTTAACATATAAAGCCATAAATGGCTTGGCTCCTTCTTATCTCCAAGACACGTTAGTGTCGTATCAACCAGGTCGAGCGTTGCGCTCACAAAACGCCAGACGTCTGGTGGTCCCTAAGGTCTCAAAGGTCACTGTTGGTGGCAGAGCATTTAGCTACCAAGCTCCTTTACTGTGGAATCAGCTTCCCATTTATGTTAAGGAAGCAGATACGGTCTCCACATTCAAGGCCAGGCTTAAAGCACTTTACTTTAATTTAGCATATAATTAGGTAATATATAATATGTAGTGTATATATTATATATATATGCTGTATTATGTTATATATTATGTTATATATTATTCAATAATGTATTGTGTTATGTTGTATATTATGTTATATATTATGCTGTATGTTATTCTTTATTCAAGGCTAGGTTTAAAACAGTCCTCTTTAGTTTAGCATATGGCTAGGAAGGTAAGACTCGGAGAAGGTTAAACTCCTCAGAGTGTTAGTCAAGCTGCATAGGGAGTCAGTGACTCTGACTGTAGTTTGTTCATTGCTATTCACCCGTTGTCCCATTGTCTGTTTCATGGTACGATGACGGGATCTCTGAGCCTGGCCTCTTCCATCTACACCTGCGGACTGCCCCGCCCGACCCGCCTGGGAGTGCTTCAGTCCTGCACCGGACCTGTCCACGTTCAGCGGCCACTGGTCCACGTTCTGTAGCTAGCTTAGGTCCTAGATCATTAGCCTGTCCGTCCGGAGGAGCGGATCCCTTTCTCATATGGGTCTCCCTCCCTGTGGGTTTCCCTAGTTCTCCTCCAAGGTTTCTCACTTTTTCCCACTGGGTTTTTTAAGAGTTTTTCCTTGTCGATGCAGGAGGGTCTTGTTGGACAGTTAGTGTCCAACAGAAAGGATTGGTGATGATCAGGACACTTTAGCATTCTACAACATGTATGGACATTTTCTTCTGTGTGTGCTTTATATTCTTCATGTGTTTTAACTGTTGATTCTCTGACCTGTGTTGGTGATTTCAATGGTTTTGTTAAGTCCTCTGAGATGACTTCTGTTGTGACCTAGGGCTATACAAGAATAAATTGTATTGTATTGTATTGTATTGGAGGCAGTGGGGGGAACCTCAGAGGAAGTAGGAGGAACCTTGGAGGCAGTGGGGGGAACCTCAGAGGAAGTAGGAGGAACCTTGGAGGCAGTGAGAGGAACCTCAGAGGAAGTAGGAGGAACCTTGGAGGCAGTGGGGGGAACCTCAGAGGAAGTAGGAGGAACCTTGGAGGCAGTGGGAGGAACCTCAGAGGAAGTAGGAGGAACCTTGGAGGCAGTGGGAGGAACCTCAGAGGAAGTAGGAGGAACCTTGGAGGCAGTGGGAGGAACCTCGAAGGAAGTAGGAGGAACCTTGGAGGCAGTGGGAGGAGCCTCAGAAGAAGTGGAAGGAGCCTCAGAGGCAGTGAGAGGAGCTCACCTTTTCCTGATCCGAGCGTTGAACAGTGGAGCCTCATATCTGGGGTTGGTTCCAATCAGCAGCAGCAGGTCACTCTCCTCGATCCCTGCGATGGTGCTGTTCAGCAGGTAGTTCGAGCGCAGGTCTGTCCTATAGGTGAAAAGAAGTTAAAGCTGAGGGACTAAACTTTCACATCACAACAATACTAATAAAAGGAATGTACTAAACCTATGTCTTTTGTTCCTGGCTCTAAACCTGTTTTTAACACACAAAAATGTCTGGCGAGAGAGAGATAGAGATAGAAAGGGAGAAAGAGAGCAAGATAGCGCGAGAGAGAGACAGAAAGAGAGACAGAGAGAGAGATAGCGAGAGAGACGTTCACCGATCTGTTCTCAGGCCAAAGGGTCAGAAAGAGACTCACAGGGCGCTTTCAGCAGATAGGAGGTAAGTCTCATACCCTGCTCCTGCGGTGGGGAACACCTCCTCGGTGCACAGGCTCTCAGAGTCCAGACGGTTTAGTAGATCCTTCAGAGACACCAGTGCCTCCGCGTCGGCCATTCCTCCTGCAATGGCGGCGACCTGTCCTCCCTGCACGCCCTGGAGCTGCAAAGAGGAGAACCAGGAGGAGGTCACACACAGGAGGGGCTCTCAAAAACCAGAAAACCTTCTGTGAGATCAGAAACACCTACTGCTCCTGCCACTTGAGTCAGAGCGTCCTCCCAGGAGGTGGGGGTCAGCTGTCCACTCTGGTCCTTCACCAGTGGCTGAGTGAGACGCTGACGCTTCAGACCATCGTACGCAAACCTGAGAAGAGAGGAGTTGTTCAGGCTTCATAGTCTCATAGGCTTTATAGTCTGGTCTCTCTAGTCTGGTTTCTCTCTCCCTCTCTCTCTCTCTCTTTCTCTTTCTCTTTCTGGCCCCTCTCTCTCTGGCCCCTCTCTCTCTTTCTGGCCCCTCTCTCTCTTTCTGGCCCCTCTCTCTCTCTCTCTTTCTGGCCCCTCTCTCGCTCTTTCTGGCCCCTCTCTCTCTCTTTCTGGCCCCTCTCTCTCTGGTCCAGTACCTGGTCTTGTCAGAGATCCACTCCTCGTTAATGTCCTCGTTCAGACGGGGCATGACCCTCATGACCTCTCCTCCTCTGGTGCTGACGATGATGTTTGACCCCAGAGCGTCCAACACATCGATGGATTCTGTTTTCCTTTAAAAACAACAAACAACTGTTTTTCAGTATCATCAACTTCCACTGAGACAATACAGTACACACAGGTGTTAGTCCAAACTCACCTAGTCTCCCAGGGCCGGGCGGTGAAAGCATATGGTTTGGAGGTGAGGGCTCCCACTGGACACACGTCGATCACGTTGCCAGATAACTCTGACAAAAACATCTTCTCCACGTACGTCCCGATCTGCAGATTGTTCCCGCGGCCGGTGGTGCCCAGGTCCTCCACACCAGCAATCTCACTGGCAAATCTGAACACACCAGGATCTGTCAATCTGACTGCAGCAGACATGTGACATCATAACATCATAGAAATGTAATTTACAGTCTGTGAGATCAGGATATCAAAGAGCGATGGTTTCACAGTCTCTCATGGAAAGTGTCAAAAGTCTGAGTCTAGTCTTAGAGTAGAGATCATTTCTCTAATTCAGCCATTCCCAAACACAGTGACACCGAGGCCCCCTTACAAATCTGACGGGTCTGCGTGGCCCCCCAAAATAATAACCAAGAAGACAACATTAAGAATAGGCTCTTCTGGTTATTTTATTTTGGGGAAATAGCCTCGGCTACAAACATTGTAATACAAAAATGATTACAGTGGATCATTCAAGTCAAATAATGAACACAAATATTTTAATATTACAAACAAAACATTATAAATTTAACATTAAATAATTATATTATTTTTTTTATGACCTCCCGCGGCCCCCCTGCAGTACCCTCGCGGCCAACCAGGGGGCCGCGGACCCCACTTTGGGAGACACTGCTGTAATTCCTGGAAAAATCCAATATTTTATGTCTCTCTCCCTCTCTGGTCTCTCTCCCTCTCTGGTCTCTCTCCCTCTCTGGTCTCTCTCCCTCTCTGGTCTCTCTCCCTCTCTGGTCTCTCTCCCTCTCTGGTCTCTCTCCCTCTCTGGTCTCTCTCTCTGGTCTCTCTCTCTCTGGTCTCACCTCACACAGCGAGTGCACTGAATACATCTGGTCATGATGGTTTTGATCAGAGGTCCGATGTTCTTGTCTTCTACTGCTCGTTTACTCTCGGTGAAGCGGCTGCGGTCAGAGCCGAACTGCATCGACTGGTCCTGAACAAACAAGATGAACCACGTTATCTTTGTGTAAGTCACTCTTTGGGCTAACCCTCTCGTCTCTGTCTGGTCTCTCACACTCTGTGTGTTGTCTCTCATTCCCTCTGTGTGCGGTGCGGCCCCTCTGTGTGCGGCCCCTCTGTGTGCGGCCCCTCTGTGTGCGGCCCCTCTGTGTGCGGCCCCTCTCTCTTACTCTGTGGTTCAATTTAATTACATTCATTCTTGTAGTATTCATCTCAGAGGACTTAACAAAACTGTTGAATTCACCAACACAGATCAGAGAATCAAACAGTTCAAACACAAGAAATAAAACAGAAAACACATTGGTTTTTTGTCCAAAAAGAGCAGACGACCAATGAATGATGATAAACAAAGGTTGTTGAATGTTGTCCTGGATCATCAACTTTTAGTTAGACCTCACAAGACTAACAGCCACTCCTGCATCAGCAAGGAAAAACTCTGAAACCCAGAAAAGTGAGAAACCTCTGGGAGGTCCACATTGAGAGAGGGATCCGCTCCCACTGACAGACAGGCTATAGATCCAAGACCCAGGCTACAGAATGAGGACCAAGGCAGGTCCCTGGTCTCTCCCCTCTCTGCGGTCTCTGAAAACTGATCTAAAGATGTGACAAGAGCTCTATTGTAATGTTCTGAATGTTCAGTCCCCCTGCTTAAATGATAGTGTGTCTCACCTGCAGGTCACACTCCCCCCCCTGGTCACAGATGGGACAGTCTAGAGGATGGTTGGCCAGCAGGAACTCCATCACCCCCTCTCTGAAAACAAACGTCACAATTTCAGTCTTCAGTGTGCAATCCTCCACACACCAGCAGATGGCAGTGTTTTAATACAAGCATTCCCTGAAACATCATGACTCAAAACAAATTGTCTTTTCAAGTAAATAGGCTGGAGGCAAACGTCACCACGAGACCCTATTGGGCCTCCTGAGCTAGCGTGTTAGCATTCTCCATCTGTATACAGTCTATGTTAGCATGGTCCGTGTGTGTGAGTGTCTGTGCATGGGTGTCCGTGTGTGTGTGTGTTTGTAGAAATGGCTTGTGTTGAGCTTGTACCTGGCTTTGCGTGTTTTCTCTGAGTTTGTGAGGATGTTCCAGCCTTTCATCACCGGCATGGCACAAGCTGCAACTGGCTGGAGGAGACAAGCAGAGTAAGACCAGAGAGAGAAATCAGAGAGAGACAGAGAGACAGAGAGACAGAGAGAGAGACAGAGACAGACAGAGACAGACAGAGACAGAGACAGAGACAGAGACAGAGAGAGAGAGAGAGAGAGAGAGAGAGAGAGAGAGAGAGACTGTGTTTGGACCAGACCTTTGGAGCCTTCTCGATTTCCACCAGACACATGCGACAGTTCCCTGCCACAGACAGACGTTCATGGTAACAGAAGCGCGGGATCTGAACCCCCATTTTCTCACACGCCTGAAAACAAACAACAAAGGGAAAACATGTGCAAGAAAAAGCCCTGTTTATCACTATCTTATTGGATGAGTGAGGGTGGTCCTCTCTTTATGCCCGTTTCCTCGGGCCCGACTCGACTCAGCTCAACTCTCCCCTCCCAGGTTTGCAGACGTTTCCCCGGCTCGCTTTAGCCGCTACCCGGTACTTTATTAGCAACGGCTTGGCCCTGGTTCTAGCCGGGCCGATTAGATACCAAAACAATCTGTCGGCGGCGGACGTCAACTAAAAAAGTACTGGGTAATGGATAAAGCGAGAAAAGAGACAGAAGCAATCGATTTTACAGCGCTCTTTTGTCGGGGTCTCAAAGTTACGTCCCCCAGCTTTAAAAGACATTTAGTAGGGCTGTAAGCTGTGAATAAAGTATAGGAAACTAACCTGCAGCACAGTGGTCCCTGGTTCCACCTCAACTGGTTTACCATCAACAAACACCTCCACCAGAGACGAGGCAGCACGCACCGACGAGAGCGCTGTGAATTATAACACAAGGAAAAGTTAGAAACCCTCTCTGGCCTCACCCTCCCTCTGGTCTCACCCTCCCTCTGGTCTCACCCTCCCTCTGGTCTCACCCTCCCTCTGGTCTCTCTCCCCCTCTGGTCTCTCTCCCCCTCTGGTCTCTCTCCCCCTCTGGTCTCTCTCCCCCTCTGGTCTCTCTCCCCCTCTGGTCTCTCTCCCCCTCTGGTCTCTCTCCCCCTCTGGTCTCTCTCTCCCTCTGGTCTCTCTCCCCCTCTGGTCTCTCTCCCCCTCTGGTCTCTCTCCCCCTCTGGTCTCTCTCCCCCTCTGGTCTCTCTCACCACAGCTGTTTGGGGAGTGCCGGTTCTTCACTGCTCCGCTCAGAGCTCTCCCCACAGTCGGCAGCCGCAACATGACGCTGGAAACACAGATAGACTGTTAGGACTCAGGAGGCTTGAACAGGATGGAGATGTGGGACAGAGCACACACTGAAACCCAGAGACTCATCTTCCTTCCCAATTCCTAAAACTAGATACTAATTTTAACAAATATCAAATATGACATTACATGATAAGGACAAAAACAAACATTTTAGTTCAGTTTAATTTTTGTTCAGTTTAAATTCTCGCGTCATAACCCTTTATAAATCAGCATTATTTCCTGTAAATTTGTCAACAGTAGATACACATATAAACCTCAATAATATTGACAGTAGATTATAACCCAGAATAACCCATAAGACATACGCACTGTTAAACTCCAGTTACTGTCACTTTAATAAGACTGAACCCGTTAGCCACAATGCTAACAACAGAAAGGTCCTGATCAGGGGTCAGCACGTATTTCAATATCAAAACTATGATACAAAAGTTAAATGTCATCACAAAAAGTGGGTAACCGCTGCCACTATCACGGTTTTACGCATTTCTTAGATAACTCAGTAGAAATGTTTGTTTTGAGTTAGCATCAGCCGCGTTAGCATCGGGGCTAGTCAAGGACACAGGAGCATGGAGGTTTGGTAAGCCAGACAAGCGGCTCTGAAACGCGGGTTTGAGCCTTCGCACGGCTCGGGTACATGGGTGGGGTGGTCCCGGGGATTCCGGGGGTCTTACCTGGTGCTATTTGGCCTTCTGGACCAGAACAGCTGCGGGAGATATCCGAAAACGCCGCACACAGACTCCGTGCGGGTGAATCTCTGATCTGATGTGGTTCTCACTGATGACGCTTTGGTGCCATCTGCTGGTGAGAAGAGGGATCACAGACATCATTAATACTAATTTAAGATCCTAAGGAAATATTCTGACATTTTAATACAGACATAAATCAATATCAAGGACAAGCTGTATTTGGGTGCATTGGAGGGACCATGTCTCTCAGCTGGAAGTCCGGCCGTCTCTGCTCAGACTGCGTGCTGCCCCCGCGACCTGGCAACGGATAAAGTGGAAGAAAATGAATGGATGGATGGAATATATATAATGTGTCATATCTTCAAAAGCACAGAGTGAGAGGCTAGAGAGTCAAGAGAAAGACCAGAGAGAGAGAGAGCACAGAGACCAGAGTGAGAGGGAGACCAGAGAGAGACAAGAGAGATGGACTAGAGAGGGACCAGAGAGAGACAAGAGAGATGGACTAGAGAGGGACCAGAGAGAGACAAGAGAGATGGACTAGAGAGGGACCAGAGGGAGACAAGAGAGATGGACTAGAGAGGGACCAGAGAGAGACAAGAGAGAGGAAATAATCCAGAGAGCAAACTAATCAGCTCTCACTCAGGCCAAGAGCCAAAGAGTCTCACTGGGCTCTTTCTAGCATAGTGAGGTTCTCCAGCTGTAATGCTGTCTGACAGCTGCAGGTGGTGCTGTTGCTTCAAGATTCCGAACCCATGACCAGTCGACGCAGTTGTGAACATTACACAAGCCTCTTTCCAACACGTGTTGTTTATGAGACTAAAGTTACGTATCTCAGCTTTAACCCTGCCCCTTCCTGTGCATGTCTCGGATGATGAAGCGCAAATGTTCGAACTGTTCTAAAGACACAAACACCAACAGTGATGTAACATAATTTATATTTATTTCCCTTTGAACAAAAGACGTTCAAAAGCTCATGACTCGTGGAACGCGTCTTACAAAGAATTCTCCCGGTGTTTTGTAGAAAAGGAACAGAGGAAACGGCGCCTACAGTCTCTATGTGACACACGGAATCTTTTCACACCAGCGTCACCGACTTCTCACACAGAAATGAGACAAAAAGTGAAATTAAAAGTTCAAAAAGTGGAGCAAGTGGTAGCCTGGTCTTAACACACCATCGTACAAATGTATTTTTGACCGGAGTTTACGGATGGCTGAGGCCAAGCTGCGAGCGGAGGACAGGGGCTCGGTCGGTTGCAGCAGGAGGTTCAAGGGGACTACTGTATGTGACCAAAACACAATATGAGGAACACAAGGGAATCCCAAACATGTTCTTCAGGCAAGCCTTAAAGCTGGGGTGCGTAACTTTGTATCAATACTAGAAAGTCATGTCGCTATAGTTGCTGGCTCTGAAGCAAGATACCAGAGACAAGATAGAGAGTGACCAGAGAGAGAGAGAGAGAGACAAGAGGGTTCTAAATTAATCTAGAATATGCAGACTCTCCCAATATTGAGTTAATAATGCTACAAATATTTATATTGATATAATTCTCATATAAACAGGTCAGTGTTCTGAAAACCCGTATACGGCTCTGGCTGTATGACAAAAGGCCTCTCTATAATAAACATTCCCACAAAAGTAGACCAATAAATTTGTTTTAAATCTGTTGAACTCTGACTCTTTGATCGCTGCATGTTTGATCAGGCATTTTGGCACTATCAACTGCTACATTGACTATTCCTTCGTTATGATTGCGCTTTTATGATAAGAACGGTCCTTGCGCTTGTTAAGTCTGGTGTAAAATATAATTACTCATGAGGTTAATGGGATCAAAGGGAGAGCTGACAACTCTACTTTGCATATTATGCTTTGTATTATGTTGTTTATAATCAGATAACTTTCATTTTTGACACATCGTGGTTCACATACCAGAAATATTTCTTTTAGAGAGAGACAGAGGGACTGAAAAGAGAGGGAAAATGGAGAGAGACCAGATAATGTGTTGCTTCTGTGGTCCTGGTTTAGCCCTGTTGAAACGGTCACATTCTATCGCTGGTTTGCTGATGTCAAAAGAACCGCATGCCTCACACAGAGATGTCACGATTCTGAGGTCGAGCCAAAAATGTTGAATTTAAAATCCAAACTCACTCAGTTCTGTTGAATTTACTTCGGACACATATATAATGAAAAATACTGTTAATATTATTTCCAGGGCCGGTCCTAAGCAGTGGGCAGAAGGGGCAGCTGCTGGGGGCCCCAAAGCCACTGGAGGCCTGCCAACAATTCATTTGCAGATTTAAAATTATTTGTTGCACATTCAAACTAGGGTATTTTGTATGCCTTTCATGATCATTTTGTTTCCCTTTTTGACTGTGTAATTTCTGTTTAGAATGTGATTACTGATGAGCATTTCTTACTCCAATATTCATATTTTCCACTTACAGCTGGAGTACGTCTGTAAGAGAACATGTCTCCTGGCTCTAAAGCAGTTGCTTCTATCTATCGGTCTCTGTCACATCTTGAGATCAGCTTTTTCGGTCAGAAAAACGAAAAAGTGAGACCACCCTCACACCAATCGGCTCTCAGCCCAAAGAGTCAGCTTTAATTAGCATTCGAGTTTTCACTAATTTCTTTACTGTGCAATAAAACTTAGGACCATCTGGATTCTGGCTGTTATTAAAAGTGTTTTAGTTTTTATCAAAAGTGTGAAACCGTGACATCTCCAGTCGCCCCAAAGGAATAAACAGACAGATCCATAAAATACACAGTCTCCTCTTTAAGACAGACGCGGGACGTGATCTCTGTGATATGTTATGGCACCAGCAGCAAAAATATCCCAAATAAATCAGTTTTTCCTTCTGTCCAGAGAAAACGCAGCAGAGTCCAGAGTCAGCGGTCAGAGCGGCGGCGGCGGGAGGAGCTTTCCACAAACAGTTCCAATAGTCTGTGAATATTTCCCCAAAAGCGTTTTCTGAATAAGGATGTCCTTTGTGTTTGGTTATGCAGAGTGCCTGTGACGCTCTAGAGGGCGCCAGAGATAAGAGAAACTGCATTTATGAATGGTCCAGATCATATAGAGCATAACAGAGTAAAGACTCAACAAGAGTGAAGACTCACCCATCTGAAATAGCTACACACACGTGCAGCTATGTAACACACATGTGCAGCGACATGTTTTTTTGTGTGGAAATATTCACATTCTAATTATCAACGCTCAATCCTGATCCATTTGTGAAAACAGTTTAACTCAGTTTAAAACAGTTTAGAACAGTTTGGATTCAGGCTGCACGATTCATTGTAATCATAATACAAACACTTAAAAAAGTATATAGGAGGATTTTCAACTTCCGGGTGGATCATCGAGACTATTGGTCCTCCTCCCAATTGTCAATCATTCTGGTGATACATGCTCATCAAATAGGGGTTTGGTTCAAAAAGTAGAGAGGGAGTTACTTTCCTAAAATTTGGAAAAATCTTCCTATATACCTTTAAACTTATTTGAAACAAAAAATGAACAAAAAAATCAGTTGAATTTTTTGGTTGGTTTTTCTCATTTCTATAAACTGTGTTGCACACGTCAGACATAGAGCAAACATCAGGAGTGGACTGACAAGAGTGTGACATCACCACAGTGTGACATCACCTCAGTGTGACATCACCTCAGTGTGACATCACCTCAGTGTGACATCACCACAGTGTGACATCACCACAGTGTGAGATCACCTCAGTGTGACATCACCACAGTGTGACATCACCACAGTGTGACATCACCTCAGTGTGACATCACCACAGTGTTAGCCCAATGCAGAAGCTGATTTGACATGTACATTTCTCCTGTGTGAGATTAATAAAGTACATCTTATCTTATTTTTTGGACCCTCTAAAAGCTCACCCTAACCCTTGACCAAACAAAGTCCATCCTTATGAATCTGGATTTACAAAGACAGATCTTTCTATGTGTTCTAAAAATTAACCAACAATAAGGTAAATAGCTGTAGGTTTTAAAACCATCACACTTTATACACTTTTCTAACCACCTGAACTCACGACTGCTGAAGAGAGACCAGAGAGAAGGCCGCGGAAGCCCTCTGAATGACTGTATCACTATATAAACCTCAGGATCACAGAGAGCAATAAACCACAGATTTAAGCCCAAAATGGTGAGTGAGACAAATGTTACTAAGCTAGAGGAGTTAAATTTCAAGAGCCAGAGCCAAACTTCACTGTACGCCCTTCACTCATGGGCTTCCTTGAACTAGCGGGTTAGCATTGTCCAGCTGTGAACTGTATGTTCTGACTGTAAGAATTTAGTGGGATAAGATAAAAAAAAAATACTTTATTCTTTATTCAAGCTTTTCTATATATTTCACATATTTCTACTATGAAAAGGCTTTTTAGAATGTGTTTCTTTTTTTATCAAAAAAAGCAAAATCTCAAGTGTGCTATAAAAAAAAAAAAGACTTACTTTTTACCCTGAACAAAATGAGACTTTTAAAACAAACGATATGTAGAAATCACATTATTGATCAGAATCACAGTTAAGACAGAATCGTGCAGCCATTTTTGAGACTGTGACATAAGCTCGTGCAGTAACCCCGCTCCTCCCGGTCCTCCGCCGCAGCTAACATTCAGCGCGTTTAGTTCCAGTGTAAAAGTCTGCGGCTCAGTCGTCGTTGGCCCCGCCCTCCTCCCAGCGCAGCGTGGCATTGTGGGAGAAGAGCAGGACAGTGTGTAGAAGGGCCAGCACCAGCAGGGGGCAGCACAGTCTGAGGCGGGAAGAGGACGAGCTTAGCCACTCCCTCTGCATGTCACAGGGGGGAGGAGCAGTCCTACGAGCTGTCCCGAGGGACGGTGGCCCGGCCGGGGACCATCGGACGTCACAGCAGCGAGAGTGTACGTCCAAGTCCGACAGCAGGCCTGAGGAGAGAGACCAGAGTGAGACCAGAGAGACCCGAGGGAGACAAAAGCAGAGACCAGATTGAGACCAGGCCTAAGGGGAGAGACCAGAGTGAGACCAGAGTGAGACCATGCCTGAGAGACAGAGACCAGAGTGAGGCAGGGCAGAGACCAGAGGTGAGACCAGGGTAGAGAATTGTGTGACCCAATGCAGGTTAGCATAGTTCATCTGTATACAATCTGTTAGCATTGTCCATCTGTATTGACCAGATGCATCGACGTCATCCAGTAAACGTGATTGTGCAAGAGCTTACGGCGGAAGTAGTGGAAACTAGCATTGCGGCGAGAGCAAAATGGACTCCAACTCTTAAAAACTGAGACTCCTCTCCTTAAACGAGAAGTTGCTGCTTCAAGCACATGTTTGATTTCGTTATAGGTGAAAGTAGGACATCTTGTCAGGGCTTACAAAGAGCGGTATTTAGAGAAATTAAGGATTGCCGAACTGGATGTTGACCCGTACTTTCTCTCCCCAGTCAATTTTATTGATTAAATGAAATGTCCAACTTTACCCGAATTCACCTCACATGATCTTTATCATTATGTCGTTACCATCCCCTTACACTGGAAAATATTTAAATGTACATTTTGCTGGTAGCATTAGCACATTAGCAATGCACTTTTCTGTCTACAGCCAAACATGATACATTATGACGGGGAAGAAAATAGTGAAAAACGCAACTTACGTCTAAGATAAGATAAGAGATCTTTTATTTGAGCGACAGTGAGGAAATTTCAATCTTGCAGCGCACATACAGGACAGTAGTAAGAGCACACGTTTGACTTTAAGCGTTCCTCGTGTCATTGTCCTCCAAATAAATGTATGGAAAGAAAATAAATTCAAAATTGTAATTGATTTATCTTGTAAAAAGTGTTCACTGTAAATACAACCAACCGCACTGCAAAATATCACAGCTTTGGCTGTTATTCGGTGAAACAGGTTGTTTTGGTCAAGTTTCCGAAGGCTCGCAGCTAGACTTCCGCCGTCTGTCATGGAGAGTGGGCGTGGCCGGGACGTCACATGCAAGGGGTCAATACAGTCTATGTTAGCAATGTCCATCTGTCTACAGCAGGGGTCTCCAACCTGTGGCTCGAGAGCTTCCATTAGCTCGCCAGCTCCTTTCAGGTAGCTCTCCAAAGGATTTAGAATTTCACAAATGATCTTGAATGAACACATTTTGAGTCATTACACATCTATCATTAGTATAGATATAGTAGGTTTATACAGTATCATGGTATGTGTTTTCATTGTTTTGTCGTAATTATTAGATAGATTTTTATAACAACTGCAAAAAGGAGTAGCTCTCTGCCTCTTCTGTAGTATAAAAGTAGCTTTCCGAATGAAAAAGGTTGGAGACTCCTGGTATACAGTTTATGTTAACATTGTCCATCTGTATTCAGTGTGTGTTATACACTCTATGCATTGGCCATTGACTATTTACCAAGACCCAGACCAGACCTGTGCAGATGAAGCTGGGGCTTCCTCCGTGGATCAGGTCCTCGTTGTCCGGCAGGATGAAAGGGCAGCTCTGTTGGACCCTGAGGCAGCTGTGGCCACAGGGGTCGGCCTCACCACAGGACGGAGAGGTGTCCGGGAAGAACTGCGCACACAGCCACCACTTGTATGCCATCTAGTGGAGAAAGATACAAATACAACACACAGTTACAAGGGACACCCTTCTGATTTTCCATCATCAGAAGTTTGACTGAAGTGTAGTAGAAAGAATCTAAATAAAGAGGTGACTCACAAGCTCATTAGCACCACACACTAACAGCGAACGTGCTAATGTGCTAACACACCTGAGCTATTCATAACCGTTTCTGTTCTGGGACGTGACGTTTAGAGAGTTTCACCACTGGAGGTCACTTAAATGAACAAATACTTCAACTGCTACTGTTGCTGCTGTTTGCGGAGCTGGATACGTCTCTTGTTTTGGCCCAAAAATAAATGAAAATGTCGCAGGTTTCTTTAGTTCCTCATTTAATTGCATGCCCCAGTGCTAAAGTAGTCTCGTCAACAGCACTTCCCGGTTCCTCTCCCCCGGTTCTTCAAACGCTTGGCCTATCACTGTTCTTGTAGGACAAGGGTGTCAATTATGCGGCCGGCCCGTGGCTCATTTTTGTAAAATTATAATAATAATAAAACATTAAAAAATCTGCTCTGTGACGCCACGCGCCGCAACCCTTAGCCCAGCAGAGCGTGCTCTGTGACTAACAGTGACACCCTCAGCAATATGTCTCTGTCAAAAAGGTGTAATTGGACAAAGTAATTTGTTTGCAAAGGTGTATGAAACACCGGTATGCTTGGTGTCATGCAACAAGTGGCTGTGCTGAAGGAATATCATCTCTAACTACGAGATAAAAAAGAAAAAAAGAAAAAAAATACGGCAATTTGAGCGGAGAATTGAGAAGACAGAAGATAAACGTGTCTGGCTCTGAAGAAACAGCAGTCTGTTTGTGCCCAGAGCGAGAGGTTAGTGATGCTGCTGTAAAGGCAAGCTACCTGAGTGCTAACAACATAGCATTAGCATCGCAGCCGCACAGTGAGAGTTAGTTCAGACTCTCATAGAGGCTGAAGACTGTGTCCTGAAAAACACCACGCTTTTACCAACATTGTGTTGCCATTGATAAGAGACTGTTATTACTGATGTCGCATATTCATTCGTGGCGTTACTGTAACTTTGTCTATCACAAAGGAGATTTTAGCGTTGATGCCTGTGTTCAGCTGAGGACACTATCAGCGCTGTTGCTGGTGCGTTGGACAGAGTAGGTGTGGACTGGTCCTATGCTCTCAGCTTGGTACCGAGGGTAAAGGCGGGTGTAGAGGTGGGTTTATTTTTTTGGACATTTCTATGTATTTTACAGAGACACTGTGCTGCGGTTGTTAAAAATAGAAAAAGTTGTTTTGTTAATTTCAACAGAATGAATCATGGTCATAATAACATAACCATAGACTGAAGATGGTTAAGCTAAACACCAAATAAACTTTTTTTTAACTAATAAACTGCATAAATGTTTCTCATAGTGCGTTCTACATGTCTTGGACATCTTTTTGACATTTCAGGTCAAAGATAGATAAAATCTCACTTTTGAGCCTAAAAGTGTGTGGCGCCCTCTCTACCTTTTTGGTGGCACTACATTTGAATTTTGTGCCTGGCCTCTCATTGGCTCTGGAGTACTGTGTGACGTCACTTGGTACTGTGTGACGTGCGTCTCTCTGGCCAGTGGCATAAACACGTCCAACTCTCACACACGCCCCAGTAGCAGGTTGGAGTATTCTGAAGGAGCCTTATTTTAAAAAAAGCTGCACTCAAAGCTAACTCACAAATATTAATATAAATATTGTGAATTATCATTTACTAATGTAATATTCTAAATAAGTACATTATTTGCACAATATAACTCACTGTTACATTTAAGTTAGTAACAGATTTACAGTTAAAACTGAGTGATTATTAAAAGACAGTGTTTTAAAGGAAGTTTTAAATAAATGTGTTTATGTGCACAAAAAGTTGGACTTTGTACTGTTTTTTGAAGAGAATCTTCTGGTACGGTAACCCAGTTGAGATCCAATTAGGTTGTATGGGTTAGGTTTAGGGTTAGGGTTAGTTTGACACCCCTGTTGTAGGGACTTTCTTTTGGATGGCTGTTTTGATGTAAAAGCAGAAACCGGTAACAAAGACAGGGGAAGTTTCAGGTTCGCCTCCACCATGATGCTCAGTTGTCTGTGCGCGCCTCAGTCTATGGCGCCAAACTTAGATTTTCTCAAGAAAGTGGGGGCCAGTAGTCCGCTATGATTGGTGAAAATCTGGTCCCGAAATAAATTCTCTTCCGCGTTGCGTGGAAATTTGGTTCAAAATAAAATTACACTCCAGTACAAACCAGTCCTACTTATTCTTCAAAAGGACATATATCCCAATGCACTGCATGGATATGGATTTATTTTTTACTAATGAATACAAAAATAAAGCTTTAACTATAGTCTCATTAATAACACATGTAGTTTGTCCAATAGATGCTGTCTTCATCTTATTAGAAAACATGTTATCCTCTGTGTGAGGTGGAGCCCTGTGAGTCACTATTTGACTGGTTGGGATGAGGCTGAGCGAGGGGGGTGCTCTCTCAGTTTTCTGAATGAAAAGCTGATCCAAATATTTGAACCTAATGAAGCAACTGTTTCAGAGCCGGGAACTCGAGACATTGGTTTATTATAGTTTTCTATTGTGGAATGAAATTTACGTCCCCCAGTTTTAATATGAGAGTCTGTGGTTTCTATGGAGCCGAACACCAACACTTTCTTTCCGCTGCATTAAAGCAGGATTTCCCTCTCAGAGTGAAGAGCTACCGTCACGCCTCATTTGAGCGGGAAACCTCTCCAGTCTCCCATCTTCTCAGACCGAGAGATGAGCGCTTATCACTCACACAGAATACCACAGTGCTTTGTGCTACCACCAGAGAAGACTGCCGCTCATCCTGAGATCTCTTATTCCATTGTAAGAGAGAATGGTACAAAACATACAAATATATTCTGAAAGTTTTGTCCCGCTTTAGACCTGCTGCAGTCCTACTTTAGACCTGCTTTGGACCTGGTTCACACCTGGTTTAGACCTGCTTTGGACCTGGTTCACACCTGGTTTAGACCAGCTTTATTCCTGCTGTAGACCTGCTACCGACCTGTTTTAGTCCTGCTACAGACCTGGTTCAGACCCATATGCTAATTCCCTCCTCTTCCTCGTTCCTGCATCTCCATGGAAACGCTTTCATTCATCTCTAGAGCTGCAGGCCTCACTTAGCTTAGCACTAAAAACGAGGTTTACATCAGGACTAAAGCAGGCCTAGAGAAAGACTAAAGATAGATTAAAGCAGGCCTAAAGCAAGTCTAAAGCAGGACCTTAAAGAAAGATTAAAGCAGGTCTTAGGTTGAACTAAGTGGAACTTATGTTCAACTAAACCTTTGGACCAAATTAATCCAGAGGTGGATTTCTAAATATTTCGGTCCGAAGAGAGCTGTCCGTGGTGCTGAACATGGATGGTCCCCGGTCTCTGGTCCCCGGTCTCTGGTCCCCGGTCTCTGGTCCCCGGTCTCTGGTCCCCGGTCTCTGGTCCCCGGTCTCTGGTCCCCGGTCTCTGGTCCCCGGTCTCTGGTCCCCCGGTCCACGGTCTCTGGTCCCCCCGGTCCACGGTCTCTGGTCCCCCCGGTCCACGGTCTCTGGTCTCCCGGTCCACGGTCTCTGGTCTCCCGGTCCACGGTCTCTGGTCTCCCGGTCCACGGTCTCTGGTCCTTGGTCCTTGGGTCTCACATGCTCCTTTGGTCCTTTGAGAACCATACCTTGCACTGGTCCATGCAGGTCCGCACAGAGTACGGTCCCGGTTCATACTTGAGCGCGAGCTGCTCGAAATCCTCGTACTTCTCGAGCGCGTGCAGGTCGTAGCGTTGGAACGCGGAGACGCACGCGCTGCACGTGCTTCGCTCGTGTAGCGCGTGCAGGCTGCAGCGCAGTCGGTCCGGACTGGATCCGGACCGGAGCAGGTCCATGAGAGAGTACGAACTGCAGAATGACAGGTGTAGTGCGTGCAGGTGCGCGTGCATGGCGCTCTCGTCCACGTGAGCTCCCGTGTCCCATGAGCCTCCGCGGCTGCGCACGGAAAGGTTCCCGCACAGGTGCTCCGCGTCCGCGAGTGTGAAAGAGCGCGTGGAGTTCACGAACACGGGCCTGACGCGGTCCGGCAGCGGCGCGGCAGACGCGGCAGACGCGGAAGACGAGGACAACAGCTTGGCGTCCGCGCGGAACCACAGGTGGTCAGACAACAGCGCGAGCAGCAGCAGAGAAGCCCAGGACACACGGAACCTGTCGGTCAGCGGCTGTTGTGGCTCGATCCACACTAGGTCATCATCGTGCTGCCAACACGTCCCGGTTCCCGGGCTCATATTTCGGGAACGGGCCGACTCCACCGCGGGGGCTGCTCTTCCCTAACGCTCATGGACGTGGGGCGCGTTCAGGCCGAGGGAGATGCTCCGGATGCCATGGCCTCTGCGCAGCCTCCTCTTCAGCAGCGCGCGCGGCGGCGCACGGGGGCCTGGAGCGCGGTGCTGCAGCTGCCGCTTGTGCCGCGCATGGCGCTCGTGCCGCTTGTGCCGCTGGTGCCGCTCGTGCCTCTTCAGCGGCTGCCGCGGCTCTGGTCCTCTGAGTCCGCCATGTTCAGATGTTCAGACCATGGTTCAGAGGAGGAGGATGTGGAGGCTGCAGAGGGCGGGAAGCAGCACAAGTACATCCGGTCTGTGCTTCACAATAAAACGCGAGGTTTCTGCAGGTCACATGATTATGTTACGCTCACGTGATCTTGCGAGCTGCTGTTACTTGTGACCTAATTGAGATAATTAAGCTGTGACCAAACTACTTTATTTTTTATTTATAAACACAAGTGTTAGCGAGAGGTGTTTACATGTTACGTGATCCATGTTTGAGCCAAACTTCACCATGAGCACTTCATTTGTCTATGGTTTGAATCTAATATATCATGTTACCCCTTGCACACTTGTAGAGGGCATCACAGTGAACAAGTGTGTAGTTAAAGTAGTCACAAACTTCTTTAAAAACAATTAAGTTTAAAATGTGCATTTTGGCGGCTCATTCCTGCGGCTTCTCTTTCCACTTTTACGTAACAGCCAAAGGGCCACCGCAACTCTTGGCCATTGACGCACAAACGTCAGCAAAGTCGTGGCATTGACGGATATCGCAATGCTTTTCGCTTTTCCGTCCCAAGTCATGTATCAATGTTGGGGATGACAATTTTATCGAGCCAGCAGTGCACATGCTCTGATGGTTGAAACATGTGCATGTGTGCCCTTTTTTCTCAATTTCTGGTATCTGTGATTCAGTAAAACTCCCTCTCGACGGGTTACAGGGGAAAAAAGCTTAAACAATTTTTTGTGGAAGTAGCATCCATCTTTAGATCTGTCGATTCAGAAGTCATAGTACAATATCTGGGCTGAAAATCGTAAAACATCGAATGGCGCACTGGGGACTGTCTGAATAGCTGCATTCATCGCCCAATTACTCAAAACTATACATTAGTATACTATACGTACTAAAAAAGTAATGTACTGTCTCTGAATTGTAATGCATTACACTACCACTGCATTACTTTCTCCAAATATACATAGTAAAAACAAAAAAAAGAATTAGGATTTAATCATCTCAAGTTAAATTGTTATATATTAATTCAGTCTTAATAATCGAAGGGGTAGTCAAACTTGGGGTAAACTGGTTAATCCTGGTTCAGGTTCAGTCTTGGCTGTCCTGGCTCAGTCCTGGTTATCCTCGTTCAGTCCGGGCTGAGTCCTGGTTCCGGTCTGGTTTACAGCAGCAAGGGCCGGCCCTAGATCAGGCGCCCCAGGCGAAAATATATCATGTTACCCCTTGCACACTTATAGAGGGCATCACAGTGAATAAGTGTGTGGTTAAAGTGGTCGCAAACTTTTTTTTTAAACAATTACTTTTAAAATGTGCATTTTGGCGGCTCATTCCAGCGGCTTATACCAGAGGTGTGGACTCGAGTCATGTGACTTGGACTCGAGTCAGACTCGAGTCATGATTTTGATGACTTTAGACTCGACTTGACCAAATATAAAAAGACTTGCAACTCGACTTGGACTTTAACATCAATGACTCTGACTTTCACTTGGACTTGCGCCAATTGACTTGCAAAGACTTGCGTAACCCGGGCCATTTTTACCTTTCTCCGCATCTCTCTTTCTATCTATGCCGTCTCTGAAGAAACAAAGCCTCGCGGTAGTTGTAGCGCTCGCGAGAGAGTTCGAACGTGAGTTTCCCACGGTTCGCGCAGCAACACTTCCCTAAACAAGCGCACTGCATTCACCGGTGGGTGTGTTGTCGTAGGGGAGCTGGAAATGAGCGAGCTGCAGGTATTTATCGCGACCTAACGTCATACTTTGTTCTACAAACCGTAATTGATATGCTTTCACTACAGGCGCCTCATACAATTAAATCAACGCAGTTGTCACACTGTGTGCCGTGCTAGATTAAGCTAGATTAATATTTGCACTATTGTTTATGGTGCATTGATATGAGAATCAGTGCTTTGACTGATTGAATTAATTTATATGAGACATTTTATTATGTAATGATATATTGGTAATTATGAGATATTACTAATGCTGGTCCAGTTCATACAGGCCAGGTTCCTTCCCCTCCATTGGTCCCTTCTGTCCTTTGCCCCCCCCCCCTTTTTTTTTTTTGATGGCGAGCTGCCCAGGTCCAAAGCCTAGACCCCTCATACTACCCCTATCCTACAGTAGGACATTTGGAACAATAACCACTACGGACATTAAACTGATTATATAGATACAGGTCCTAGCCCAATACTCATATTCATATATGCTGCACTTGCTACTTCCCATTAAAATCCCCAAAGATAAAAAGTTGACACGGACTGCTCTGATTTTATGTGTGGTCTGTGCATGTGTAACTGAGCCTGCATCTGGCACAACATCCAATTAGATCACGTAGATAGTTTTGATTTACCAGCAGCCAACGACATGGAACAAACTGTTAGTCCATGGGTCAGAGACCAACGAGAATGCACCAGCAAAATGATTCCTAACATTATTTTGTTTGCCTACAAAAGTACGTGGAGACCAACAAGAAACAAATCGCGGTCAAAAAGACTCGAGAGGACTCGAAAGTCAAACCGTAGGACTTGGGACTGACTTGAGATTTGTTGGCCTTTGACTTGGACTCGACTCGGGACTTGCCTGTCTTGACTCGTGACTTGACTCGGGACTTGAGGGCAATGAATTGAGACTGACTTGTGACTTGCTAAACAATGACTTTGTCCCACCTCTGGCTTATACGCACTTTTACTTAAGAAACAGCCAAAAGGGGCCGCCCGCTGTTAATCAGTGTTGGGCACGTTACTTAAAAAACGTAATACGTTATGTATTACTTATTACTGTTACTTCAAAATAATGTATTACACTACAATATTACTGTCTCTGAATTGTAATGCATTACACTACTACTGCATTACCTTTAAGTGACTTTCTCCAAATGGATAAGGATTTAATCATCTCAAGTTATTATATATACAGTAAAATCCTGGTTCAGGTTCAGTCCTGGCTCAGAGCTGCTTGTCCTGGTTCAGTCCTGGCTCAGTCCTAGTTCAGTCCTCACTGCTTTATTTACTAAACATGATGGAAGTGCAACATTCTTGCCGCTGTTTAAAAAGAAGAAATGGAGAGGTATTTTAAAGTACGCTGTTATAAAGAGACGTTTTTTTCAGCTTGGAAAGAGTATTATTCTACGATTGGTCGACTAAGGCGCACACGGTAACTCTATTTCCTTGTGTCTTTTATTTTGAGACGTGTAACAATTTGCGGTTTTCTGTATGGAAATTTATAGCAAGCTCTCCTTTATCTTTGTAGTTTTCACGGTGTTCCATATGCACCAATGAAATTAATTGCTGCTGGACATCAGTCGAGGCGTTTAGTCCTTTTTTTTGGAGATCAACGCAGTTGTAGTCCGCGTGTCTATGGTCCTGTCCGTGTGTATATGGTCTTGTCCGCGCGTCTATGGTCCGCGCGTCTATGGTTCTGTCCGCGCGTCTATGGTTCTTTCCGCGCGTCAATAGTCATGTCCGCATGTCTATGGTCCGCGTGCCTATGGTTCTGTCCGCGTGTCTATGTTCCACGCTCGGTACCACGTAATGGCAGTGTGTTCACTGAGCTGTTGCCAAAGCGGATGAGGAGGACCTCGAAGTATTCCTCCCACCGCCCGACAATATCCTCAGTTGAGGCGCACCATACACAGTGTTGGCAAAGAACTATGTTCCATGAACTCTTCAAACCCCTCCCAGTCCTGGGTTTTTGCCTCTGCAACAGCCTGGGCCGCGGCACCCTTGGCCTGCCGGTACTGGACAGTTGCCTCAGGAGTTCCAAAAAGCCATCATGGCTCCATCAGACTTCTTATATATTCAGCCTGACGGCATCCCTTACTATCGGTTTCCACCACCGGGTTCGGGCGTTGCCGCTGGGACCAGCACCAGAGACCTTGCGACCACAGGTACGAGCTGCCGCATCGGCGATGGAGGTGGAGAACATGGTCCACTCAGACTCAATGGGCGGCAGTAGCTCAGTTGGTAGAGCGTTGGCCTTTAAGCCGCTCAAGACTTTCACCATCTACTCCCACTGACTACTGTCGTTGTGTCCTTGGCAAGATACTTAACCTCTGGGAACACCAGCCACAGTGGGGCGGCTGCGGCTGTAAAGTACCAAACTGCCGTTGTGTCCTTAGGCAAGACACTTCACCCCCATTGCCTAGAATGAGTCTGGTGTGAGGGGCTGGTGCTGTGTGTACTGGGTGCAGCTCTGATTGCCACCCCCCCGACCCAGAAATGGATTAAGGGGAAGAAAATGGATGGATGGATGGAGTCTGATGTGTGTATGAATGGTTGGTGGTGGTCGGAGGGGCCGATGGCGCATACTGGTTGCCTCGCTTCTGTCAGTGTGCCCCAGGGCAGCTGTGGCTACAGTAGTAGTTTATCACCACCGTGTATGGAGTGAATGAATAATGACATGTGAAGCGTCTTTGAGTGTCCAGAAAAGCGCTATATAAAACCGATGCATTATTATTATTATTAATGTCCCCCTCCTCCCCCAAGATCATATCTGCTTTTACCTTGCACAGCACTTTGTGATTTTTATCTGTGAAAGGTGCTCGATAAATAAAATGTACTTACTTACTTACTATTAACGTTTTAGCTCAATAGCTTCCAGGTCATGTGATCTATTGACTCCAAATCAGTTTAGGATCATAGTCCACTTGCTGCAGGAGGTACACCTCTTCTATTATCATTTAATTGTTTTAAGTATTTTTAATTAATTTTTATACGTAAATATTAGCATCTTAGCTCAATAGCTTCCAGGTCATGTGATCTATTGACTCTAAATTAATGTTGGATCATGTCAACACAGTGGCTGCTTGAGACACAGTATATTTATTTGGAAAAACGGAAGTCGATACACACTGCAGCCTTCTTCTATTATTTATTTGTTTATTTGTCCAGGACAGTGTACATTCATGAACATTACAGAATTGGCCACAAGGTTATTTTTTATCTGTTGTCCCTGGACATATTTAAAATGTCACCTTAAAAGCAAACACTTAATAAAATACCACACATGTTACCGTGTGTTTACCGTACTGTCTGTTGTAGGGTTGAAGTGGCTTGAGTTGCACTGTACCCAGAGCGAAGCAGAGTTACAGAGAGGTAAAGACCGTTGAATGTCTGTCGGTTATCCAAAACTAAAACTAACTTCACCGCGGTTAAAAACCCTGTGGTGATGATCCAGGACACTTTAAACATTCTACAACATGTATGGACATTTATCAACATGTGTTCTATATTCTTTTTGTGTTTTAACTGTTGATTCTCTGACTTGTGTTGGTGATTTCAATGGTCTTGTTAATGTACTGGCTACTGTATGCAAGAATACATTTTATTGTCTTGTTACTTTGAGCCCGTTTTTCACTCACTTTTCTTCGGCGTTTATTGGCTGCACCTGACGGCTTGGACTGCCTTTTCATATTAATGTTGACCAAAAACACGCCCACCTATCTTTCACACTTTCTGGGATGCGCGAGGCTCCCCCTCCCCCACCTACTCACCTTGGCTTGGCAAGAGTCCAGCTGACAGCAGCAAGGTTAAATTAAATGATGAGTTTATTGAGTTTATAGTATTTGAAGTTTTTTTTTTTTTTTTTTTAAATCTTACGTGATGGGAAACACTTCGCAGAATAATAATAAAGGAAACTTCAAAAAAACAAAAACAATTAAGACTGCAATTTTGTGCCCCATCCTGTAGATGGGGCACAAAATCAACCAGGACCAAATCAACCTGATTTGGTCCTGGAGCTGTGCTTCTTAGCAAAAATGAAACAGTTAAAACTATATACATTTATAAGACAGTAGCCTGGCCTTAGCCATCCGTAAACTCTGGTAAATTATTATTACCCTACGTCTGGGTCTGCCTCATGGATGTATTATATTAACGGTCTGCCTCCAGTGCAGTTACATCGACGTCAAGAGTTTGAGGCGATTGGCTGGTTGTAGTTTGGCAATGGTGGCAAATGCGATAGTAAAGTAATGTTCTGTTCTGGAGCAAAAGAAAAGAATAGCAGATTTCATTCCTGGCAGATGTTGTGGCTCTACTTCACACGGGCTCCGTTAGCGGCAAAAGAGATGCAAGGCTAAATGCTAAATGCAAGCGACTCGCTCAGATCCATTCGTTTCAATCTACAAAATAAGTTAACCTGTTAACGAAGGTCAATGGAGCAAAACCAGACCATAGTACGAAATAAAATTTTACAATGTTGTGGTAAGACCAGGCTAATAAGACAGTACAACCTGAATGAGAATTAATGTTTTATTAATGTCACCATTGATTCATTCTGAATTGCATTTCATTATTTATGCAGGAGCCAAAATAACTATGGGCAAGATTAGAGAGAGACCAGAAAGAGAGACCAAAGAGACCAGAGAAAGGGAGCAGAGACCAGAGAGACTGGAGGAAGAGACCAGAGAGTCCCAAGAGACCTGAGAGAGAGCAGAGACCCAAAGGGACAAGAGAGAAAGAGATCAGAAAGGGCAACTGGTCTCTTAAATCTGGTAGTCTCTGTCGTCGAGCAGAAGGCCGGCGCTGATGGACTCTGAGATCCAGGTGTCTCTCACGATCTTAAACTTCTTCCTGAACGTCCTGCGGAGCTCGCGCAGCTGATGTACGTCCTCCTCTCCCTCCACCACCACATGAGTCACCCCCTCCTCCATCTGCCGCTTCACCCGACCACCATGAAGCTCAAACTGCAGCGCTCGCACATCCAAAACTGTGGCCTCAGCAGACGTGTCCATGAAGGCAATGAAAGGACGGAACAGAGACCAGAACAAGTCCTCCCATCCAAACGCCTGCTCCACCCCTGCTACATCCACATCTGAGAGACCAGAATCAGACCAGAGGGAGAGAGAGCAGAGACCGAGGAGACCATAGAGGGAGATTAGAGTGAGAGACCAGACAGAAAGACCAGAGAGAATCACATTATAATGGACATTTACAAAAAATGTTCACGAAGACTTGACAAAGCAAAGAGGCCGTCTCTCTCACCGGTCTCAGCATCGGTGATCCTCCCGAACACCTCCTTCAGCTGCTCCACACTGGTGTCCTCTGTGAAGCTGTCTCCATAACGATCAAACTGCTTGTGGAAGTTCTGGCTCGTGGCCTCAGTCATGCCCATCATGTGTCTGGGTCTCCAGGGCACCACCTCCCTCTGCTGCAGACACTCCAGGAGCCAGTCTGACCACAGCACGTCGTGGGCTCTGGAGGACACCAGGTTCTTCACCCGCAGGTTCTCCACTCCGGCCACCACACACCAGGTGTCCGGGCCTGGGTTCTGCACCACCAGGCCTCCACAGCTGCACACACACACAACACTGCTGCACTGAACCTATCCGACCGATATGTGCAGGGGTTCGCCAGGGGCCCACACCAGGGCCGATGGTGTTGTCCTGCCCCTCAGTGGAGTAGAGTAGAGCCAAGTCGACTAGACTAGAGTAGCCCTCTCCGGCCTCTCTCCCTCTACGGCCTCTCTCCCTTCTACGGCCTCTCTCCCTTCTACGGCCTCTCTCCCTTCTACGGCCTCTCTCCCTTCTACGGCCTCTCTGCCTTCTACGGCCTCTCTCCCTTCTACGGCCTCTCTCCCTTCTACGGCCTCTCTCCCTTCTACGGCCTCTCCACCTTCTACGGCCTCTCCACCTTCTACGGCCTCTCTCCCTTCTACGGCCGCTCTCCCTCTCTGACCAGCCGCTCTCCCTCTCTGACCGGCCGCTCTCCCCCTCTGACCGGCCGCTCTCCCTCTCTGACCGGCCGCTCTCCCTCTCTGGCCACTCTCATACATGTGACTGACCTGGCCACGCCCCTCTCCAGCTCGGCCTTGGGATGCTCCTTTGTCCCGTTGATGACGCAGATCTCCACGTCCTGGAACATGTCGGTTTGCTGCTGCACGGCGCTCAGGTCGGCGCCGCGGCAGTGCTCCACCACACCCACCACCTTCTTCAGCTTCAGCGGGACCTTCCTCTTCTTCTTCTGCGGCGCCTCGCCGTCCTCCATGTTCAGGTGCCGCGACGCCAGCTTCCCAGACGCTCTGCTACGAAACCCATCCAGCTCGGCCAGCGTCATGCACTGATGCCACGCCTTTCACATCCACATCCAGTTTATTTGTCATTTGAATACAAAATTCATCTCATCTTACATGTATTCCAATAAGTAGGGATGTCCTGATATTTTGTGGTTTTTGACTGAACGGGGATTGTCTAATCTGCTTAGAGCTGCAACTAACGATTATTTTGTAATAGATTAATCTATCGATTATTTTTACGATTAATCGAGTAATCTCTTGGCTGTGAATTGTGTAGAAAAAAATTATGCTCTGTTTGAGTCCGTGTGAACCAGAAAACGATTAATCGATTACTAAAATAGTTGTCGACTATTTCAATAATCGATTAGTCGTCGATTAATCGATTAGTTGTTTCAGCCCTAAATCTGCTTGACGACTCGCCCGATCTCTAGAGCAGTTCTAGTGAAGTAGCAGACAAATCTGATTCAGCACTGGACATGAAACGGAACATAAGGCGTAGTATTTTGTCATTGTGACTTGGGGTTATACTACAATACAATTTGGTAGTGACGGGCAAATGAAGCCCGTCACACACCAAGTCTTTCTTTGCCAGATTGTATCAATTGTGTGGAGTTATTAGATTGTAACGCTGTCATCTACTGGACAAATGTAATCACTGCAGCTTCTGAATACTTGATTGCACAGCAAACGCCGCACCACTTTTAATAATAATAATAATGACAATTTCACCATTAAGCATAAATGGTTGATAACGCTTAAGAAAACATTTGAAAAATCATTTGATGAGACATTTCCTTTTTAGGTTAAACGAACTAAAATAGTTTAGTTTACTTGCTGAAAATGTTGTTTTATGATTTACAATACCAATGATAAAAAGCATTGGATCAGAACTCAAAAATCCGATCTGATTTGAAGTTTAACAATTGGATCGGGATTGGAGGCAAAAATCAGGAATCGGGACATCCCTAACAATAAGATGCACTATATTGTCCACAAGGGAAATTTGCTGTGTTATACAGTGCTACACAGATCTGCATGAATGAATAAAGTGTGCACCAGTCAAGTACATAAATAAAACAAGCTAAATCAACTGTTTAAATAACCAGAGAAAATTCTTTAGCATTCGCTGGAAATTAAAACAAGTCCTAAGTCGCTCTAAAACCGTTGTCGTTTTGTGTTTTACAATTGTTATTTTTCTTGCTATTTTGTCTATCTGTAAATGTTCATGATGTTACTCTGATCCAGACAAGAGCAGAGAGGATGGTCCCAACCTAGAAGATCAAGCGGAAATCCACTGGAAGGACACCATACATAGCATTCAGAATTTAACTCTGTACCCGAGCAGAAAAAATGGTCCAAACAAAGCAGAGTCTGCAAACATCAACCAGAGGAAGCAACTCATCACCAGCGGCTACACCTTCTCTGCTGCTGCTGCTGCACTTTATTAGTATTGTTAGTAACTTTTAGATTTTTTTATTCACTCTGGTCTGTCTTTCTCCCTTTTCTTTTTCTGGTCTCTCTCGGATCTCTCTCTTTCTGGTGTCTTTCTCTCTCTGGTCTCTCTTTCTCTCTATCTCCCTGGTCTCTATCTCCCTGGTCTCTATCTCCCTGGTCTCTATCTCCCTGGTCTCTATCTCCCTGGTCTCTATCTCCCTGGTCTCTATCTCCCTGGTCTCTATCTCCCTGGTCTCTATCTCCCTGGTCTCTATCTCCCTGGTCTCTATCTCCCTGATCTCTATCTCCCTGGTCTCTATCTCCCTGGTCTCTATCTCCCTGGTCTCCATCTCCCTGGTCTCCATCTCCCTGGTCTCCATCTCCCTGGTCTCCATCTCCCTGGTCTCCATCTCCCTGGTCTCCATCTCCCTGGTCTCCATCTCCCTGGTCTCCATCTCCCTGGTCTCCATCTCCCTGGTCTCCATCTCCCTGGTCTCCATCTCCCTGGTCTCCATCTCCCTGGTCTCCATCTCCCTGGTCTCCATCTCCCTGGTCTCCATCTCCCTGGTCTCCATCTCCCTGGTCTCCATCTCCCTGGTCTCCATCTCCCTGGTCTCCATCTCCCTGGTCTCCATCTCCCTGGTCTCCATCTCCCTGGTCTCCATCTCCCTGGTCTCCATCTCCCTGGTCTCCATCTCCCTGGTCTCCATCTCCCTGGTCTCCATCTCCCTGGTCTCCATCTCCCTGGTCTCCATCTCCCTGGTCTCTATCTCCCTGGTCTCCTTCTCCCTGGTCTCCATCTCCCTGGTCTCCATCTCCCTGGTCTCCATCTCCCTGGTCTCCATCTCCCTGGTCTCTATCTCCCTGGTCTCTATCTCCCTGGTCTCCTTCTCCCTGGTCTCCATCTCCCTGGTCTCCATCTCCCTGGTCTCCATCTCCCTGGTCTCCATCTCCCTGGTCTCCTTCTCCCTGGTCTCCTTCTCCCTGGTCTCCTTCTCCCTGGTCTCCTTCTCCCTGGTCTCTCTCTGGTCTCACAGCTCTCAGTCCTCTTTCAGAGCAGTTCACCTTGTTTAGAGCTCTCCTTTCTTTGACTGAGATGTCACAGAACCAACTAAGAAACGTTCAATGGTGCAACAATAAAAGTGAAGCAGGATCTTAGAGTTTGTGGTGAATTCTCCAAGTTTCCACAGAAGAGACCAGAGAGAGAGACCAGAACACTGACAAGCTTTCTTAACAACCTGAGTTAAACACAGAGTAAAACACAGTAAAACACAGATGCTTGCCTTGTCGTTGCGAATCCTCTCGATGCGTGGGAAGCGGAGCGTGCAGCCGGTCCGGTACACGTCGCTGCTGACGATCTCTGCCGCCTTCACCTGAACAATCACAGAGTTCTGCGGCTCGATGTAGACCTCGGGCTTCTCCGCGGCGCAGCAGAGGCAGGCGGGCGGGTCGTTCTTGCGGTACACCTTCCAGTGCGGGGCCAGCTTTAAGCCCAGATCGTACAGCTCCTTCATGGTGTATCCGGAGCCAATGCGGCAGAGCGTATGGAACACAGAAGGCTGCGTTTGTCCGGGTTTTGGAGCTTCGGCGACAGCGCACAGAAAGTGTGACATCATCCCCCCGCGCCGGCCTTTGCCCCAGTATCCCCCGACGATCAGCAGGTCGAGCTCGTCCATCAGCCCGTCCATGTACTCGGGCTTGACCTTAAGCCAGCCCTCGCCACGTTTGTCCGGTTTGTAAACAGACAGCGGGTCTTTCACCATGATGCCCTCCTCTCGGCCGTCAATGGCCTCATTCAGAGCGCTCACCACTTCTTTGGCGCTCTTCACTTCAGTCCGGTGCACGATGTGAAGGCGGCCTTTGATCGGTGTGAAGACCGTCTGCAGCACTTCGGAGCGCGTCCTCAGCGTCTCCTTCCCAAGTTTGCGGCCGTTCAGCAGCAGCACGTCGAACACGCAGAAGCAGGTCTGCAGCTCAGAGTCGTCCATCAGCTTCTTGATGTCAAACTTACTTCCTTTCTGCATGAAGCTGTCGGCGCTCGGGTTGTACGCCATCATCTCGCCGTCCAGGATGCAGCTAACCACGCGGCGCTCGAACGCCTGATGGATGTGCGGCGTGAGGGAGCCCTCTAGTGGCGAACCCCCAAACTGCTGTGTGTACTCGAAGGCGTTGCGGCTGAAGTACTTGTAAACATCGCCGTCTTTGTGCAGCTGGATGCGCTCTCCGTCCAGTTTGGTCTCGACGTAGAACGGACTGTTCCCCATCTGCTTCTCGATGTTGCGTAAGTTAGCTACAGCTGCTAGCATGGGCTTGAACGCGGAGAACAGGCCAATGGAAACATCGCTCAGAGACACCGCTGGATCGTGCAGCTGCAAACACACTTTCTTCAGATCCGTGTTGACGTTGTAAAGCTCGGCTGCGTCCGCGTGGAACACCTGCAGCACCGTCTCTTTGCTGATGCTAATCCTCATGTCTTTCAGAATCATGCGGATCAACCACTTCTGCTCCAGCGCCGAGCTCTGTGTGATCAGATGCAGTAGGCTCTTCCTCACCAGCTCCTTCTTCTTGCTCGCGTTGTTGATCGCCACAGAGTCCAGAAACTCATTCACTTCTTTGATGGAGAGTTTGCCCTGACCGCTGCAGCGCGTCTTCAGCACAAAGAAGGCCATTCCGGCGAAGTCCCCGGCCTCCCCCTGCGAGCTGCTGGGCGCGCGATAGTTCAACAGCTTGTTTGCCTCTGGGCCGGTCTTGGGCAGCCCCAGGACGTCGATGTACAGCTTGGCTAACATGTTCTCTTTGATACCATAGGCCATGCGCTCGCGCTCAAACGCAGGGACGATGAGGCGCATGGCGGGGTAAAAGGAGTCTGTGGTTTGAGGGTCGTCTTTGTGAAGAACACTGTGGAACTTCCGCCAAGTGTCGATGAAGTCTCCGAGAATTCTGGACTTCTCCGGGCGAGTTTTGGCTTTTTGAATCTTCTCTAAAGTGTTACAGAGGTCGAGGAATGGCACTTTGGCAGCAACAGAGAGCACAGTGCTCTGGGGCACCCCCTCCATTTTTTTTAAAAACCTGCAACAACAAAGACAATAGTTATGGTTTCTAATAATACAAATACATGTAATGGAGGAACAGGTTATAACTCAACTCAAAACATTAAAACAGCATTTGTGGAAATAAATCTTTGCCATGAGGCAGTAACAGTTGAATACATACTCAGTGTGTATATAAAAGGTGCACTTTATTTGTATGTGCTCAAAGGGAAATTCGTCCTCTGCATTTGACCCACCTCCTCTGTCAGGAGCAGGTGTCAATGTAGTAACAGGTGACCATAGCAATCCAGATGTTGATTCTCTTCAGGACCGAATTCTGGACCTCTTTACTGAGAAACGAGAGAGCTAACCACTCGGATCCATCGTCAGACTTGCCCATACTTGTCCATAACTCAGTCCTGAACAAGATTTCAATTATTTTCAAGAAAATAAACTGGGACGATATCCATATATATAACATATAGGAAATTTAGCCATTCTTTGCAAAACTTAGATGCCATTATTTTTATTTGCATGTGAGCATTGACAGCACAGGGATAGCGCATAGATAGGAAGTAGAGCCAGTTCAATACGTTAATTCGGTGCAATGTTTCTCGTTTTATGTTACGTCATGAGAAAAGAGACAAACAAAGGATCGACGGTGTTTTCGAAGTCTTACCTGATTAGAACCTCTAAAAACTCACGTTTGAAACAGTTCTTTGTGATGAGGCGCACTCAAATACTTCCCTCGTAAACAATAAACTCACAGCTATAGTTCCGATTATAAAAAATATAATATCAAATAAACTAAAACAAACAGAAATGCACAGCTTATTTGATTTCAACCACAAATGATCCGTAAACAATTATAACATAAACATGTTATAAATCTAACGTTTAATATGTGCGGATGTGGAGCTCTGGAGACGTCAAGCTAAACATTCTAATAGCCAGCAAACCACTAACTACATCCGGAAAAGCTTTTTTAAATGATGTGTTATTGCGGAGACACACATACACACACGCACACACACACACACACACACACACACACACACACACATACACTAGAATGTGCCTTTATTCTGAAGGAGCTTTCCGGATGTGCGGCTGGTGAGTGAGGCTGTTGTGATTACCGCGGATCAGCTGGTCGTCACGGACCGGGTTTCACTTGCTGCATTTTTGGGTCTTTGCAGCGGATTTAAACAGCCTTCGCTGATGGAGGAGGTGAAGGTGAACCAGGCCAGCCCAGAACGAGCTGGGCCGTCCTGGGACAGAGGCGTGCAGACGGACAGCAGAGGGCAAGGTGAGACACGGGAGCCATAAAACAAGTTACCGAGACGAATCACGTACACTGGCTTTAAATGAGATAATATTTACGACCTAATGAGCCTCTCCCATCTCATCAATACTAAGTGAAGGACAAGGAAAGTCTAGGGGAAATCAGGCTGTAAATCCAGGACTGAGGCTGTAGACCCAGGACTAAGGCTGTAGACCCAGGACTAAGGCTGGAAAGTATTGTATACTACTTCTAGTACTAACGTGTGTGTGTTTGCAGGTCCAGCTCCCCGTCTCTCCAGAGGAAACCTCTTCTCTCTCCTCAGTCTGTGGATGGAGCTGTTTCCACAGGAGCAAACAGAGGAGCGAGGCCCCAGAGGAGTTCAGGTCAGAGACACCATCTCCAACAGTTCAATCAGCAGAGACTCCATCAGACAGAACAGGGGTTTATTAGAACTGTATGTTGTTTGCAAGTAGTCTGACGTTACATGAAGTAGCACATGCAACTCGTTATTACCTACTGTATAAGACCGTGGTGGTGGGAGCGAGTTGAAGGGTGACAGAGCTGGTCCAGGTGATGAGGTGATGATGGGGAGGAGGAGGGTTGCTGCATGAATTAAAGGTTCCTGTGCGATAATCTAGTCTTTGTGTTTTGCTAATTTCTCTGTAATTCCTGGAACAATCCACATGAAACAAAGCGTCATGTGTGTCACCCGCAGGTTGTGGGCCTGGTCGTGGTCGCGGACGGCAGAGTGGTTGGCCTTCACTCGTCAGGTTCAGATCTTCACGCCGCTCAAGCCGCCATCTTGGATCACGGAGCTAAACTGAAGCACATGAGTCTGTACTTCTCCAGGAGGCCATGTGCGACATGCATCAAGATGGTCATCAACGGTACGAAGACACTACGTACTGATACTGCTGCGATTACTTCTGCTACTGTTGTAGTAGTTTGAAAATGCCTAATATTAGTCCACATGGATGAGAAACTTGCTGTAGTCCATTATACCTGTATTCTATGTGGTCTCTATGGTCTCTCTCTGATTTATTTGGACTCTCTCTGGTCTCTCTTTCTCTTGGTTCTCTCTGGTCTCTCTCTGGTCTCTCTCTGGTCTCTTTCTGGTCTCTTTCTGGTCTCTCTCTGGTCTCTGTGTGATCTCTGACCTCTATTCTTCAGCCGGTGTGAGTGAAATCTGCTTCTGGCCTGGAGATCCAGAGGTCTCCATGTTGTCTTCAAAGGACTACACTTCTCATGATGCATCTCTGCAGCTGACTGAGGAGGCTGCTTTGGACGCACTGGCTGTAGACCAACTCAAGTCCAACAGTGGGACTCAGATCTGGGTCCCACTGAAGCCCCTGCCCCCGGGTCTGGTCCAGTTTGTGACGGAGACCTCCAGAGACTCAGACTTCATGCAGAAAATGGAAGAGGAGGGCGAGGAAGTGGACCAGCTCTTCAACAGGTGCAGTTTGAGACTGCTTTAGACCTGGCTCAGGCCTGGCTCTCAGACCTGGCTCTCGGACCTGGCTCTCGGACCTGGCTCTCGGACCTGGCTCAGACCTGGCTCGGACCTGGCTCGGACCTGGCTCTCGGACCTGGCTCAGACCTGGCTCGGACCTGGCTGGCTATGACCTGGCTCGGACCTGGCTCGGACCTGGCTCAGACCTAGCTCGGACCTGGCTCGGACCTGGCTCGGACCTGGCTCAGACCTAGCTCGGACCTGGCTCGGACCTAGCTCGGACCTGGCTCGGACCTGGCTCGGACCTGGCTCGGACCTGGCTCGGACCTGGCTCAGACCTGGCTCAGACCTAGCTCGGACCTGGCTCAGACCTGGCTCGGACCTGGCTCAGACCTTGCTATGTATGACCTGGTTCTTGTCCTCCACAGACAGCAGTCCCAAGCCCTCTCGCTCCTCACCTCTCGGTTCCTGGTGAGTCCTTCTCAACACCAGAAGATCTTGTCCCTCATGAAGCTGGAGAACTTCTGTGTGGAGCCGTACTTCTCTGGTCTCAGACACAATATGGAGCACCTGCTGCATCTCCTGTCGGCCGTGGTGGCATCTGTACCAGCGCTCTGCAACTACGGTTTCTACAGGTGAGAGACAGAGAGGGGTTCCCCAGGGGTCCTGACAAGGGCCCAGGGTTTTTCACTTAACCTCCTTCTGCTCATAGTAGTTTGGGGAAAAATTCAATCATTATACAGACGATTTTTAGATTAGAGCCTTAAAGGAGCAATATGTAATATTTGCATGTCAAGTCATCATTAAATGACCCGAATATTTCAAAAGGCATTAATAAATCATACTCTTTTCGAATTCATCTTTAACTGATAACAGTAGTTCAGCCGAGATATTTGATTATCAAAATTAGTTTTACGACCCGTAAAAGTTGTTATTGTTTTGATTTTGATGTCCTACCCTCCGCCGTTTCGCCAATCAGGAAGTGTCATGTAAGTCCGTGATCGGGTTTCCAGAACTCCGTGCGGCTCACTAATCTCAGAGGTAAAATAACATGTGGCGCAGAACTAAAAAAGGTCTTGTTATGACTCTCAAATCATTAATGACAAAACAAAGACTAAAACGAGGATTTATATCGGGATGCCTTTGAACAATTGAGACAGCTGATAAAAGTTCACGTGTGATGCAGAATTTTCTAATTTGAGTCCGTTCTTCACAGAGCCTTTGTTCATGTGAATCGGTGGTCTAGCGGTCTAAGCTGTGCGCTTATGATGTAGGAACCCGGGTTCGATTCCGGGAAATGTCTTTTTGTATTTATTGCATGTTATCACATTCTATGACAGATTGCTCTAAAAACGGTAAAAGATGAAGGTCAAGACGTTTTTTTGCAGATTATAGCTTAATTGTAAAAATAATCATTTAAGACCACATGTACCCCAATTAAAATAATGTTAGTCTCTTTTTGATGTGGGACTTTTACATGTTTGTCTAAAAAATAGGGAATAAATAAAATTGAAAGGTGATATCCTCTTGAGCAAACCCTGATGTTGATACGCTGATGTTTGCATAAACTATGTATAATTACATTGCTTTTATTTTGTTTTTGTTTTTTATCTCAAATAATAATAATAAAAAAAACATTAATCAAAACATTCATTCAGCATTAGCACGGCTGTCATGGCAATGTGAATGGAGACGGACAAACAACTGATAAAATAATTCCCTGTGTTTGCTGCTGGATTTGGTGTGAATCTGGCAACCTGAGTCAGGGAGAGTGGGAGAGGACTACAAAATATTGACTGTGACTGCAGTACCACTTTTGGCCAGATTTTTACATATTGCTCCTTTAAAGCTGAGGTCCGAAACTTTATTCTCATAAATAACACCTGTTAAAAAGCTGGGGTACGTAACTTTTTCAGAGGTGCTGTTGCTGTGGTTTGAATGTTGCGTGCCCCAGCTTTAAATCTGAACCAGACATGTAATCACGTGTGTGTGTATGTGTGTGTGTTTTGCAGGTCGAGTGGAGGCAGTGGTTCTACTGCGGTGTCTCTGGAGGTCGCTCTTCACTGTATGATCCAAGCTCGACTGCTGTCCTACAGAACAGGTCTGAGGTAGTAGTTGTATAGTTGTAGTAGCAGTTGTAGGGATGTCCAAATCACTATTTCTTGCCTTCGGCCCCAATCCCATTGTTAAAATTCAAATCCGACCCAATTTTGAGTGCTGTCTACCATTTATGTTTAATGGTGAAATTGTCATTATTATAAAAGTGGTGCGGTGTTTGCTGTGCAATCAAGTATTCAGAAGCTGCAGTGATTTCATTTGTCCAGTAGATGTCAGCTTTACAATCTAGTATGCGGCTCAGAGCCAGGGATCGATAATAGATCTTTTATAGATCCATGGCTCCAACACGTTTGATATGATCAGGCAAAGAAAGCCTTGGTGTGTTACGGGGCTTCATTTGCCCATCACTGCCGACTTGTAATGTAGTGTTACCCCAAGTCACAATATCAAAATACTATGCCTTATGTTCCGTTTCATGTTCAGTCCTCAAATGCTGAGTCAGATTGGTCGTGTTGAATGTAGCTCTTCTGCTCCCACCTCCCAATCAGCATGTTGCATATACTTTGCATGTTGCTTTTGTGATGTCCTCGTTTTCTAATAAAAATACTGCCACTTTTGACCTGTTTAACTAGTAGCCACATGAACTCCACTCTGACATTATATACATTATACCTCAACTCAGTTTTAAATGACTGTGTGCAGTTACCGTGAACTGTTACTGTAAAGATCTGGCGAGTCGTCAGGCAGATTTGATGATTCTTGATTAGTCAAAAACCATGAAATATTGGCCTCGTAGTAGTAATAGTAGTAGTAATAGTAGTAGTTCTCATGTGTACTCTGTGTACTCTCTGCAGAGGACCCCAAAGTGGGCGTGGGCGCGGTCATCTGGGTCAAACGTCAGCAGGTGTGTTGTTCGGGGCCTGTTCTTTCTTCAGTCTGAGTGATCTCTAAGTGTCCCCTGTGGTTTCAGGGCGGAGGCCCCTCTCTGATGGGGGGCTTGTCTCTCGTGGGGTCCGGGTTCAACGCGTACCCCTCAGGCTCCCAGTACCAGCAGTACCCTCAGCACGACGACAAGCAAGAGGACCGTGAGAGACGCAAGTACAGGTTCATGATCCACGCCGAGCAGAACGCCATCACGTTCAGGTACGGGACTACTGCTACTGCTGCTACTACTACTACTACTGCTACTTCTACTAATACTGCTACCACTACTACTGCTACTACTACTAACTGCTGCTGCTACTACTGCTACTACTACTAACTGCTTCTGCTACTACTGCTACTACTACTGCTACTGCTGCTACTCCTACTACTGCTACCACTACTACTGCTACCACTACTACTGCTACTAGTAAGTAAGTAAGTAAGTAAGTAGTAGTAAGTAATGTTTATTTATATAGTGCATTTCACAGACCAAAGTCACCCAAAGTGCATTAGAATGTTCAGAGTTCAGATATTGTTCCAATCATTCCACACACGGTGATGACTGAAGCGAGTCGCCGAACACACTAGACCATCAGCCGCCAATCAACACCATCCATTCACTCTCATTCACTACTACTACTACTACTACTAACTGCTGCTGCTACTACTACTACTACTACTATTAATATTACTACTGCTTCTACTACTACTACTGCTACTACTACGACTACTGCAGTTTCTGCTACTGCTACATCTGCTGATCCTGGTCCCTGCTGCTGTCTCATCAGGAGCAGAGCCTGGCAGGCCCCTGATGCGTCCCTGCTGTTCGTGACCAAGTGTCCGTGTGATGAGTGTGTCCCTCTGATCCGAGCGGCTGGAGTCTCTCACATCTACTGCTCTGACTGCGACCAAGACCGAGACAAAGGAGACATTAGCTACAGGATGTTCAGACCCCTACAGGGCATCCACAAGTACTGCGTAAGACCTGCTTTAGTCCTGCTTTAGACCTGCTTTAATCCCACTTAAATCCTGCTTTAGTCGTCCTTTGGACCTGCTTTAGACCTGCCTTAGTCCTGCTTTAGTCCTGCCTTAGTCCTGCTTTAGTCCTGCTTTAGACCTGCTTTAATCCCACTTAAATCCTGCTTTAGTCGTCCTTTGGACCTGCTTTAGACCTGCCTTAGTCCTGCTTTAGTCCTGCTTTAGTCCTGCCTTAGTCCTGCCTTAGTCCTGCTTTAGTCCTGCTTTAGTCCTGCTTTAGTCCTGCTTTAGTCCTGCTTTAGTCCTGCCTTAGTCCTGCCTTAGTCCTGCCTTAGTCCTGCTTTAGTCCTGCCTTAGTCCTGCTTTAGTCCTGCTTTAGTCCTGCTTTAGACCTGCTTAAATTTAGAACCTAAATCTTGTTTCGTCCTCAGTGGCAGAAGAGTCCAGTGTCTCAGTCCTCGTCTCCTCACAGTGAGTCACGTTGTTCAAAAATCACTCATTCTAAATCTTTTCGTCTTAATCGTGTTTTTCTCTTTTTCCAGATGGATTTTTGGGGAAGCACCGTAGACAAATGGATCCACGAGACGTAAAGAAATTGCGCATAGAGAAAGACCCAGGGGAGCAGAGGGCCTGAAGATCCGGACACATTCCTCTGTAGCACAGACCTGGGCCTCAAGGAGGAACTGTCATTCTCTTGATCAGTCAAACGGCCGCTGATACAAATTGTGAAGCCGTTTAACTTATTTATTTCTGGTTTTAATGTGTCTTATTTTTTAATTGTAAAAAAAAAACATTTTTAGAAAATTAATGTTTGTTTTTCTGTAAAATCGTAATATATTTTTTTGTTAGGTTTCCCCCTCCCCAGACGCTTCCCCCTTGTTGAGAAACAAGATGTCTTTCATTTATGATAAAGGGAAATATTTATATACAGCTTTAATTTCTGTGGATTTTGTCTAGTTCTTTAGACCTGTTTTAGTCCTGCTTTAGCCTGGCCTTAGTCATCCGTACACTCCGCTCAATCATTTCCCAAATGTAATTTGTACTATGGTGTGTTACGAACAGGCTAGTCCTGCTTCCTGTTTTAATCCTTCAAACTTCCTCAGAGCCATACAGCTCTGACTGCAGACACTGCTCCCTCCATCTAAAAACCTGGGTCTAAAGAGTTTATCAATGAAAAACAGAAAAGTTTTTCCCCACATTTTTATTGTTTTTTGCTGAAATGTAAAACCAGCTGCAGCTTGAGCATCAGGTCAAAGTTAACGATCACATTGATTTTTCAGATTTGAGACGTTTTTATTTACACAAATGGAAATGATTTGTTTTGCAATTGGAATATTTCAGCCATGTCAGTAGTCTGTATTTATAATATAATACATCCGTGATATATAGATGGACAGTGCTAACCCGCTAACTCAATGCTAATCAGCTAGCCTAATGAAGCCCAATAGGGAAGTGCTCAATGGTGAAGTTTGCCTCCAACTCGCTCTGGAGACAGAAGCTGTCGTCAGTAGTTTTATCTGTATGACACAAGTCCGTGCTGTAGTTGTGGGAAAAGGAAACATTACAAGTTGATATCGCTTTTTCAGTATAGAACTAATCCCACTAAATCAAAAGAGAGACTTCAAATCCATATTTTTATATGTTTGCTTGATTTTTGGCTTTTTCACAAAGTACATTATGGCTAAGCAATTCCAGAATGGCATTTTCACTGATCGTAAACTTGACATAAGCGTACAGAACTGTCAGCACTCGATCGGGACAGAAGCGGAAGTAAATATAACAAACTACCTATTCATGCCTAAACTTAATCAGCCATTCCCATAAAATAACCCTAACCTAAAACTTAACCAGTCACCACTTAAGGACTTTAGCCTAAAACTAATTCGAAAGTAGGATCGTTACTTCCGGTTTCATCCCTTATATGATCTAGTGCTGACCCGTACAGAACCGGCTGGACTCTGAACCGCTGTGTTAGCGCGCCCCCAAGAGGCTCCACCCACAGCTGCGAAACTCACATTCCTGCTTCAGTGTGTTTATGTGAACAGCATAGAGACGAGTAGGGGTAGGGAATAATACATGTACGTGTTGGACAGGATGTGACATTACCAAAGAGAGAGACCAAAGAGAGACCAAAGAGAGACCAGAGAGAGACCAGAGAGAGACTAGAGAGGGAGAGCAGAGAGACCAGAGAGACGAGAGAGAGAGAGGGAGAGAGAGAGAGAGGGACCAGAGAGGGACCAGAGAGAGACCAGAGAGGGAGACCAAAGAGAGACCAGAGAGAGACCAGAGAGAGACGAGAGAGAGAGAGGGAGAGCAGAGAGAGAGAGGGAGACGAGAGAGAGAGGGACCAGAGAGAGACCAGAGAGAGACCAGAGAGAGACCAGAGAGAGAAAGCAGAGGGAGACCAGAGAGAGGCTAGAGAGTGTGAGCGTTCTGACCAATCAGATTTATAGAGAAGACACTAAATCCTCCTGCGAAAGCTGTGTTTCCCTGTCCCTGAGGACGGGGCAGCAGTACCGCTCTCTCGTGTGCTCTCTCATGGGCTCACTTGTATGCTCTCTTTTGCACTCTCTCGTCCAGCAGGTACTGTTATTACGCTTTTGTAAATTGGCAAAACAAACATTTGAACTAACTGTACATAAATATTTATAATGACACCGTAGGATCACAGCTCAGTCGCCTCAGACTCAGCTCCCCAACGCAAGAGAAGGCACCTCTCTGGATCCCCTTCATCAGTATGCTAATACAATGCTAATAAGATGCTGATACGAAGCCAATGAGATGCTAGATGAAGATGTCTGCATACACAATAAAAGCCTCAAATTATGGCACTCTTCAAAATAAAAGCATGACAGAACTACATAAAAAAAAAAGAAAAAGAAATCAATCAATGTTGTTCATTTTACAGAAAGTGCTAAAAGCCGACGGCAGAGGGCCAGCCGCGAGAACCACAGGAGCATGACATATGTCTCCAGAGCTTTAAACTGAGGATTTAATCAAATCTGACTAAAACATTTACTGATGTAATCACACAAGATTATTTTGGGGAATATTATTCAATCCATCCATTTTCCGCTTGATCCGTTGCCGGGTCGCGGAGGCAGCCGTCTGAGTAGAGATGTCCAGACTTTCCTCTCAACAGACACTTCCTCCAGCTCATCCGGGGTGGACCCAGAGGTGTTCCTAGGCCAGAGAGAGACAGTCCCTCTGTGTCTAGGGTCTTCCCCATGTCTCCTTCTGGTAAGACATGACCAGAACACCTCCCCAAGGAGGCGTCCAGGAGGCATCCCAAATAGATGTGCCTTAACGCGTGGAGGAGCAGCAGCTCGACTCTGAGCTCCTTCTGTGTAACTGAGCTCCTTTATCTCTAAGGGAGTTCCACTCTGGAGGAAACTCTCGTCTCAGTGAGGGGACTAGAGCTCTGACTGCAGATGCTGCTCCCTCTTCACCACAACTGTCCAATAAAGCTCTGAATGCAGACTGCTGCTGGTTCCTCTGACGTCGACCGAATCAAAAACATGCAACAAAATACAATACAGGAAGTGATCAGTGATTGAGATCCTTTCAAAACAAGAGTCTGGCCTTTGGGCGGGGCTTGGGTTTCAGGGGTGGGGCTTGGGCGTCAGGGGGTGGGCTTTAGGAGGCGGGCTTCTTGAGCTCACGGATCTGCTTGATAAGATAGGTTTTCTCATCGTTGAACTGCTCGTCGTCTGTTCGCTCCTTCTGGAAGTTGGACAGAAACTCGATGAGCTTCGTCTGGTTCTTCAGCAGGATGTCCACTATCGGCTGAGTCTTGCTGGGGTTCGCCACGAAGACCTGCATCAGAGATCAGAGAGAGACCAGTGAGAGACCAGTGAGAGACCAGTGAGAGACCAGTGAGAGACCAGAGAGAGACCAGAGAGAGACCAGAGAGAGACACATGGAGGAACCTGGGAGTGGGTCTCGGTCTTACCTTAAATACATGGAAAGCCTCAAACTGGATGTTCGGGCTCTTGTCTCGCAGCAGGTTCATCATCAGTTTGAGGTTCTCCGTTTTACTGATGTATTTGGTCATCACCGTGAAGTTGTGTCGGTCCAGCAGCAGCTCACCCAGCAGCTTCAGAGACTGTCGCTTCGTCACATAGTTCTCTGAGTGCAGCAGCTTCTCATAGTCCGTGAACACCTGGAGGTCACAGATCACAGCCCTCAGAACCAGGTCCCACGTGGGTTAGAGTTAGGGCTAGGTTTAGGGTACACTAATTAGCACTTAGATAGCTGTTAATTATTATGATCTAATCTAAAGTGTTACTGTGTTTATTATTGTTCGGATCGTTTGATCAGTTGTTGGCGAATCAACAACTCAAGCATAGTTCTTCCAGAGTCCTTGTGATTTAGGGCGATACAAGAATACATTTATTTGTAAATGGAATATTCTGGATGGTTTCAAACTCACCTCTTCGTAGTTTTTGTCGAGGAATTCTGCCACCAGGACTTTGTGTCTCGTGAGGAGATCCTGAAAAACAGAGCCGCTTCGTCGGAAACACGACCTTTATATTTATCTACAGAATTTATTAACAATTCCTGCTTCAGACAGAAGGGGCGGGATGAGAGACGGGATTGGCCGCAGGCTCTCGCGAGATTTGCAGGAGGACGGTCGTAGACTCAGCCTGTGGGTCGGAAGAGGACGAGAGAGCGGACGCAAGTTTGAATCTAAGATAAATAATAAAAGAGAACAGCGATACTGGCAGTTTGGCATAATCTGGTTTGTGACTGGGCCGGGATGGACTCCCAGGCAGAGGGGGAGGATGATTTGATGAACTTTGATGACTTTCCATCATTACGTAGGGATGGGGATAGGGGGGGTAGGAGCAGTCAGAGAAGTAAGCGTGGTTTAGATGATTCTAGTCCAGATGAAGGAAGGTCAGTGATGCGTAAGAGAGTAGTTCGAGAACCAAACAAACCTAAGGTCATACTTAAGTTCGGGAGTGAAAGTGAGGCTTTAAAGGTCGGGATTTTGGCGCTGTCCAGGGAGATAAAAAAGAAGTTGGGAGAAGTGGAGTTAGCAAAGATTTTGAGAGATGGGTGTTTATTAATTGTGTGCAAGTCTGAAGCGCAAAAGGTTGAGGTGATGCAGTTAGGAAGTATAGGTAAGATGGTGGTTAGGGAGCGCAAGATAGTCGGGGAAAGGAGGGGGGCGCGGGGGGTGATAACCGGTGTCCCTCTCGACGAGGATCTTGAGAAACTAAAAAATAGCTTTGGAGCAGGGGTGAAAGCAGTTACAAGGCTGATGCGAAGGAGTGAGGGCCAAAGGGTCCAAAGTCTGTCTGTTTTAGTGGAGTTTTGTGATGAGGTGCTTCCTGAAAAGATTAGAGTGGGGTGTTTGAGTTTCCCGGTAAGAGAGTTTGTTCCTCCCCCGCTCCGGTGCTATAAGTGCCAACACTATGGGCATATAGCAGCGGTGTGTAGAGGGAAACAACGCTGTTCTAGGTGTGGAGGGGAGCATAGGATTGAAGAATGTAAAGAAAAAGACAAAATAAAGTGCTGTAACTGTGGGGGACAACACACCACTTCATATGGGGGATGTGAAGTCAGGAAAAGGGCTGTGGAAATTGAGAAAGTCAAAGTTGCAGATAACACCACGTATGCTGAGGCAGCGAAGAAGGTACCAGTTCAAAGACGGGGGAATGGAGGTTCCGCAGAGGTAGGGCTGAGAAGAGAGGTGAGTGTAGGCCCGGATATGGGAGACTGGCTTGTGTTTTTGGCCTATGTGGTTAACTGCGTTGATCAAACTAAACATAGAGCAGAAAAAGTAAAGATTGTCGTGAAGGGTGCCGAAAAGTTCTTGGGGGTGAAGGGAATACCATGGGAGCAGGTGTACAAGAGACTGGAAGTGGGTAGTAAGGGAGGAGGAGGAGGAGGCATTGCTGAGAAGCAATGAATCTAATACAGTGGAACGCTCGGAGTTTAATTGCAAATGGTCAGGAGTTTAAGGCGTATGTGCAAAATAGTCAAGTAAAACCGGATATTATCTGTGTGCAAGAGACATGGCTTAAGGATTCACTGGATTTTGTTATTAGAGGGTATGAATGTGTAAGAAGGGATCGGGATGGAGGAAATGGTGGTGGGTGTGCAATATTTGTTAGAAGCGGGATTCAGTATAGGGTTGTAAGTAAGGGAGAAACACTTGAGTGTATAGTTATAGAAGTATGGGGGAGAGGAGGTAAGATTATAGTTGTAAATTTCTATAATCCATGCAAAAGGTTATCACTGGAGGGTCTGCAGGAGATTATGATGCACATGGAAGGGAAGGTGGTGTGTTGTGGTGATTTTAACGCACATAGTACATTGTGGGGTGGGGTTAATGATGCGAATGGACTGGTGGTTGAAGAATTATTGGATATAAAGAGCCTTGTATGTCTGAATGATGGGAGTGGAACTAGATTTGATTCGAGGACTGGGAAGGAGTCCTCGTTAGACTTAACACTGGTGTCTGAGAGTATTGCTGGGAACTGCACATGGAAGGTGGATAAGGAAACTACGGTAGGAAGTGACCATTTTCCACTAGTCATTCAGATAGGGTTTAGTTTTGAAGAAGCTGCTGTTGGAGGGGTAGGTAAATGGTGTTTTGACAAGGTGGACTGGGGTAAGTTCAAAACCATTTGTGAAGAAGAAACTGAGAAGATAAATGTTAATAGTCATATTACTGTGGATGAGTTTAATAGTAGCTTGTGTAATGCAATAGTTCATGCAGCAAAACAGACAGTTAGAAAGAAGGAGGGGAGGAGGAAAAGGAAGATCGTCCCCTGGTGGTCAGAAGAGTGCACTGTAGCCATACGTGAGAGAAATAAAGCCTTCAAGGCTTTGGCAAATAATGTAAACTGGGAGAATTATCTGGACTATAAGAGGAAGTTGGCAGTTGGTAGGAGAGTGATCAGGGCAGCTAAGAAGAACTATTGGAGGGGTTACTGTGACACGCTGGACAGACAGACTTCTATGAGTCAGGTTTGGGGAACAATTAGAAAGATGGCAGGTAGGGGTAGGGAGTTTAGTTACCCTGTGATGAAAAGTGGGGAGCGTATCGTGATGGAGGAGAAGGGTAAAGCTGAAGAATTGGCTAAATATTTTGCAAAGGTCCATAGCTCAGAAAACTTAAGCTTAGAGGAAAGGAGAGAAAGAGAGCGGACAGTATTAAAACACACAGGTGGCTTAGAGCATGCACAGAGTTATAATGATGTGATCAATGTGGAGTTTTCAATGTTTGAACTAAATGGTGCGTTAAATAAATGTGGGAAGACGTCCCCAGGGGGGGGACGATATTAGCTACTGTATGTTAAAGAATCTTAGTAATCGTAGTAAGGAAAAGCTGTTAAAATTGTATAATAAAGTCTGGGCAGAGAGTGTGTTTCCAGAGCCTATAGCCTTGACCTCACATGTTTGCAAATTAATGGAGAAAATGGTCAATGAGAGATTAGTATACTTTGTGGAAAAAAATAGGTTGCTTAAAGACCATCAGTATGGGTTTAGAAAGGGCAGGAGCACAATAGATCCAGCAGTTTTATTGGAGCATGACATAAGAAAGGCCCAGGCTAACAAGGAGAGTGTGGTGGCAGTGTTTTTTGATGTGGAAAAAGCCTACGATATGATGTGGCGGGAAGGGCTTATAATAAGGTTGCGTCAGATGGGAATAAGAGGGGAAATGCTTGGATGGGTCAGACAGTTTCTAACAGGGAGAAAGATTTTGGTACGAGTAAGATCTGAGATAAGCGCAAGGTATGAGGTAGACAATGGGACGCCACAAGGGAGTATTGTGAGTCCAGTGTTCTTCTCCATAATGATAAGATGAGATTTTTTGTAATGTTGAAGGGTCTGTTAGTGTCACTGTTTGCGGATGATGGAGTAGTATGGAAGCGAGGAAGGAATGTAAAATATATAGTGGGGAAGATTCAAGAAGCGATACAGAAAGTTGAATCGTGGTCTGTAAAGTGGGGATTTAGGTTCTCTGTTGCAAAAACAAAAGTAATGTTTTACGAGAAAGAAAAAGGCTGTTGTTAATATTAATCTGTATGGGGAGAGATTGGAGGTAGTGAATGAGTTTAAATATTTAGGATTATGGTTTGACAGTAGAGTGACATGGAAGGGGCATATTCAAAAGATTGTAGAGAAAATCAAAAAATGTTTTAAATATAATGAGATGTTTGAGAGGTCGGGATTGGGGGAGCAAGCCGGGCCTGCCTTAAGAAGGTCTATGTTGTATGGATATGCAGTGTGCAATGACGTCAACTCCATGGCAGCCTTGCAGGTTAGAATGCAAGATGCCATTGAACTACGAAGAAGGCAGCTAATCTCATTACTGGGCAAACCTCAGAGGTCAGCAAGGTCCATTCCAGGTTGGAGTGTTAAGACCCTGCAAGAAGAAATTCAAACTTCAAGTGAATAGCTATGGATGGTCTGGAGAGTGAAGCGAGAAGCACAGATATTTTCAATTAACATGAGTCCCAACAGTGCCACTTTCAGTTTATCCCTCCTTGGAATATGAAAGAGGTAAGCATTATCTGGTCTTTTAGGTAAGAAAAGTTGGAAGTAAGGGATAGAGAAATATCTAGGGAAATATGGGACAAGTAATGTTTTTTACGGATCGTCAAGTTAGAGAGGGAATTGATTTCTTTTGTCATCCAGTACTAGGTGAGTAGGAAAGAAGAGAATTAATGACAATTTAGCAGTATATACAGGTGAGGCTTATAGCAATTCAATTAGCATTGGAATGGTGGAAGAAATGGACCAGAAGAAGTGTAGTAGCATCAGATTCAAGTAGGGCAGTGTTAAGTATTAAAAACATGAATCACAATCCAACCAGAATATAAAGTAGAGAGAGGACACTACTTTAGAGAGAATATATAGGAAGGGAAAGTGGTGACAATAGTGTGGGTTCCAGCTCACATAGGGGTGAGGAAATGAGTTGGCAGATATGTTTGCAAAAGAGGGGCAAAAAAAGAGGTTGACTTTCCAATTAGGTATATAAAGGAAATCAAAGCATAATATAAGTAAAAGGAGAGAGCCTGGCAAGAAGTGGCAAGAGGGGTTAAAAGAAATTTTTGTATGAAATACAAAAGGAAGCATGTCACATGTCACAGGGGTAAAAAAGCAGGTTCTTCGGACCCGGATTTAAAAAGGGACCACTGGATTAAAAGCGAATTGAAAGCAATTTATTATAAAATACATTAAAAACAAGTAAATAAAAGCAATAAAAACCTAAGCTAAAAAACAAGGCAAAAAAGCTAAAACAGAGGCTAAAACAGGCCAAAATGCATCCCCACGGCCTGGGCCGCCAGACCACGGGGCTCTCACCCGCCGCGCCTGGCTCCCGTGTCTGGCTCCCTCTCCGTTTTCCTCTCCTGCCCCCTCCCCATCTCCTTTTGTACCGTGGCACAGGTGTTCTAATTGTCACGTGGGGAGCCGGGGTGCTTCAGGTGGTGCAAATTAAAATCAATATTAAAAAACACACACACGACATGCATAAAATATAAAACAAACCATATTAAAACCCACCACCCATTTTGCACCCCTCGACACTCCCCCCTGCTTTAATAATAGCAGTCCCTGCTAGTTCGTGAACACCTGTGCCTTTCCATCGCTGGGGAGAGGGGGTTCACCTCCGCAGCGCGCCTCCTCCGCCGTGCCTTGCTTTTTGTCCGCTGCGCCCCCGGGTGAGCCGCGTCCTCCTGTGCGGGACCACTCGCGCATCCCTCGTCCTCTTGCTGCTGCTGACCGGGCCCACCTGCACCACACACACCAGAGGCCAGCACAAACCCACACACCCGCGACCCTCGGGCCGTAAGCCTTTGACGAGCACCACTACACCACATGCTCATACTCACAGGCCAGGCAGACCTCCAAGTCTGCCCCTGTCTATTTCATGCGTCGTGGTGCTCTCACTCTAGGTCGCGGATGTGGCGCTCCTCTCCTGCGCGCTGCGTGGATCTAGGGTGGCCCACCCGGCTCCCAGCTCGCAGTCCAGCTCTCATTGTGCGCCCTGTCCTCCGCGCCTTTCCATGCGCCCACCCTTAATTCCTTCGGGCATCCACCGAGCAAGAGCCATGGCCTCTACTTGCTTTTTTTTTCTTAAAACAGTGGTACCGGGTCCTGCCAGACAACGCCAAAATGTCACAGGGGTAAAAAAGCAGGTTCTTCGGACCCGGATTTAAAAAGGGACCACTGGATTAAAAGCGAATTGAAAGCAATTTATTATAAAATACATTAACTCATTCACTGCCCATGACGACAAAAGTCGTTCTATTGTATAGTGACGCTCACTGCCCAAGACGACTTAGACGACTTTTTCGTGTTATTACACGGGAGGCTGCAGTAATGTCTGGCGCACCTTGTTAATGACCCACAACACTGATATATAGTGCAAATGTACCTGTAATGATAAATCACCACCAGTAGGATGCAGTATTGCACCACAGGAGAGGTCATAAGTCAGTGGAGAGAAGGAGGAGGAGTGTGGGGTCTTTGGAGAGCGTGCTGTGCTGCTGTAGCAGAGCGATGATAGCGTACTGTAGCATTGAGACGGATCAGATCTAGTTTAGCGATAGTATAGCAAGAGTGATGGCAAAAAAGAATAGTTATAAGCAGTATACACTGCTTCAGAGATTGACTCGCGGATCAGTGAGTGAGGTCGAGAGGGGAGAGAGGGGAGACCCCGGTGGAGGTCCGTATCTGCAGCCATATTTGCGCGGAGCAAGAGCCCCGAGCAGAGACACACCTTCCGCCTCTCGCAGCGTATCAGCTGCTGCTGTTACTGATGCCTCGGATTCGTTCAGCAAACCTGATCATGATTTATCGGACACACTCACAAACACTCACACGCACTCACTCACTCACTCACGCACACAGACACACACTCGCACACTGACACTCACGCACACAGACACTCACTCGCACAGACACTCACTCGCACACTGACACTCACTCACACAGACACTCACTCACACAGACACTCACTCGCACACTGACATTTCACACACACACACACAAATTCACATGCTTCATTCTATTTTATACATCTATAGTTTTATTGATCTTTGTGTTGTTGTTGTTTGACGTTTTGGTTGATGGTATAGAAGAAAGTTAAATTTTCTATCTGTGAATAAATTGCCAACAATTTGCCATCAAAAGTATTATTTCAGAGTCATGTTTTTATAATTTTTGTAATGGAACAAGTGTGAAGATGTTTTGAGTTGTCACTAAAGCAGCAAAAATGCATCTAAAGTCTCTTTTCTGCTTGATATGTTCCTGTTTACATACAGCTCGTTTCCTCTGTTTTCTTGCTCAGACCAGGTGTTATGGGTGAAAGTATGCTTTGTTCTATGGCAAATAACGCAAGAACGGTAAGAGGTAGAAACAAACTGTTTTTTTCAGAGTAAAGCAGAGAGGTGAATCTTTAATTTGGTGCCCTTGGTGTTTACATCGTCTAAAAAATGAATATTCTGTGGCACTTCAAAGTTGGGTCAAATCACCTGAAATTGCTGGCAGAATGCACTTCTCAAATCTGAAAATGCCTGGCAGTCAGTGAGTTAAAAACAAGTAAATAAAAGCAATAAAAACCTAAGCTAAAAAACAAGGCAAAAAAGCTAAAACAGAGGCTAAAACAGGCCAAAATGCATCCCCACGGCCTGGGCCGCCAGACCACGGGGCTCTCACCCGCCGCGCCTGGCTCCCGTGTCTGGCTCCCTCTCCGTTTTCCTCTCCTGCCCCCTCCCCATCTCCTTTTGTACCGTGGCACAGGTGTTCTAATTGTCACGTGGGGAGCCGGGGTGCTTCAGGTGGTGCAAATTAAAATCAATATTAAAAACACACACACGACATGCATAAAATATAAAACAAACCATATTAAAACCCACCACCCATTTTGCACCCCTCGACACTTCACCCCATACCTACCTTTCTACCTGGACTCCTCCAAGCGATGTACATGAGGTTTAACGTATGTCACCTTTGCCAGAGTTCCCCATCAGTACTTGACTATGGTTTGCAAAGACTGTGGGCTTGGAACATTACCACTAGGGTGGAGTGTTTGATTATAATTTCATAATGTGCATTATTTTGTGCTGGAGTGATATAAAAGTTTTTATTTATCATCCATAGTGGGGGTAGTGTAATAGGCCAAGCCTGGCCCTTTAAGAGCGGTGCATTGTGGGATGTCTCGGGTCTGTGTAGTCCGTTGTTTACGCGCTCAACGCTCTGTTCTGCAGTGGCCTCTCTTCATTAAGGCTCCTCTGTCATGCTCCTGTTCTATTTTTGGAATAAAAATACGTCTAACGAGTACTACGCCTGTTCAGCCTCTGTACTACGGTTAAGAGATCACTGGGCAGGAGAATAAAAGTAACACCTGGATTTACAGCCTGATTTCCCCTAGACTTTCCTTGGCTCATTAGGTCGTAAATATTATCTCATTTAAAGCCAGTGTACGTGATTCGTCTCAGTAACTTGTTTTATGGCTCCCGTGTCTCACCTTGCCCTCTGCTGTCCGTCTGCACGCCTCTGTCCCAGGACGGCCCAGCTCGTTCTGGGCTGGCCTGGTTCACCTTCACCTCCTCCATCAGCGAAGGCTGTTTAAATCCGCTGCAAAGACCCAAAAATGCAGCAAGTGAAACCCGGTCCGTGACGACCAGCTGATCCGCGGTAATCACAACAGCCTCACTCACCAGCCGCACATCCGGAAAGCTCCTTCAGAATAAAGGCACATTCTAGTGTATGTGTGTGTGTATGTGTGTCTCCGCAATAACACATCATTTAAAAAAGCTTTTCCGGATGTAGTTAGTGGTTTGCTGGCTATTAGCATGTTTAGCTTGACGTCTCCAGAGCTCCACATCCGCACATATTAAACGTTATATTTATAACATGTTTATGTTATAATTGTTTACGGATCATTTGTGGTTGAAATCAAATAAGCTGTGCATTTCTGTTTGTTTTAGTTTATTTGATATTATATTTTTTATAATCGGAACTATAGCTCTGAGTTTATTGTTTACGAGGGAAGTATTTGAGTGCGCCTCATCACAAAGAACTGTTTCAAACGTGAGTTTTTAGAGGTTCTAATCAGGTAAGACTTCGAAAACACCGTCGATCCTTTGTTTGTCTCTTTTCTCATGACGTAACATAAAACGAGAAACATTGCACCGAATTAACGTATTGAACTGGCTCTACTTCCTATCTATGCGCGATCCCTGTGCTGTCAATGCTCACATGCAAATAAAAATAATGGCATCTAAGTTTTGCAAAGAATGGCTAAATTTCCTATATGTTATATATATGGATATCGTCCCAGTTTATTTTCTTGAAAATAATTGAAATCTTGTTCAGGACTGAGTTATGGACAAGTATGGGCAAGTCTGACGATGGATCCGAGTGGTTAGCTCTCTCGTTTCTCAGTAAAGAGGTCCAGAATTCGGTCCTGAAGAGAATCAACATCTGGATTGCTATGGTCACCTGTTACTACATTGACACCTGCTCCTGACAGAGGAGGTGGGTCAAATGCAGAAGACGAATTTCCCTTTGAGCACATACAAATAAAGTGCACCTTTTATATACACACTGAGTATGTATTCAACTGTTACTGCCTCATGGCAAAGATTTATTTCCACAAATGCTGTTTTAATGTTTTGAGTTGAGTTATAACCTGTTCCTCCATTACATGTATTTGTATTATTAGAAACCATAACTATTGTCTTTGTTGTTGCAGGTTTTTAAAAAAAAAATGGAGGGGGTGCCCCAGAGCACTGTGCTCTCTGTTGCTGCCAAAGTGCCATTCCTCGACCTCTGTAACACTTTAGAGAAGATTCAAAAAGCCAAAACTCGCCCGGAGAAGTCCAGAATTCTCGGAGACTTCATCGACACTTGGCGGAAGTTCCACGGTGTTCTTCACAAAGACGACCCTCAAACCACAGATTCCTTTTACCCCGCCATGCGCCTCATCGTCCCTGCGTTTGAGCGCGAGCGCATGGCCTATGGTATCAAAGAGAACATGTTAGCCAAGCTGTACATCGACGTCCTGGGGCTGCCCAAGACCGGCCCAGAGGCAAACAAGCTGTTGAACTATCGCGCGCCCAGCAGCTCGCAGGGGGAGGCCGGGGACTTCGCCGGAATGGCCTTCTTTGTGCTGAAGACGCGTTGCAGCGGTCAGGGCAAACTCTCCATCAAAGAAGTGAATGAGTTTCTGGACTCTGTGGCGATCAACAACGCGAGCAAGAAGAAGGAGCTGGTGAGGAAGAGCCTACTGCATCTGATCACACAGAGCTCGGCGCTGGAGCAGAAGTGGTTGATCCGCATGATTCTGAAAGACATGAGGATTAGCATCAGCAAAGAGACGGTGCTGCAGGTGTTCCACGCGGACGCAGCCGAGCTTTACAACGTCAACACGGATCTGAAGAAAGTGTGTTTGCAGCTGCACGATCCAGCGGTGTCTCTGAGCGATGTTTCCATTGGCCTGTTCTCCGCGTTCAAGCCCATGCTAGCAGCTGTAGCTAACTTACGCAACATCGAGAGGCAGATGGGGAACAGTCCGTTCTACGTCGAGACCAAACTGGACGGAGAGCGCATCCAGCTGCACAAAGACGGCGATGTTTACAAGTACTTCAGCCGCAACGCCTTCGAGTACACACAGCAGTTTGGGGGTTCGCCACTAGAGGGCTCCCTCACGCCGCACATCCATCAGGCGTTCAAGCGCCGCGTGGTTAGCTGCATCCTGGACGGCGAGATGATGGCGTACAACCCGAGCGCCGACAGCTTCATGCAGAAAGGAAGTAAGTTTGACATCAAGAAGCTGATGGACGACTCTGAGCTGCAGACCTGCTTCTGCGTGTTCGACGTGCTGCTGCTGAACGGCCGCAAACTTGGGAAGGAGACGCTGAGAACGCGCTCCGAAGTGCTGCAGACGGTCTTCACACCAATCAAAGGCCGCCTTCACATCGTGCACCGGACTGAAGTGAAGAGCGCCAAAGAAGTGGTGAGCGCTCTGAATGAGGCCATTGACGGCCGAGAGGAGGGCATCATGGTGAAAGACCCGCTGTCTGTTTACAAACCGGACAAACGTGGCGAGGGCTGGCTTAAGGTCAAGCCCGAGTACATGGACGGGCTGATGGACGAGCTCGACCTGCTGATCGTCGGGGGATACTGGGGCAAAGGCCGGCGCGGGGGGATGATGTCACACTTTCTGTGCGCTGTCGCCGAAGCTCCAAAACCCGGACAAACGCAGCCTTCTGTGTTCCATACGCTCTGCCGCATTGGCTCCGGATACACCATGAAGGAGCTGTACGATCTGGGCTTAAAGCTGGCCCCGCACTGGAAGGTGTACCGCAAGAACGACCCGCCCGCCTGCCTCTGCTGCGCCGCGGAGAAGCCCGAGGTCTACATCGAGCCGCAGAACTCTGTGATTGTTCAGGTGAAGGCGGCAGAGATTGTCAGCAGCGACGTGTACCGGACCGGCTGCACGCTCCGCTTCCCACGCATCGAGAGGATTCGCAACGACAAGGCAAGCATCTGTGTTTTACTGTGTTTTACTCTGTGTTTAACTCAGGTTGTTAAGAAAGCTTGTCAGTGTTCTGGTCTCTCTCTCTGGTCTCTTCTGTGGAAACTTGGAGAATTCACCACAAACTCTAAGATCCTGCTTCACTTTTATTGTTGCACCATTGAACGTTTCTTAGTTGGTTCTGTGACATCTCAGTCAAAGAAAGGAGAGCTCTAAACAAGGTGAACTGCCCAGAGAGAGACCAGGGAGAAGGAGACCAGGGAGAAGGAGACCAGGGAGAAGGAGACCAGGGAGAAGGAGACCAGGGAGAAGGAGACCAGGGAGAAGGAGACCAGGGAGATGGAGACCAGGGAGATAGAGACCAGGGAGATAGAGACCAGGGAGATAGAGACCAGGGAGATAGAGACCAGGGAGATAGAGACCAGGGAGATAGAGAGAAAGAGAGACCAGAGAGAGAAAGACACCAGAAAGAGAGAGATCCGAGAGAGACCAGAAAAAGAAAAGAGAGAAAGACAGACCAGAGTGAATAAAAAAATCTAAAAGTTACTAACAATACTAATAAAGTGCAGCAGCAGCAGCAGAGAAGGTGTAGCCGCTGGTGATGAGTTGCTTCCTCTGGTTGATGTTTGCAGACTCTGCTTTGTTTGGACCATTTTTTATGCTCGGGTACAGAGTTAAATTCTGAATGCTATGTATGGTGTCCTTCCAGTGGATTTCCGCTTGATCTTCTAGGTTGGGACCATCCTCTCTGCTCTTGTCTGGATCAGAGTAACATCATGAACATTTACAGATAGACAAAATAGCAAGAAAAATAACAATTGTAAAACACAAAACGACAACGGTTTTAGAGCGACTTAGAACTTGTTTTAATTTCCAGCGAATTCTACAGAATTTTCTCTGGTTATTTAAACAGTTGATTTAGCTTGTTTTATTTATGTACTTGACTGGTGCACACTTTATTCATTCATGCAGATCTGTGTAGCACTGTATACCACAGCAAATTTCCCTTGTGGACAATAAAGTGCATCTTATTGTTAGGGATGTCCCGATTCCTGATTTTTGCCTCCAATCCCGATCCAATTGTTAAACTTCAAATCAGATCTGATTTTTGAGTTCCGATCCAATGCTTTTTATCATTGGTATTGTAAATCATAAAACAACATTTTCAGCAAGTAAACTAAACTATTTTAGTTTGTTTAACCTAAAAAGGAAATGTCTCATCAAATGATTTTTCAAATGTTTTCTTAAGCGTTATCAACCATTTATGCTTAATGGTGAAATTGTCATTATTATTATTATTAAAAGTGGTGCGGCGTTTGCTGTGCAATCAATTTTCAGAAGCTGCAGTGATTACATTTGTCCAGTAGATGACAGCGTTACAATCTAATAACTCCACACAATTGATACAATCTGGCAAAGAAAGACTTGGTGTGTGACGGGCTTCATTTGCCCGTCACTACCAAATTGTATTGTAGTATAACCCCAAGTCACAATGACAAAATACTACGCCTTATGTTCCGTTTCATGTCCAGTGCTGAATCAGATTTGTCTGCTACTTCACTAGAACTGCTCTAGAGATCGGGCGAGTCGTCAAGCAGATTTAGGGCTGAAACAACTAATCGATTAATCGACGACTAATCGATTATTGAAATAGTCGACAACTGTTTTAGTAATCGATTAATCGTTTTCTGGTTCACACGGACTCAAACAGAGCATAATTTTTTTCTACACAATTCACAGCCAAGAGATTACTCGATTAATCGTAAAAATAATCGATAGATTAATCTATTACAAAATAATCGTTAGTTGCAGCTAGGGATGTAAAAAACTATGAATTTTCATGACCGACCACCGAGCCTCATTAACCGGTTGAAACCGGTTAACCGCGTAGTTTAAAATAGTCCACGTTCTTTGAAATAACAGCCATTTCGAGCCGCGTACTTTTCATATGTGCAGCTGAGCGTAATGGATCAGAGCTGAGACAGCGACGCCCAAACCCGCAACAGCTTGGGCACTTTTGCGCACAGAGAACTGCTGTTTTAATCTTTCCATTCTTCTGTGCTGCGGCTTAAA